CGCGGACCCCAGTTTGGGAAATCCTGGACTAGATTACCAGATTAAATAGCTTAGTATCGGCTAAACATATAGCCTACTTATAGAGAAAGATTTCGCCATGCGTTTGAATTTGAAAACTCCATAAGGCAAAAAGATTGGAGCAGTTAACAGCCAATTTGGTGCGATAGCCGATAGGCGTTAAAGTCGCCTCACCAATTTGCCATTGTTTGTGTTTATTTAAAATTCATCCTGTTATATAATTCATTGCTGATACTGTCAATTTATCTTTAAGTCATGATGACATCAGTAGCAATTTGAAAAGGACCAATGCAATAATGCGCTTTCACGACTCAGTTCCACATATCAATTTGTAGATCTGCCTACAGGCCAATCATATGCATGGAAATATAACTTGAAAAAGCAACAAATCTTCCTTCATAAAACAATACATTAACCCGTTTGTAATATGGATAGAAGAATCTGTGGGACTAAGAGCTATTCAATTAGTTCATTAATTTTTACAATTAATTTAATTACTCACTCATATTTACGACATAACGACGATCAACGTCGGAGGCCGCCAATTCACCCGACGAAGGAAACGCAATATTTGCCAATCGTTTATATAAACAAAAAAGACAGTGAGTATGAAAATACTAATCAAAAATTATTTATATTCCGTCACTTTACCGCACAATTTATGTCCATGGATTGCCGTGGTTATTGGAAAATAATTTGGATAATGGTTGGTATTTAAAAGTGTGGACTTTTTACTAGGATGATTTTGTGTTGCGAAAAATATTCAAATCCATGAACGACGATACTACAATTTAAAATGCCTTTCCGTATTGATTAAGTCTATTAACGTTACTAAAATGTTGGTAAGTCGGGCAGTTTACCACACAGTTTGTGTCCACAAAATACAAAATAGGAATCAAAAATTAATAAGCTCGGGCAGTTTACCACACATTTTATGTCCACGTATTGTGGTGGTATTTTTGTGTTATACATAATACGTTTATTATTTTATAAATACTGATCAGAAATTAAATATAATTCGTGCAGTTTAACACACATTTTATGTCCACAAATTCCGGTAGTATCTTAGATTTTACTTTTATTTTTTTGTAAATGCGTAAATAGGAATAAAAAATTAATAATATCGGGTAGTTTACCACACATTTTATGTCCACAGGTTGTCGAGGCAACCATGGGTTACGTTGAACGAAATTAAATTAATAGGGCATAATAATTTTGAATGATGGTTTTCGGTCATGTATTTGAATATTTTGTGCAACAGATATCCTAGTAAAAAGTCGAAGCTCTTAACTATGATCATCAAAATTATTTGACAAAAAACGAGAAAAAGGATGAATTATTTTTCCTAATAAATCGACTTGCGACAATTTATTGGGTATCTTAACAATGTAATGGGAATGAATGTGTATATTAGAAGTCGTGTATAGGGAATGGCTGTAATGTCCACCACACAACCGTGCAAAGGTGTTTCAACAATATGCGACGGACGCTCGTACAGAATATATAGTAGGTCGGGGGAAGTCGGACCCACTAATAAGTTATTTTGAATAACTCTTCAAATAATGTCGCAGCTGCATTCGTTCTACGATTGATTCATGCACCCACCCTCCAGCTATCTTGCCACATTTGCACATTGTTGCCATAGCAACGAATCGGAATTTACGCCCGATTTTCAGCTAAAAAAATATCGGGGTAAGTTAGACACTTTGTGGGAAAGACGGACACACACCAAAATTAACTTGATGGTGTCTAAGATTTCGGTCATAAGACTTCGGTCAACGCCTAGATGTATAGCATAAATGGTTGTTCGACAACACACAGAATACAAATCTTATAACATTTATCCAGACTAGCTTAGAATGGTTTACATCGTCTTCTCCCACATCGTCCTCTTTCGAAAGATATCGGAGTCGTATTTATACGCCGATCGTACATCTAATTAAATACTGTAAACGTGAGCTCGTGATTCACGTTATAAACAGAAACTCCTATTATCTCAATAAGGGTAATTAGGTACATCGTACGGATGGGAACTTAGATATAATTATTTCAATCAGTGCCAAAGGTCTTGAGAATATAAATTTTAATTTGATAATGACTGGGTGGAACATGTTATGTTTCTTAAACTGGTGTAATTTGATTCCTACGAAAGTCCTTGTTCGAATTTTGGGAAAAATTAACTTTGTCATGATGATTTCAACATGAAATGGGGTACCTTTGGGGGTTAGTAGCTATATTATCTCTCCATCTTACTAACTGGAAGTTTAAAGATTTGGCACCCTCTAATAAATTGAAAATATATAGAAAAATACAATACACAATGCTACAATTAATGATATAGGTCAAAAAAAATATTTACATGTATATGATCTACAATGAGACACGACATTGAAATAAAGAAGAGTTTATAGAAAGAGTAAAGGCTGTAAAGTAGAATTACAGAAGGATGGCGTATTTTTATTTGAAAAATTTTGGTTTGGACGGTTAAAACATATTTTCAATTTGATGTATTTCGCTAAGTTAAAATACTTATACTCGCTTTATCACATTGTTACGATTTTGTAGACCTAGTTGGTCAATATATGCTTGTCCCATGTCGGGAAGAAAAAACGCGTTGCGACCTAGTTGGTCAATATATGCTTGTCCCATGTCGGGAAGAAAAAACGCGTTGAGACCTAGTTGGTCTATATATTTGTCCCATAAAACGCATTTTTAAGTTTATGCCATCTCAGGGCTTTTTTGAAAAAATAACGCTTTTGGATACAATTTTTGTTTAACGAGCTTATTATTTCACCGTTCTATATGACGGCTTTGTAAATAATTAAAAGTATGACTCGCTCGAATCTACTTTTAGAAAGCATTTTAATAATAACGAAATCTATTTAATCGAAAAGGAATGCTAACCACAAATATTCAATAATATAAATCTCTTTAAAGGTATTTGAAATTAGAATATTCAAAGTTGTTACCATTAAATAATTTATAAAAATTAAAAGTCGAATGAAACGCCATGTATATATAAGAAGAAAAAGAAGTACTTTACCTTAGTATTAGTGGAAGAATGAAAAATGTCTGTCTCAATGAGGAGAAAAACCTGCAAATCATGAAACAAATTGTAGAATTACATGCTCCTGATCTGTATATCCAATAGGTAAGCGCGACAATTTCTCTATTGTTCGGAATAGAGCGCGTAATTTACAGTAAAACAGTCCATGTATATAGTTCATTGTTTTCAACAGTTCGTTTTGGATTAGGTTTTTCACCTCGAACATATATCATGTTCTAAAAGAGTTCATTTCGATCGATGTTTAATACAGTCCATATTCATGATTTTAACGTTTCCAGAGTCCGTTACCATAGTTCAACTGTTTTCAATTGAAATTATCGTCTTTTCATAATGTTTTTGATTATTTCGGCTTGTCAGCAATTTGATACTTCACTCGTTGTTCCAGGCAATTTGAATCTCCCCGACGTTCGTAAATTGGTCGAATTTGATTTTCGCACGTATTGTAGAGACGGTTTCTCGGCAATTGTTGAAAGCTTTCGCTTGGTCAGCTTTTTCGTTGATTCCGTCCAATTGTTGCTTGTCCTGGTTGTTGTCCGTTGATCTGGTCCGTTTTTCAGAAGGTTAATTCAAGTCGGTTTTGTCACCATTTATAGCATAAATGATTGGTAAATGTATGTATGTTACCGTATATTGCTATTTCGTAGATTGTCTCAGAACTTGCAAGTTACCCGTTCACCCTTCAGCTTCAACGCCCACGTGAATGAAGATGCGTTAAAAATCTCTATATGTTTTTATTCGTAAATTTCCACAACACACAGAATATAAATCTTATAACATTTATCCAGACTAGATTAGAATGGTTTACATCGTCTTTCATAAATCTTATTAAATACTGTAAACGTGAGCTCGTGATTCACGTTATAAACAGAAACTCCTATTATCTCAATAAGGGTAATTAGGTACATCGTACGGATGGGAACTTAGATATAATTATTTCAATCAGTGCCAAAGGTCTTGAGAATATAAATTTTAATTTGATAATGACTGGGTGGAACATGTTATGTTTCTTAAACTGGTGTAATTTGATTCCTACGAAAGTCCTTGTTCGAATTTTGGGAAAAATTAACTTTGTCATGATGATTTCAACATGAAATGGGGTACCTTTGGGGGTTAGTAGCTATAGATGGCCCAGGATTATGTCTCTTAAATTTTTTTTAAACAGATCACTTTTCTTGCATATTAAAAAGTATGTCCGTCTTACCCCATAAAGGACATAACAGGTCAATTTTCGAAAGAGCTTGAACAGTTTTAGGAAAACTAGAAATTTAAAATTTAGTTTGCGCCTTTTCAACCGCAATTTTTATATCTTCTTTATGACTTTAGTTAAGACATAAGCACAATGTGTTGAGTGCCAATGGAACGTTGCGCATGAGCTTGTCTCCTATCAAGCTTTGACTTGATCTGATAATATCCAACATGCAAGCTCAAGCTCATCAGTCATGAAAATGAACTTAATTTACAACGGTTTAAACATGGAAGTCTGAAATACATCTAATATTCGGGAATATATTTCAATGAGTTGGGACTGGAAAATCCCTTCGTTTACTGAATACATATATTCCCTTCGGTGCGGTGGTGTGGCTCATCGTGCTGAGCGTCAGGAATTCGCTCGCCATCGCACCTCTGATAACTCCGCGTGGGTTTGCAGGTTCCCAGGCAGGGGTGGTTATGTGCGAGAGAATTGCTGGACTCGTCGTCGTCGTAGGGTGGTTCACATAACCGCTGGTCGGTTACGGCTTCCTCGACCACCAAGTCCACGCTTCCGAAAACAAATAACCAGCCAATCCCACACCCGACCTGGACTGGTAACCGGACGAGAGGCCGTGGTTCGCCATATGGTTAAGCCGTCTTATCGCCTTTCCTCTCCCCGGGATAAATGTGTAAATCCTATCCCTAGAAATATTTATAACACCAATTGTACACAACATATTTAATTGCATAAGACAAGCATACGAAACATTTAAAATATACAAAAGAACAGTCACATATGGAATTATTAATGCGGTCTGCACGTTGAAAGGCTTGTTGCTTTAATTTAATGTACTTTATCAGTTAATATGATGCTTCTTTTCTCTGATGAAATTCATTATTTGCCCAGTGTACTGAATGTAATTGTTTATCTTACAGGACTTGAAGAGTTTTAATGCCAATTCAATGGTGGCTGTCACAAGATGCTAATATAGGTTTCTTAGATTTAGAATAAGCAACTTTGGAATTTTTTATTCAAGATTTCAACTGATTCATGGTAAAAATGCAACAGATGTATAATCAAAAATTATGAATAAATAAGTCATGACAGTTTTAAAATCGGTCTGCTCTGATATTCTGCTTCATGTGAATTGAAATGTTGTTCAAAACAATTGCATACTCAATCGATCATAAATAGCCGGATTTTGTTAGATAAATGCTTTCCATATTCCTCAGCTATCTCATTAAGGCCTGAAGCAAATGGGGAAATGAGGGGCGGTAAAGGAGGTGTTTTAGTATCAACCACCACAGAATACAAATTAATGGGATTAGCAGAAAATTTGGGCATAGTAAGGGTTGTGTAAAATTGCAGCATAATATGGTGCCGGTGCTATAAATCAACATGTATTTGATTAAAATTGCAACAAAAGTGAGGAAAAATTCTCTGGCTAAAACGAATGAGGGCCAAAAAGTCTGTAAACCTCACAATATAGTGAGTGATAGATTCACTGGTAAATTTTCAATAAAATTCAATTTGTTTCCTAGAAAATTCTCTGAGAGCGCTGAAGAACAGAGGTTGCAAAAGAAACAGAACAGTCTCAAGTTATGATTTCTTATCTATAGGCAGAGATGTTTCAAAAATTCATTTTCATTATTAGGAAATAGTTATTCTGAAAAACTTCAAAATAAAAACAAAATATCGCACTTATATTGCAAACAACAAACACAAAACAAGAAAAAATAAGAAGCCATTGTGAAGGATAAGAATACAATCCAGAAAAAGCACAGAACCAACAGGATTATTTATACAGGTAGTATCCATGAGCTAAGTTTGAGAATAGAAGGGCTCATCTATGTATTGTATAATTACTGTTAACAGTAAATAATACCGGTAGTTCGAAATGAAGAATTATTTTACAACCTTAGTTGAACAAGAAATTAACGGCAAGCATGAGATTTGAGACACACTGCATGTAGCCATGGTGGAAAGTTAGGTAAAACCTTGGATCCTATGTGCACATAGGAATCCACTAAGGATGGAAAACTATGTTATAAACCGTTTTGATAAACACTGACCAAACACTCAGTCTCAAAATCTTGCATTTTTATGACTCAATCATAGAGAAATTTGACTTTTGATGCAATTTTCTAATTTCTGTAAATTGGATATTGATGAATACATCAAAATAAATAATAATTATGTACCATTGAGGAAAACAATATTCAGATATTTCATTTTTTTATTTATTTTATTTTTGAATATTCAGAGATTTTATAAGAAGTGAGACTCTGGATTTTAAAAGGTACGAGGACAGAGCAACATACCGATGTAAATCATAAATGAAAATGAATCTGTTGTGGATCCCAAGAAAGACAAAACCATCACAGATGAACTAAAATATCATTACAATATAACACCATGAAAATAAAATAAATAAGTGAAGGACTGGAACTAACAACTTAATGCAATACTATATGAGTGGGCTTTTGCAATGAAACTGGAAAATGAATGAAAGTGCACAATGAAAAACCAATTGTAAACAACCAGATTTTTTAAAAACAGTCAATTATATGAACCATATTAGGAATTTGATCATGATCATTCGTAGGGCTACCAATTGTATAACTGAAAGATACGATCGTTTCAATTACTTGTTGTTCAAATCGAAAACATAACATTCCCACTGTTAACAATAAAATTATCAGAAAAAATCAGTCTCAAATTATCAGTTTCTAAAATGTATTAGAAAGCTTGGAGCAATGTGTGTAATACCATAGGTAGGGACAATTACAAAATCAGTTACACATAATTTTAAAAGTTTAAAATTGTCATAATAGTGAAATTCAATCCCAAGTAAATCAGCATCACTTATTTTAACTTAATTGTGACCGAAATATTTTTGTTAGAAACTGAAAAACTGATCTATGACTTCATGTATCTCTGTACTTTTATGGAAATATATAAAATGCGTATCACAATGATACTTTTTTTACTTGTGCGTATTAGCATATCTCTCTCTAGTTTTAGAATAATTAACCCAAATGTCATGTTCACTCACTCAAAAGTAAAGGAGAACCATCTATGAACAAAGCTACAGACTACTTCTGGAGAGCCAAGAGCCATAGAAACCATACAGAATTAAGGTAGTGCATTATGTGCCAGTAAATATAGATTGATGCGAAACTTGAATTAGCTAAAGTCACTGTGATTAGAAAAACGGGCTACAAGGTAATGTAATATTATGTAATTCCACATAACTGACGTCGTTGTATAAAGAGTTTGGCTGAATGACATGAATATTTTTTGTCTGGATATGCTAAGACGCACATAAAAATTACTTTGCCAAATACACAATGCAAGATGCAATTTCAAATTAACTAGGATTGGAGGCCCAAACCCTACGAAAGATCGATACAATGCGACCAGAGGCTTGTTGGGAAATGTGAACATTGGACAAGAAGCGAAGCAAGTAAATTAAAAGATGCTCTTCAGTCTTCAAGCATCCTTTTAAAAATAAAAACATCTTGTCGATTTCCATACATCGCAAATATTGACTATGGTTGACAGTTTTATATTTTTTATGAGTTTTCAAATCAATGGTTTGCGACTCATTTCAGATGGTCATAAATAAAACAAAGATAATTATATACAGCTGTAATTTAATTCATCGAGTAATTATTACTGCTCGATAACTTGAGGCAGAATTAAACAATGCTCATAGCATGGTCTGATGGTGCAGAGTGAAGGCTGGGCAGTGTTTGTGAGTGATTGTTTCAGTTGTCCCCTGCCTTTATATAATTTGAGCTTGAGTTAACAAGGACAACCTGACCCTCCAGATGAATGAAGAACTTCTTTATCAATAGAAAGCACAGTTGCTCGTTTTACACTGGGATATTCTTCTCCCATCATTGGTTTACTGCTTTTTAGTTTGTGCGCAAGAGTTAGAAATATAGCTTCAACATTATTGCATTCACTGTCATCTTTCGCTGAAGTCTCAAATAGTGGCATAATGTGGGCATCTGCGAATCTTTGAGCGGCATTTGTGTCAACTTGAATACCGTCTGTCTTGTCACATTTATTCCCAACTAAGATACGAGGAATTGAACGATCAAGTGCATATTTATCACATTCATCTATCCAATTTCGTAAACTTTCAAATGACACTTGTTTTGTGACATCATAGACAAATACTACAGCATGAACATTTCGATAATAATGTGGCACCATCGATTTTCTAAACCTTTCCTGGCCCGCCGTGTCCCAAAGCTGCAATTTCAGCCTTTCATCATCAATGACTACAGTTTTTTCTCGAAAATCAACGCCAATAGTTGCCTCAGTTTTTGTTGGAAAATGTCCAGAACAAAAACGAAATGTCAAGCAAGTTTTACCAACATCAGAATCGCCTACGACGATTATTTTGAAGATTCTATTAGGTGTTGCTGACGATGCCCCACCTGTGGCATAAGACGCAGCCATACTCCTTTGTTATCGAAGACCCTAACCTACCACTTGCTTCATATAAACAGTATAAAGACCTGAAATCGACACAGAAAAATATGCTAAATTCAGCTCTTTCAGTCTTTGTTTACCAGGGAAAAACATGACAAAAGTAAGTAGTAAAATGCTGACGTCATCGTCTGTGATTTTACTCATAAAATATTGGTCCGCTATTTTTTCATGGTCGATGGCTTCGGTACTGTGAACAAAGAACATGGGCAAAACTATGTATAAGTATACTGTAGGCCTATATAAGTATAAGTTTATTTCGACTCCATAATCAGCAATAGACGATAAAATAATAGTTGATAATTTCGCCCACCATATATATTATGACTACTACAGTGAAGATTAGGGAAAGTGAAAATCGCGTTCGTGAATACTAGGCATAAAATTTTTTATTCGCATTTATTATTCAATATGGTAATTTAAGCCTATATGTGTATAAGAATCCCGTGTGACTACGAAAATTTGGTTCCGATGTTGGATTCGCCTTCACGCTCGACTAGGTTCTGACAGATTATTGCTTCGAAAATCATCGAGCGACGCTCTGCGCATTTTTCTGTGTTCTGACGGCGCTGTCACGCGTCAAGATTAAGTGGGTGACCTATAAATATTCAAGTTAGTTGTGCACATGGAATATTACACGATATACTTGACTATAGAACTAATAGAATGCAGATTACAAAACAAAATAGAAGAACAATAAATTGAGTGGGAAAGCCCTAGGACCGGTCCAGCACTCGAAAGCACATTGACAGTAAGATTTTAAATTCACTTTAAAGCTCCCACGAGTAGATGTAGTAGAGAGCCGCTTTGTGCTACGATTGTTCAGCAAAGAGTGAGTTGTAAATGTTCTTATAGGTACCCAATACAGTAATGACTTGTCAAGGAATGTAAATTTTGATTAGAGATAAGTATATTTTCAGGAAGTAAAGGATCATAAAAAGTTGCAGCGTGAGGATTTATGATGCGTGATCAAAGCAAGAATATAAATTGACTGATGGGTGATGCTTTATCTCAAAAATCAGAATTACGTTGCACCATATCAATGAAAATTTTCGGTGGAGCAACTAAACCTGTCAGCAAAAAAGAAATGTGGTGAGCGATACCACCCTGTGTTTTATGATGGAGTTCTACTGATCTTGATGATTTTTTCCCAGACTTATTCTGCCATTGTATACGAAGTCACCAGCTGCATATTACAACATAAGAGGTGTTTTACGTTTGCCGTGATAATCCATTTTGCTTGATTTCAGGCTGGTACTAATAATTTTTTTCACATAAATTGGATACCTTAATATTGAATACCTTCAACATGGCTTCAACATATAGCCTATATATATTTATAATTTTGATTGTGCCAAAAAAATTTGAATTATTTTGCCGAGTGTTTTTAAATTATTGATTTGTGATCAATAGCAATAACTTTTTTGCTACTGCAAAATCCACCACATTTATTTATTGCATTATTATTTATTTTGGAACCGTTACATTTTATTAATTCCAATTTGTTTTGTGGGGTATTCGCATTTTTGTTTCGATGAAAGATGGTAGACAAAGTTCAATTGTTGTAGGTAATACATTTCGAAATACCGTAACTAAAATATAAATTTTTGCAGACGGCTCGAAACTCACTTTTGAAGAATGATTTGCTGTCACCACATGGGTTTTTGGCATGGAAACACATCTAGAGGGAATTTATGAAGATATGTCCAAAAAAATTTGATACAGCCATGTAAACTAACAGACCAACATGTTAGGATAGGATTTACATATTTATCCCGGGGGAAAGGAAAGCCGATAAGACGGCTTAATCATATGGCGAACCACGGGCTCTCATCCGGTTACCAGTCCAGGTCGGGTATGGGATTAGTTAGCCAGTTATTTGTTTTCGGAACTTGATGATGGAGAAAGCCGTAACCGATCAGCGGTTACGTGAACCATCCTGCGGCGGCGAGGAGTCCAGCAATCCTCTCGCACATGATCATCCCCGCATGGAATTCGAACCTGCGAACCCACGAAGGGTGATCAGAGATGCGGTGGCGAGCGTATTCCTAACGCTTAGCACGATGCGCCACACCGCACATTACAAGAATACTAAATAGGTAAATAATATTATTGATATATACTATTCGCAAATACAAAGTAAAATTTTCTCTCTGGGGAGGAATTCCTCCACAGTTAGGAAACGTTGTTTGTATAAATCCGGAGTGGCCAACCTGCTTTCTACTGCGATCGACTAAAATCTTCAAAATAGCGCAAGGTGGACCGATCGATGGATGATAAGGTCATACACAAAAACGAATCAGTATTGTATATGCAGATAATTGCACACACGTATACAAAAAATTCCATCGATGCCACTGAACTCGGCTCTGTGTGCGCATTTTCGATGAAATAGCCACAAAAATTTGTTATTTTTATGTTCCATTTATCTGGATTATGTAATTGCACCCACTGTAAACTATCATCATTTACTGTATTTGAGATTTATTTGAGGCCTGCCTAATTTTTAGTCGTAAGTGTTGAAAAATATATATTTCCAAACCATAAATGTCACATGACTGCACAAACTTCAGTATCTTAGTCCGATTCTCCACAGGCTCCGAATTAGAAATATGGGCATTCTGACGTCACTCCTACCGTTGTGAATTCACTACCCTTGGAATGAGACAATAACTGTCGATCGTTTCTCAGACAAGACACACGATATTCGGCAAGTTCATTTCTAAACCTGTGCAGCGGCGAAACTTTAACTTGTTACGTAATTAAATGCTCTATCCATCGGGCTTGCTTAGACTCAAATACTGTATGTGCATATCGTATTTTGGGCATGAACAGTACTGTATTCGTCTTGTGTTAAAACACACAACAGGCGTTGCATGAAACTGGTCCGAGGCAAATGTTTGGGGTGTGTTATTAAATTCACTCAACATCGGACACGATCGACTACTCCAAAAGTGGCGATCGATCGACGTGTTGGCCACCCCTGATATAAATGATCAGAAAACCACGCCAATCTTCAGTCTCAGTAAAAGTGAAGAGTGCTGCATAGATATACATCGTTCGCGCGTGCTAAGAATATCTCTCTATGGGAATTAGACACTCGTCGGTGATTTTTGATAAGCCCCCTCCCAAACCCTGTATATACTTTATGAAGGCTCGTTATTTGCCTTTATTGAAAAACAAGCGAGTAATACCCAAATATATGGATAGGATTCTCATATTTATAGGGTGCCCAAACGTGCTATTCCCACCAATGTACGCAGTACAATCAGCTGCATGAGGGCAAGCTTGTTCATGGAGTTTGGCACATAGCGGTCAGATTCTGGGATTTTACGCTGGTATAACACAAATCTATACTAAATGTTTTAGGAAATGAAATCGGTGTTAAGTAATGCTTTAAACTTTCCACTAATTTTAACCTTCAAAACAATACTGTTTGCAACGCAGAAATTCAGTGTCCATAACTTAAATCCATAACAATATAGAAATCGCGAGCTTTCCGCAACATATAAATCACTAACTGGTCCAACCATCAAAGCATTTTATTACTTGGAAGAAATCTCGAATTTACAAAGAAATTTTACGAAAGAACAAAACGAATTTAAAAGTACATGATTGGGAACATTGACTAGAGTAGCATAAAACAGTCAACAATAACTAGATTGTTATTCTTGTTAATGCAAGTATATATTCTCGTTTTCATCTACAAAAGACAAATTACTTCAAAATTTAGATGGTAAGTCAAAGGTGATTTTTCTTCTGTTGAAGTTGACATGCTTTGCCGGGGTAGTGTTATCTTCAGATGATTTAGATTCTTTAATCCCATTATCTGAATCTTCATCTTGATTGTAAACTGTGCTTGATGAACTACTCCGCACAGTGGGAGGTTTAATATCACCACTGCCATGTGATACAGAATCTTTTTTATCATCAATTTCAAAATGTAATTTTCTTGGAAACACCTTTTCTGGCCCAGATTTTGGAATATTACTCAAAGTTGCACAATTTTCTGGCATATCAGCTCGAACTTTTAAATGCTTTTGTTTTGATTTTGGATTGAATTTTTTATAACTTTCGATTCTCAGAAACGGATCGATTTTGTTTGACAATGATTCTGAAGCAACATTCATATAATTTTGGACTGACAGACTCTTTGGTGGTGACTCTATCTCAGTTCCGACTTTCTCTTCAAAAATCCCAGGTTTTCGCATTTTTAAATCATTTGAGGTAGCAAAACTTGGTAATTTCTTTTCAAATACCTTTCTCCTTGTGCTTTGATTAGAAAAGGTTTTAAAATCTGAATTCATAGATTCTGAATCACTAGTAGGTTTAGGAAACAAAGGAGTCTCAACTCTTATGTTATCAGTCTTGTTATTATTTATGTCCCTATGACTTTCCTCCATATTGTCATTTGATTTCAAGGCGTGCTTTCCAGACATCACTGTAGAGCAGGACTCAGGCGACTTGTTAATTTTCATTTCTGTCAGCCCTGTATTCAGAGAACTCGAGAATCTGGTGGCAGCTGAAGGAACAATCAAGTCATCGTCAGAATCCACCATTAGAGGGTTCTTGAATTTAGATGTATTTTTCAAGTATGAAATATTTTTGTATTTGGGAGACAAAAGTTCCTGTTTTGTGGCTTGCACAGGTTTATCGTTGATGTTGTTGGTATCACTAGAAATTTTTATTGATTTTATTTTTTTAAGGGAATCGAAAGAATGTTCTTTGTGGTTTTGGGATTCAACAACTTCGCTTGTAATTTGTATTTGAGACCTTTGTGAATAAACAAAGCCTGGTTTGTCAGAAAGAGATGTTGTGTTAACAGCAGAACTAGATTCTGAGTTTTCGTAAGAGTCAACCATCATTAAAGGGTTCTTGAATCTAGAAGCACTAGTAAATCCGGAACCAGAGATAGACTTGCACAAAGAATTGCATCCAGCAGAGACCAGTGATGACTTAATTTTTGGCAATAAATGTGAGTGGTTGTGTGGCGAGTGTTTTTCTCGTACATTCGACTGCACTCGATATCTTCCTGTTTGGTGCCAAACAAGCCTTGGTGTTAAAAAAATATCTTTTCGATTATTGATTGTAGGTCTTGCATCCTTAGGCGCACGATTTGGGGAGTCAAGAAGCGGATTTGGGATGTCATATGGGATTCCAACATTTCTCTTTCTTGTTTCTGCTGTACCATATCTAATTACAGTTGATCGTTTATGGGGTGCCTTTATAATAACTCCTTTATAACTTGTAACTTTCTTTTTAGTTTTCTTTGCTTTCTGATGTTTAATCAAATTTTCCAAATGTAGTGTCGAGTCACTGCTAACTCCATGATAATTTACTTCACCACAGTAATTTGAGATGAGAATAACATCAGGAATAGCCAGGACAAAATTATGCAGAGTAGTAAACCCAAGTTCTTCGTATGAAAGTCTTAGCCCTGGGTATAACAGAATAATGATAGAAATTTCAAAATGAAACAATGAAGAAAAATGTTACATTCATAATTTTGATTCATAATCCAAATGAAACTTGGGTTGTTTCATCCATTGGTGAATTATTTGAAATGAAAGACCTTACTGCATTATGATGATGTAAATATGAGATTTGATGCCAGAGGAAATATAGTCAGTTTTGTTTCGTACTATTCTAAGTTGATTTGAACCCAGTTACCAAATTGATGTTGAGACATTGAAACAAAATATCCTATGGTTGACTTGATCCCTTGTATAGGCTACCATAAAATCATGCAGTCACCTGTTATTTCTTTGAAATCTGATTCAAATTTGTGAGCAAGAATTCCAGTTTTTGATGAAAGCAGAACAGCACGAATCAACTTTTTTGTCCCTTCAATTGTAGGTGGCTTTTTAGGTTTTGCTAGTCCCATTTTTTAGTTTAAGGCCTGATACCGGTACGTTATATGAATAAGTAAGATAGAGTCTAAATAACACGAATTCAACAATTTATCTTTAACATCCATGAAAAGGAGTAAAATTTGTGATATAATGGCCGAACGGTTTATTTAACTTGTGACACAAGTTAATTTAGCGCTGTAGATAAAAGATTCGAAAATTGGGTAGCCTACCATGTCCGCCAATGCTGAGCCTCCCGTCTGTCATCTCCATTAGTTGCAGAATTTACAAGCGAAAGTAAGTCGGTAATAGCAAACACCGCGGAGGACAAACACCGACATCGTGTCCTTGACAATTTTGCATCATTGTGACGTCACAGTGTGAAAACTACGCCGCAATGACTTATCAGAATCTACGGTTTGCCTTACCTTGTGACAAGTATGTTAGTCGTTGGACAAGACCTATGCCAGGGATGGCGAACCTTTTTCAATGAATGGGTCAAAAATTATAATTTTATCGCGGAACAGAAGAGAGTGGGTCACAGATATTTAATTCACGTTTGTATCTATAAGAAACTTCTGAAACGAATCTTATAAGCCGGTGTTGGTGTAGTTTTGGGCTTTACTTATGCAGCACTTATATCAGGGACTTTTTATGGCACTCGGTTTTATGATATTAGAGTACGAAAATAACGCATATGAATTACCAAAAACGTTTAGGATAATGCGTTAAATTATTTTACGGTTCTAGTGTTTGGAGGTAATTCCGCTTTGATAGTGTTATAATTTTCGATCAGCTTCCAACCACATTAAGCCACTTTTTCACTGCCCCATTGTTATATCAGATTTTTAGATTTTTATTTCAAGTCTGAAAGTTTTTGTTTTCACAACGGCATTGTAGGCGAGAAACTAATAAAATGCAAAGTAGCAGCTAGTTCTCGTATAACCCCCAAAACAGTCTGCAGATGCACTTCCAAAAAAGTCAGGCGTTGCGAGAAATAAACAGATCAAATTGCATTGAAATGTCATAAACGATGTCATGCCCAATAGATGAATAACGGTACACAGCGGTGCATACATGCGTACAAGATTAGGGGTTTTGAAAATCACCATACCGGCCCGAAAATCAACATTTTGAACATGAGCGATCGCAGCCCTCCCTGACTGTCCAACGACGGTACATTATAATAGTTTAGTAATTGTTAGATTAATTTAAAGCCGGTTTTATCAATTTTTATCACTGATATGTTAGCATTTTATTCGTGCCTTCGCTTGGCGGGTCACAAATAAAACGCGGTGGGTCACTTTGTGACCCGCGGGTCAGTGGTTCGCCATCCCTGACCTATGCCAATACGGTATCTATGTCTCCTACAATACCGGTATCGATTATTGTTGTGGTAAATACGGTATAATGGAATTGCTTTATTTATCCCGGGGTCCAGCAATCATCTTGCATATAATTATCCCCTGCAGGATTGAGATTCGAACCCACGCAGAGTAATCAGAGGTGCATATTTTTTACATTGTAGTCGAGGTAGTAATTTACAAACTCTCGCGAGAGTCAGACACAAAACTTCGAATTCATCGGTGTCGGGGGTCGGAATTTTAAACTTTACTAACCAGCTGTCACGTGAATTACCTGACGGCGGCGAGGAGTTCAGCAATCTTCTCGTACATAACTATCCCACATGGGATACAAACCCACGCAGGGTAATTAGAGGTGCGATGGCGAGCGTATTCCTGACGCTTAGCACGATGCGCCGCACCGTCCTGCATCTTTATATTCAAAACGTTTAAAATTTCAAGCATGATCCACGCCACTAAATGTATTTCAGATATATATCATTATATAAACTATTTTTTGGTGGTTCATGCAAAATGTAAATGCTTTCGTTGCAAAGGAATTCTTATGTTTTATATCAGCCGTCATATTTGTGTATAATTTTACATAAGACGTTCTCGCCATCAAGAGCTATGTTAGGGTGTTTTATTGAAGTGAAAAAACACTTGAGTAATCACATGTCTCTTTTTATTATACTCCTTCGAATTATTCATTTAATTTTTGCTATGATTTAGTTTAGATTACACTTTGTCGTACAAATTGATTTTAATGGTTTCACTCCGACAATAAATATTCTGTTATAATCGTGGCTCACAGCTGAACATGTTTTTTTTTTGTATTGAATGGGATGCTCAACTTTAAAAAATGTAATCAAATTAGTCTACTCTACCGAACTTGAAAGCGATAAGTTAGGAATTGGCCTGGTTTCATTAGTCATGCGTATTCCTTGGATATGACGTCATGCATTGCAATATTTCTCTGGGCGATAATTCATTTATTAATTATTTTTGAAAACGATTTTTGCACTCCAATGAGATTACATATTTTCAAAATATTCTTTGCATTGAATTTTATTTGAGCCATTTAACATAACAATTTTGATAGGAAAAAGTAATTTTATTTATGAATCAAGGTGTGACTGGGAAATGTTAAATGTTTTAATTCATTTCGGGTAAAGAAATTATTCAGTTTTGGGACTGGCAGCTCGATTTCAACCAAATTGCAGGCTTATCAGTTATTCGGAATTTTTTGTATCTATCACTGTGGATCTGACCAAATCAAAAAATCGAACCACAGCGGGTAGGTATATACTATAGGGACAGCAAGTAATGATACAGGCACTTCGGTACCTGTACGTTCAGACGTTAGCTGCAGCAGCAGACGGTGTCTACTTACCGTACTACTCTACGGCCTGACAGCCGTCAAATGCTCAAAGGTCATTTCTAAGTACAAAAGTACGGTACTGTACTTGAACTATGATATCTCCGGTACCGTACCAGTAACGTAAGTTAACTACATCTGTGTTATCATGTGGAATTCACAACCTCATACTGTTATATGTCACCGCTTTTCCTCGTCCGTCCGACCGTCTTATTGCTCAATTGATCCGAATACCTGAATATTGGAATAACAAAATAAGCCTTAGATTTCATATTACTGTTTTACATACGGTACCGTTGCCGTACTGCCCTGCATGGAGCTATCTTTCACTATTGGTAGTGTTGAAGTTTTATTTCTGAGTGCCTAGAGAATACACCGACATAGTTTCCAATTGAGATTCTGAATGTAATATGACCTGTGTCACTTGCTTACTTTACTGTTTTTTCACTTTCAACAACGAACAAAGTAGTTTTTCCTCATTTTTGAATAAGTTCAGAAGTTTGTATGTTTCTCACAGTGTATTCCACATGCTATCTTTGTACCAGATTTAACCGGCCGTTACTAGTTAAATTGTTTTTAAAGTGGAACGGCCCTGAAAGTTTAATGCATCCGCATATTTTTTGTTTATTTCGTTCCTGACCCAATCCTTGTATACCTGGGTTCGTATGTGTGTTGGCCTATTTGGTATGTTTTGAACTTTTTTGAAATTTTGTGTTTTTATTTTTATTTTCCATTAATCTGTCTGGAAATGAGTAGAATAAAGCGTGAAAACATGGATGAAAAACATATGATCGATTCAGTATAGCAGTTATAACAGTATAAAGTGGTACTCTTGCTGTATTAAAACTAATTTAGGATATCATCTAATTATCTCATCTAATTGCGTGATATATATACATTTACAATAGTCAAACTCAATGATAATTGTGAAATTGAATTTTAGACTTCTCAGATACAGAGATCATCATTTTTTTAATTCTCATGTGGGTGTACATTTCAAATTAGCTATTGTAGCCTATGATTACTTGATGTCATTCACTGTAGATCACATGAATTTTTAAGTTATTTCATTAGATCCGATGTTTGCTAATGATAGATTCACATCAGCAATCATACAAATCATTTCAAATATCGAAAAGTTCATTGGCTTATACCGCAGAATATTTGTGAAGTAAGGGTGATTAAGTAAATTGTAACCAACCAGGTGAATGTGAACCTGTCTTCTTTATATTTATTTTAGTAAATTGTAGAGTGAGATTTAACATGTTCATATTAGTTTCATTAGTGATCTTATTGAGTTCTAGTAAAGTTGTTGCGTGAACATCGCTCTCCAAACAAGCCTTTCACAACACAATTGTTGGACACCGGAACGTAGTATGTGTACCAGGTTAGGGTTGGGCCATTATATTCTTCCAATTTTCCTTATTTTAGTTCTTTTATGAGTTTGGGGACTAGCCAAGTGAATCTCGTAGTAGGCCTATTCGTACCTGAAATTATGGCCTGACCCTAACATGGTACACATACTACGTCCCAGTGTTCGCCATCTTGGTTCACATACTTTCGGAGTACCGGTACCTAAAATTGTGATATTCGAACGTAAACTAGAATTGCCTGGCAATATCATCTGTTGCATTCTCTGAAATTTTACAATGTTATATACTCATAGTTTTTATTCAATTTGAAAGAAATACCTTTCCGCTTCATTTATTTTGTATATTATATGATATATTATCATTTTTGGGATTTGGAATAAAACACAAATATCTTTTTCACAATCATGATTATTTGAATAATAAAAGCAATATGAGGTACTAATCAGTAAATTACTTCTCAAAGTTTTGAATGTTTTTTTTTAAAAGCTGCGGTTTCAGGGTTATTAAACGCTCATATATTGTAAAGGAGAAATTTGCTAGTATTCAGTGTCACCCATTTCTTTATTTGTGGCAGAATACTACGGTTTTTCTACAATTCTATTGTATGTCTTTTCAGACTCCACTATGATCACGTATAATATATCATGGTCACAGATATTTAATGCATGTTCAGTAGTTTTAGTATGGTGCTGGGGCACGCATGACTAGCCATGCTGTGCTGTAAACAAACATAAGTTTGGTCTGATTTCTAGCTATTCATCCATTTTTTACTTCCTATTCGAGTGCTCTTGTCAGAGATTTTAATGGAAACTGTTGATTTTCCTTACATAGTTCAATCATATCGATCAATTTGCATTATGTTGCATCATATTTGAAGAACTTAGATTGAAACTAGAGATGAGACAAAATATTAACACTGATTCAAATTCCCGAAGGACTGATTATTGTCAAAATCGGTCTGTGCGTCACCTCTGTCAGTTATACAGTTGTAAGTTGGGCAAAGTTATATTTTGTTTCTCCTTACGTTAATATAAGGCCATCTATGATCTGATTATTATTTTGACAAATCACTATTTATTCTTATATTTTACTGAAGTGATGTCATATACTTATAGTTGAATACACGTCACACTTTAACGTCAATGACCTATTCTGTTTGATTTGTTTTTATTGATCTGGTTATTGAATGGATTATCTGTATAATGTTTGATAGTCAGGTATAATATTTGCATATACTAATGTTTTTTCTTAATATTTGATGATTTTAAAAAGTATATTTAGGTATTTTTGGTATTTCTGACTGTCATTTTAGTGGACGAATTGGTATTGAAACTATTGGATATTCAATTTATTTTATGGAAATGTAGTTCATAATGAGACAGAAAACTACATGCCCCTAATTCACCATTCCAAAATGATACTTCAAAACTCCTATCCACCGATGAGTCTCATTTATGATATGAGTTGAAATTCATTCATTTCATGCTTAGATTTCTTTATTTCCACAAATTTTATATCAGGAAATATTCAGTTACTAAATTTACTAAGTAAATTATTCATCCACATTTGACCATTATATAAAACTTGTTAGTGAAAGGATGTTGATGAAATTAAAACGACGACGTAGAGTTGGAGAAAGAATGTCTTACATTTGGAGTATTGATTTTTTAAATGAATTTCTGTCTGTGGGTGACAATGCTATCAATTATATTGCTTTATCTGTTACATGTGGCTGTTCAGGTTGGTTTACCATCAATACTTGTCCTTCAAGTTAGTAGTTGTTGTTTGTCAGGAAATGTTATTTAAAATAGTTGCTTTCATTTGGCACACACGCTATTATTACAGACTCAGGGATGTCCAAAACTAATCGAATATTGGAATGCATTCTAATTTTATTATATTTGATAGTTAGGCACCATTTTAAGTTAGTATAGAATATTTTTATTTTAAAATTAGAGATTTTAATTCGTAAGACAAGTAGATAAACACTTACGTTATCTTGAATGGTAACAAACAACACAGAAAAAACAATGACCTTTATATTATGAGGTTTTAGATGTGATCAACATGACGATATAGTGATTCATCTAATTTTCCACATGACTTTGTCCCTATTCAGAATGTATTCGATATTTCATATTCTAAAATATTTTTTCAGAATATAGGCAGAATAGTGTCCTTGATAAAATTGCATAAAATTTTGCTATGATTTTTTGTAAAATTTTCATGAGACAAATATTGATTTTTGAGATGAAAATCAGGTTTTGTCAGCTTTGGCATCCTTACATGTCTTGAAATCAAAGAAGGCTTGCACTATTGGTACTTTAACTGGAATATGATTATTCTCTTTAGGTAATCAGTATCACTTTCATATAGCCTATTTCAAAACCATATTTTCGGGTGCATTCTTATTTTGGGCAACAAATCGATAGAATGCTCATTGAATCTTAAACAAAAATATGGCAAACAACGATACCAAAGTAGAACACAATCATCTTGTAACAGGCATATTAGCGATATTATTAATCAAGCTGTTTTATCAGTCTTGGTATCTCTAAATTAAAAATAAATACTTTTAACTTTATATATTTGATCAGTATTGCCAAGAGAACCTGACAGACACTAACATGTCGAAGTACCTTATATAGATATCTTATATAGGCAGACAGCACCATCAACATATTGAGTTGGTGCCGAAGTAAACATCAAATCAGGAATGTACAGAACAAATTATATTCTATATTTTAAATTCTAAATTTTAGGGATGATTCAGAAAACTTACATTCAGAAAATTTTTTTGAACAATGAAAGTCTCACAGTGTAACCAAAAGGTCTTTTTTTTAAAACAATCGAATCTCTGTTCACACATCGACTTTTGTCTGTTCTTTCTTAAACAGGCTCCACTTCAATATATTCCAAATTTGAAAACATTGTAGAATGTATTTGAAATAGTACAATATTGGGTTTTTGTGACAATTGTATCCAATTGTATTGCCTTCATTTGATAAATGATTTATATGTTCACTAGCAATAGTTTCTTTAAGAGTTCACAGTGCATGCTTATGTACATACTTACTCTTTTTATAACAGTATATGAGTTTGGCAAATGGTGTTTGAATATGTGGCAAAATTTGCCGAATGCTGAATTGCTTTTACATGTTGATTGACAAGAAATTCTCTTTTTGCAGCAAATTTATTATTACACAACACTATGTAGTTATCTGGTTATACAACAAAAGGGAGGATCATAATTTGCATAAAGAGGTTTAACATTTAACCAGCGACTGTCTTATTTGTCATGACGTTCTGGGATTATCCGACGACGTTATCAAATCTGCCTGCTAATGGGGTAAGGATATACTTCAAATTATATTATAATAAAACAGTATTATGTAACTAGATAAGTTATTATGATTTAAACAAGTCTGCTTAGGCAACCACTGGCATGTGGAAATTTATTATTTTTTCATAAGGTCTGGCAACGTTCAGGTTTAACCTATTCCACTCAGTTTATCACACTCAAGCTTTCAATTTAATAAAAGACATTTTAGTTTGTAAAGATTTGCCAAAATTGTAACTACTTTTTGTTGCTTATTTGTAGATATGGACTTCTGGTTATCCATATTTCTGAAATATTTTTCTTCATTTATTACATTTATTACATGGGATATCACTGTTCTATATTGTCTCGTCTGGTATCCTTTAGATATTGATGATTGTCCACAAAGACGAGACCAACGAAAATTGTTAAGATTTATTTGGCATGCCTTTTTCTCTCATTACCTGACAATCAAATCATATATTCAGTGTGGGCGTTCTTATTTGCTCATTATATTTTGAATATATGCTAAATGATTTATTTATGGTAATATGTGGGACTATATCTACATTCGATTTTGTTTGCATTTGAAATAAGTAACTGTCTTTGTATGATATGGCCATTTTTCTAATGCAGGTTAGTAGTTGAGTATTTTCAAAGCGCTTATGTTTACCAAAATTATTTTATATTGAAAAATTATATTGTCACAGTTAGAAAAGATTTTAGACCTTGAAGTCGACATATGGCAGTACCTAAAATCAAAACTCAAGCAGGTATATCTTTCCATCCCGAACCAAAAGATCACCTGACAGTATATCTTTAAATAGTATACTGCATTCATGTATATATTTATATGAATATCTGGTATTCCTGCATCTAGTATAAGTATTTGAGTATCAATTTTTTCACAACTGTCTTGCTATGTGAATCATAGCTTGCTTGTTTTAACAAACTTGCAAATTTTCAGGCAATATCTGCTGCAGATGAAGGTAGATGTATTTGTATTATTGAAGATTTAACTTCAGAAGGAAGCAAGAAACACACTCACACTTTGCCAGTATCTACTACTACTGAACAATTGTTTGAGGTATGAATGACTATTGGTTCCTCTAAACGAATTTTGTTCTTATAAAACTGACTTTTTATATGACACTAATCACGCCTTATATTCATTGTTATGAAATTGATATTTTTCATCGTTGTCTGTGGTTTATTAGGAATTGTGAAGAAAAATAACAGATAAGATTTGAATATTAGACACCGCTGAAACACAGGTTCATTATAAAATTATTCAGGCACTAAAAACGGTACTCCCTACAAGTTCAGAGACTGTCTGTGTTAGCCAAGTGCAGGCGCGCAGCCAGGATTTTCAAACGGGGGGGTTTCATAATCATAAATTCCCATTGCGGTCTGTAACAGTCTTCGCATTACGCGCTCGTTAAAGGGACGTCTTTTCAGCGTATAATGATTACCGGTATTCTTGTCGCGTGAAATATTCAATCTCTGACAACTACAAAATTCTAAAATGTCTTTATAAATTAGTTTAATTGTGTCCAACGTAACTCGCGGTTGCTTCTTCTTACGTCAAAATTAAAACATTAGTGCTCTGAAATGCCACGGCGATCGGTGGACATAAAAATATGAGATAAACGGTGTATTTAATTTTAATACGTATTTTTGGAATCTTGCCAACTCGTTATCGTCGTTAGAAAAATCTCAATAACTGATATAAAATTACGAAAAGTACAATTTTATTTCGTACAATTAAAATGCATATGAAGTTTATCGTAAAATCAAAAATACATATTCATCGTCGCGATGACGCCACTTGTTAAAAGAGCGACGTTTACAACGAAAAATGATTTTTCTGTTGTGCAAAGTAATCAATTCGTGACCGATAAGGGCATATTTAAAATGTCTTGCTTTATTAATTTAATTGTCTTCAATTTCACCAGCGTTTGCGTCGACAAACCAAAACAATTTTTTACAATTCACAATTTTAAAATACCTCGGCCATTTGTCGACATAAAAATAAAAATTTGTGGTAACTGCCGGTATCATATATTGTTTTGATCCGTATTTTTTCTATTTTGCAAATTCGACAAATTTGAGATGTGCTTGTAACATTGACTCCGTTCAATCGCAATGCTGACACTTCGATTATTTTTAAAGATAAAACCTCCCGAAAAATCCGTAAATCTGCTGTAAATTCTCATGGAGTAAAATTTATTTCAGTACAATAAAAATTGATGGATATACTTCGGATTAATTATCATCACAAACCGGGAAAAAATCGCGTTTTCAACCTTGTTTAATGATAACACGAAAATTTTCTACGACAATTTTAAAGTAATGGATACGACCAAACATAATGTGCGCCGTAGGCACACGAAATTTTGCGATTTTGCGACTAGAAAAGCATTTTTAGACTGTCGTGGGACTCAACAAAACTTATATTGTTTACGGTTTTATTTTCAGTATTTTATTTCAGCCACTTTTCAATCAAATTTAGATCGCGGTTTTATTCCTTCTTTTGTCTTTAGAACCTCGCCACCGATGAACGTATAATAACTCACGAATTCACAATTCCGTGCAAAGTACAAAAATAAAATAATTATCATGTTTATCGTGGCACAAATTTATGATTTGGAAAGAATAAAAACCGACGTAAGGGCGTTTACGGCCTAAATAACACGCTGATGAAAACATGGGCGATTTTAGCAGAAGGCAATTTTCAGTTTTCACATTTCCGTGTGGGTACAAAAGTAAAATAATTATCATTGTTCCCGCGGCACAAATTTGTGATTTAAAGAGAATAAACACCAATGTAAAAGGCATTCACGGCATAAATAACATGCGGCGTTGATGAAAACGAACGGCGATTTTAGCAGAAGGCAATTGCACGTGTTATAGGCAACTTTTTCGCTTTTCAGAAAATTCAAAAGGGGGGGGTTTCGACCCCGACCCCCGGCTGACTGCCCCCCCCTGACTGCGCCACTGGCCAAGTGAATGCACACTTGATGTAAAATATGTGTTTTGTTTTAGCCTATTTTCTCCCATCCTGTATCCAAGTCAACAAACAGATTCATTAACAGTATTAACATGTTTATCAAGACTAGATCAATAGGGCAATAACAATAACCTTTAAATAATTCTCAAAAAAAAATAAAATGAAAAATTTTATGAACTCAAGTAACCCATTGATTTTATCATGCATAAGTACTAATAGTATTTTCTTGTCATTCATTCAATATTCATTAATGTAGGTTGAATGTGCATACATGACTGTCAGTTATGATGATTTTAATATACTGCTAAGAATTCTGTACTGAGTGTTTGATATTGTATAATTTGGGGTGCGATATTTTCTGATGAAGTTAGTATATATGAAACGTACAAAATTTCAATGATTATCAATATTTCCAATTATTGAAACAAATATCGTATTCACTATACTATACAGCAGAATTCAAATTCATAAAAAACATATGTTTCAACACTGAAAAAATTAGAGCAATCATATTCATATATATAGGGTCGGAATGATCTGTGTACATTGGCCGATGCTAATACTTATTTCATAAGGTGTTGGTATGGATGCCGATAAGCTTCCTCTTTTTGTAATGGGTACTGAGCTATCACGCTATGTTGAACAAAGACAATGTAGACATTCTGCATGAAAATAAAATCGACAGGACGAATAGTTCATCGGGTTATAGATGAACATGAGACGTATCAACCAGTCCTAGATAATTTGTGTTAAATTTCATTTTTTTCCACTTCTATTTTTATGCATGCCGAATTAAAATCCTTTTCAGATTGTTGCGAGCAAATTGAAGTACAAGAACTCAACATTCACGATGACTTTCACAAAATCTAATAATTCTAGCGATTATCAATCGATAACAAGTTCGAAACAAACGTTAGGTGAAATGGGATTTGAGCCGGGAAAAAACTATGTTCAAGTTGCACGGCAATATGGAAACAAACCTGTTTCTTCACATATTTCTACAATTGTAAGTTTGTTTTTATGGGGCCCCTTTATATATTTGTGAATGTTCTGTAGAGATTGGTCAAAAGTTTATTTTTCACATATATCCATATCACATTCATTATGCCCAAAAATAGCATAAACTGTTTGTTGCAAATGATCATAAATGACCAAAAAACTGATAGACATGTAAGGTTCAAATCTAAATTTGATTATATTCCATAAGATATGTTATTTATATACATTTGTATACTCAACCTATAAAATTGACATTTTGAATATGTGAGTGACAATCAAAAAGGACTCTTAACTTCTGACAACTGTAATAAATATTAACTGACCAAAACAATGTTTATATCAACTTTTCTACCTCAAGATTTTTGATTTTTTCAAGTATACATTTATTTATATATGTTCTGTTAAATGTTTTGTTTCTGCTAAATGTGGGAAGTGTTGTTTTGGGATAAAAAATCTCTGTTAGACCAGTTGGGCTCAACTTTCCAGTAACTAGAGATGGAAGTTTGCATCAGTAGGCATTTTTAATGGCATTTTTTTTATTGATTTTAGGTCTCTCTGTGGGGCCTGTTATCTTCAAAATAAAACTATACTTTTATTTCTTACTTAATCGCAATGAACTGGGTCGCTATGTCATTTGGAATTAGGATTTTAACGAATGTGTGAATGCCAACTTGAGTGTAATGAATTTTCTGAACATGAATGTTACTTATATTTATTAATAATCGCTTCAGAAAACTAAAAAAAAAATTATTTTTTCAGACTGAGGATTCTGGCGATGAAGCAACAACATCAGAAACTGGATGGTCGTATACCAATGCTGCTACAGGAACCAGCAATTTGCCGGATGTTGTTGCTTTGCCTAAACCTCCCCCTATACCACCAAAAATAAGTGAAGGACGAGGTCATGCCAGAAGGAACGCTGTTGGCTCGGATGAGACTGAAAGCTTCACGGTAATTATGTCAATTGGAAATGGTTAACAATGAGATTAAGGCAGTCCCTGTGGCTGTCAACATTTATAACTAGTAATCTAGTCTAAATAAATTTTTATGCATATTATTGTGCTTGATGATAAGAATAAATTTGCATTTGTGCTCTCGGCAAGAAAGTTAAAGTTAAAGTGTGGTATTCCTATTTGTAATTGGTTGTGCTTTTTTGAGTGACTTTCTTGGGCTTGAACCTACTTCACACTTTTGTTCTGTTACTGTTCGTCGTCAAATCATCATTATGGAAATTTATTCCATGTGGTAATATAGCATATATGGGCATACAAATAGAGTGGCCTTTCTACAATGTCTACGTTTTAAAAAAAATTCAAAACATCTATATTTCTGCATAATGCTCTGTTTCTCTGTCTTTTGGAAATATAAATGCCAGAATATAGGTATTACTGAAGAAGTATGCATACCAAGATGGCGGAACGTAGTATGTGTACCAGGTTAGGCCATAACTTTAGGTACAAATACTACAGGACTACTAAAATAAGAAAAATTGGAATAAAATTATGACCCAACCCTAACCGGGTACACATACTACATTCCGGTGTTCGCCATCTTGGTAGGCATACTTCAGGAGTACCGAATATACACCTATAAGCATTAACAAAAAACATTAATGAAGAAACCTTATATTGAAAAAATATGACGTGACAAAACTACTTGCCTAGTGTCGTGAGACATTTTGGTATTTCAACAAATTCTATTCTATCAAACTGAAATTACCGTACTGCATTTCACATAGTATTTTGGGACATTTGTTTTTATAATATAGTTTCATGATGTAATCGGGTATAAATATTGAGACTTTTATGAATGACTGTCCGGGGTTGAACCATAATTTTGCTGAATATGGAATCCCATAATGCATTGAAGCTAATTTGACTCAGAGTTTGATGGTTGGAAATCAGGAAACAAACTGTCATTCATCATTATTGATATAGGCTATGGATGGCGTCCCACTTCCATATTATGCTCTTCAGAATCGGAAATTGAAAATTTTCTTCAATCATTGTTGAAAATAAATGTGATTTGAAAAAACGATTTGCTTAAATATTCTGAAATTTGAAATATATATAAACTAAATTGAAAAATATGAAAATTCATTAAAATACTAACATTTCAAAGTGAATGGAAGGATCGAAGGAATTTTTTAAAAGTTTAGTAATACAGTTCGTAGTAAGGGAGCCATCTAGAATAAACTGATACTTTCCAGCTGTGCCTGACTCAGCTGGCTAAACTGCCTACAGTCGCTAAAATGGTCATTCAATAATCATTATGCTTAAAATTTTGAAAATTTTCTTTCTGTCATCTTCCTCCTTATCAAGTTTGAGGCTTCTAGTACTAAGAGGATCATCTTCGTTATTTAGTGGGCGAAAAGTGTATTGTATATATAGATCATTTTGCTGAAAATAAATCACTTTTCCTTTTGAATAATGTACTATACCAGAGGTGTGCAACAGGCACCCTGTAGGCCACGTCCCTGTCTGCCAAGCCATTTAGAATGGCCCCTGTCGAAACTCAGATTGTTCCCCAACAAGTAGGCTTGCACGTAATTGACAAAAATCAATTCCGTAATTACGGCCAAATCGATTACGTAATGACCCCGTAATTTCGATATTTTTTTCACGCATTTAAACCTATCATAACAACCAATTGAATCCACTTCTATTCCGAATGGGACATCGAAGTTTGGTTTTCATATTCCCGGCAGTACTACACGCCGGCGACAGGTGTTAAAGACAATTATCAAGGAGTGAATTCAAATTAATTTTATTCTGATTTTTAGCTTTTGTGTTAGCTTTGATTTTCCTTTATCACATTTATCACCCAATTTTATGCGATCAATTTTATCATTACCGACACTGGTATACGGATATTTATGAAACGATAGTTGACTTTTTTAAAATCGTATTAGCGTATTAATAGGACTTTCGTATTAAATAAAAATTTCGGGTTTCTAATTTATTAATCAGACTTGTTATTTCACCGTTCTTATACAATATCCGACTTTACTACTTAGTTAGCATTTTATAATAATTATTGATGCCGAGTTATTGACGATATTCCGATTACCATGCTTCATTTTACATTAAATCATTTCGCGGCCTAAATATATTATAACATTATTTGCGATAATTCAGATCAAATACTAATTATTTGCGCATAATTTAAATACCGTACTTATATGACATGCCTTCTCCGGAAATACAAAGTTATATCGCAAAACAATGCATTTTGTGACATTTATTTTGCACTCACGAAAATATTAATTTATTTTTCTAACTCAAGTCGACAATCCTATCGGCCAAGATTGACACAAGTTTGGTCGAATGCTGGCGGTATTCGAGACGATGATGAATCAAAATAAGTTGCCGCATTTGGTAAAGACATTTAATCATATTTGGCCGAAATGTTGCGAGGCATTGTGAAAAACATATTGAGCAAGGCCATGTCTGGAGAGATATTTAACGATAAAACCGGTAACAGAACATCAAGATTCTGTAATAGAAAATGGTTCTCGCGCAGAATAAACACGGGAAATCCCGTCGTCTCTCTGCCGGCTCAATCGCTTTACCGATGCCGAAAAGACTAAGTTGCGTTGGTTCATTACGCAATTTCTCTTCCGTCGTCATATTGCTGTTTGATAAGCGCGACATTAATTATCACGGCATTATCTACGGTTAATATGTACATTGGCCATGCTAGATAAGTTGATAATAGATTAGTAAATGGCAACGCGTTATGCCTTCCCCACCTGCGTGACAAGAGAGAGAAAAACGGCTGCGAATACCGGAACTCTAACTTCTTCTACTTATTAAACTTTAATTTTTTACAATCGACGGAATTGACTGCTCTGAAAAGAGCTCGTTTCAATTGCCAAAGCGCTCGACCAATAATTACGACTTTACGTAATTCGTAACTTCGCTTCCGTAACTCGAAATAATTCCGTAATTCCGTAAATCCGTAAATTACGTGCAAGCCTACCAACAAGCATAAAATCTAAATCCGATATTTTGTGTTTAAAAAGTCGCTCACATGGGAAAAAATACATAATGTTTTTTGCTCTTGTCACTGCGTTAAATCTTACGTCGCTTTGCGCGGTCAGTGCCTTTATTACTGCAAGGCTAAGCGATAGCCACATTCCCTCCTCTTGCCTTTCTCGCATGGATAAACTAATTTTTTTGTGTGACCTTGCTAGATGTCTGAAGTTGATTACCGTTATATGACAAAAAATTTTGCATAACCCTGGATTATACCATTTCAAATCTTCAATACTCTAAGATGGTTGAAGTCGTTAAAAAAATTACCTTTTATTCTTTTAAACTTCTTTTTTGTGTCTTATGGTACCCATGCTTTCACTCAAAATTCTGATTTCTAATTTTAATTCCTGGGAACCCTATATATCACCCTTTTTATATTCTTTTGTGTATGTATATTTTAGCATTACTGTCTTTTCAATCACAGGAAAGCATAAGCAAAGCAGCTTCACGAATCAAAGGCGAAGAATTCAAAGGTGTTGATAATAATAAGGAATCTAGATTGATAGGACTTGTGAACCAAGCTATGACCTGCTATCTGAACAGTCTTATTCAAACTTTATATATGACACCAGAGTTTAGGAATGCCTTGTATGAGTAAGTTAGCAAATTTTTCACTGATTAAATTTATTTCTGTTCATTTTCAGAATTGCTTGGAGAAGCTCGATGTAAGAGCACAATGCCATAAAATCTCATTCTTAACTAAATTTACTTCATAATTTTTTAGCATAATCTGAAATACTGTTTTTAGACTTTTCACTATATGGACTAACTTTTGTGTTAGTTTTGTAGTAGATAGTAATCCCTTTCTTAGATTGTCCTTTTCAAATCTATACATGTTATTTTAGCATTGTTTTTTAAAATTTTACCATTGTCTCAAGCTCAAATATACCAAAACATCACTCTCTATAGTTGTTTTGACATTCTCAAATTAGTGCAATAAATTCTTATACACACATTTACGTTATTCACCGTTATGTTTTTTCCTGTAAATGCCTATATATTTACCATGGATCCTGCATATAAGCCGACCTCTTAAAAGGGCCCTAAAACGGTGAATTTATAAAAATTCGCACATCAGCCGACCCCACAAATTGTAGCACTCTGCGCGAGTAGGTGTTGGAATTAAGTTAGCACAATTTCATTTTATTTGAGTGCGATCAGAGTTATGCGTATGAGCCAAGTTTGGCAAGTTTTTTTTTTTTTTGAGTTTGTATGAAAGTATGAAGTTATTTTTGATAAAAAGCAAATAAAACATAATATTTGTAGATGGGAATACAAAGGTACAGAAGAAGAAGCAGCAACAACAATTCCCTTCCAGTTACAAAGATTATTTCTTGCGTTACAAACTTCTGATAAACAATCTGTTGAAACCACTGATCTTACTAAGAGCTTTGGATGGGACAGCAGTGAAGGTTTGATTTTTGTGATGATCAACGTGGTTTTACACAAAGACCGCCATAGGATAATTAGACCTCCACAGAGTCCAGAAGTATTTGCACCAAGATGGCGCACAACCGGAACATAGTATGTGTACCAGGTCAGGGTTCAGGTTGTGCACCCTCTTGGTGCACATACTTCGGGAGCGTTGGTTAATTTAATTTGGAACACTAACACTTGGGTTATTCTGCAAGAATTATCTGGTATCTTTGAAGTGGTGTTAAACTTACTGTCTTCTACTCAAACTCCATTAGCGCGAAGGTGCACATTTATTATTCATGTCTGTCCCTTCGATTTAAATACTATGAAATACCGGTAGTACACTCCATTTGCAGCTTATTGGGGCCTATATTTAAGTTCAATCTCATAGTTTGACAATTAGGTTACGTTTACCAGTAAGAAATGGATATGACTATTTGGCTCATTTCTCTATTCAATATAAGGGTATTCGGTTGCCATATAGACAACAAGTTGGCATCACACCTATAATTATTCTGCGTAAGTTCAAATTTCATGGTGGATAATTAGCTTGCTGGACTTGTCATAGAGTGGTCTGAAGTTATGGTTTCCTCCATCATCGAGTCCATGTATTTGAAAACCAATAACTGGCCAACTATTTCTATACCTGGCACGAACTGTCACCTGGACGAGAGGCATATATAAAGCAGATCTAGGGTATAAAAACGGATCATATGCAATTCCAGAAAAGTCTTTTTGGGGAATCGGTAATATATATCTCATTAGAGTCTTGTGGGAGCGTGAACATTACACTTGAAAAAGTGTAAAATATATTTATTCATATTCACAGCCTGGCAACAACACGATATACAGGAGTTATGTCGGGTCATGTTTGATGCATTGGAACAAAAGTTCAAAGAAAGTGCTGCAGCTGAATCAGATGATGCCGAAAATGATGAAACAGATGAAAATGATGGAAAACTGAAGGAAGGAACAGACAAAACAGTCGAACCAGAGATTATAAAGTTGTATGAAGGTACTTGAAGTGGAATTTATTTATTTTTTTCATAGTTTGAGTCATCCAACAACTCCACATCTTCCTAAATATCTCATACTGGCCGTGATTTGTTTCGATTTCTAAATTCTATAGAATATTTTGCACACGAACACAAATGTAATTCTGTATTGTTTCGGGCAGAGAAGTATATTTCACATGTGGCAGAAATCCTGGAATACATTTGTGTTGATGCATAGCAATTAGCAAGATTCTTGAATTAAATAGAATAGTCATCTTTATACTTGCCACAGCATCCTTGCAATAAATGCACATGCCAAAGGCATAGAGGAAGGATAGCTCACTCCCAATTAGTTTTGTTCTTATGTTACAAACAAATGAAAATACAGACTTTTTCAGAGAATTTTGTGCATTTGCATTGTAATTGTGATGAATCAGAAAATTTATTTAAAATAAGAATACCAAAATCCCTTTCCATGAAATAGATAGTGCATTTGGTAGCTTTCGTTAGATCATAGTCTGAACTAGCAAGACATTACTGCAAAGATAAAGTTCACAATAATTGTCGGGTCAGGTTACTACGATAAGATTGCAATACTCACCCTAACTTAGCTTAAAAGCTGGTACTGGTGTCAAGTTTTTGCTTTGTGTCTTTGTTATGTCTGAACATAGTTTATTCAAAAATAGTCCATGGCCTGATATAATATGGGTATCTTGTTGATTTTAACAAAGATTTCAAGTGCTAAAAGGAAAATTTTTTTTTCAGTATTTCAAAACAATTTAACCATACTGTCATACGCCATTGGTCATTTGCTCGTCCTCTAATATCATTTTTAATTTTCCGTTACAACAGGAAAAATGAAAGATTATGTCCAATGCGAAGAATGCAAGAATGAAACTTGTCGGAATGATACATACCTCGATATTCCGATAACCATTCGACCATTTGGAAGTGCCACTACTATTTCTAGTGTGGTGAGTCATTATACAATATTGCTTTTTATATGTGTGTTGTAGGTTGTGAAACAGAATGTACTAGGAGGGTGCACTAATATTGGCCTAGTGCAGGGGTGGGCAAGTTTTTTTACCATAAGAGCCGCATGTAGCAAAGCAGAAATATGGGGGCTCCCGAAGTATGCGAACCAAGATGGCGGACATCGGAATGTAATATGTGTAATAGGTTAGGGTTAGGCCATAATTTTAGGTATAAATACTACGGGAGGCTCTTGGCTAGTCTTCGAACTGATAATAGGACTAAAATAAGGAAAATTGGAAAAAAAGTATCGCCTAACCCTAACCTGTTACCCATGTTACGTTCCGATGTCCGCCATCTTGGTTCGCATACTTCGGGAGCCCGGAAATATGTGAGAGCCACAGAATTTGTAAAATTATGAATATTAGAACTCATCAAATCATTTTGAATTGTAACTGTTACATTGATATATACTAATTTGGAAGATGCGTCTTTGTGTAGTGCAACACAAAATTGGCGTTTTGGCTATTGACTGCAACAACATCAGCAATATTTCACAAAATAAAGTCACAGTATTGGTGTTTAGCACTAACAATATTCCATGATATAACAAAACTACGGTAGCTTCCATTGAAGAATCGGAATCCAAATGATATCATCAATTTCTGCTATCTTTTCAGTATTAATTTAAAAGTCATTTAATCTGTTTCATTATGGCTGATTTACGTGGGTAGTTTCGTTTGGAGTTTATGTGATCCGTTCGTTGTGCGGCAGTGACCATTGTGACATAAGATTTGTCGCTTGACTGATTTAACTTGACTAATTCCACGTCACAACGATTTTCATATTAAACATAATTTGTCTTAATCATTGATGAAATCTTCTTCTACCGCTTAATAAATTAAACTGTTACTCTATATTTTCTCTTAAGTTAAATTTGGATAATAATAAATGTTAGCGAGAAGAGCCGCATAAAAACTCTGGTTAACGGCATGCGTCTCGAGAGCCGCGGTTTGCCCACTGTTAGCCTTAGTGGTTTATTTAACTAGAGTTGACCTTACTATATGAGCATCACAGACTAAGAGTCTCTGCTTCAATTTCTATGCTCTTCTAACTATGTGAGCATCGCAGACTAAGAGTCTCTGGTTTAACTTCTATGCTCAACAGCAATTTCTTACCATTGTGCTGCCTTCATGTTAATATATTTATATATTTAAGCATTGCTCGCTTTTTTTGATACATTAAAAAATTAAAAATACAATTTTTTAACAGAAAGGTTAATTTAATGAGATTGCAACATTTTTTTCCATTACTAAATTTTAAAAGATGCTGCAGAAATAGAATTTATATTAATAATATTTAATTTTTTTCACAGATGGAAGGATTGAAATTATTTGTTCAGTCCGAAACTTTAGATCAAACAAACCAATATTTTTGTGAGAAATGTAACAAGAAATGTGATGCAAAGAAAGGATTGAAGTTCACATCGTGAGTAGATTATTTTTTTTGCTCAGTGGCAATCAGTTCTGTGGGTCCAGAGTCTGGGTTTGGCATTATTATTTTGTTTGGACTCTGAGCCAAAGTCCTATTTTTAAAATTCTGAATTATGTTTCAATGATGATAATTTGTGTGGAAAAATTGAAAAGTTTACAAACTGTTTTAAATTCTATTAAAAAGGCTTCCTGTATGCCAAAGCTTTAAAAACAAATCTCATTGAGTGCAATGCCACCCTAGCTTAAGGAACTAGTCCAAAAGGTTTGAGGATGGCTTGAAAAAATTATACACTTATTTGACAATACAGCCGTGGCAATTGAGAAAGCAGTGGGCTTGCTTTTGTGTGTATGTGGAATATATTCTACCCTTTATGGTGACTTTTATACCGATATGTAATTTTGCTTGTAAAATTATGCTGAAACTGAAACTATAGGCAAATAGTACTAACAACGCTACTGCTGTAGTGTGTGTACCAGGTTACAAGGTTAGGCCATAATTTCATTCCGATTTTCCCTATTTTAGTTCTATTCAGAGTTTGGGGACTTTCTCTTTTAGCCAAGGGAATATACTTCATACCCATAGATTTCATTCTCTTTACACAACTTGATGTCAAGTAGGCGAACAAAATTGGTTACCTCCATATTCATACACATACTTCTGGAGCGCCCGACAAACTAGTGTTAGTCTGATTCCATGAAAAAATTATATTTTTGATGCATTCAGTTTCCGAGAGTCTGAATTCTTCCTAAAAAATTAATCACAGGTGCCCCAATCGGGTAAGTTATTGTGATATGCCACCTAACAATATCACTACGCTGTTAAATAATAATATTTGATAAATGGATAAATTATCTGTATATATGAGCATAGGAGTTTGTGTGATATCGCAGGTTACACATACAGGTTTCGTATCCCATGATCACCTCCAAGTGTCATGGATTGGGTAGACAATGCTTAACCGCGGAAAAATTCTGGTCTAAAAATAGTAATTCCTTACATATCAATCTTTACTTGTGTAGGACCGTATAGCAAAAGGCATTAATTAAACGCTCTGTATAAAAAATCTTCATGTTATTACAGCTTCCCGTACCTACTTACTTTGCAACTGAAGAGATTTGATTTTGATTATCAAACCATGCATCGGGTCAAGTTAAATGATCGAATGTATTTTCCACAACTTCTGGATTTGAATGAATTCATCGAAGATGAAGAATTGGATGAAAACGACAAAGACAAGGTGAATTATTTATCAGCTTTTAACTGATGTGCAATGAAACGTTACATCTGAATCTTGTTCCGCTTGCGTCTTAAATTTATATTTTACTCAGTTACAAAATTTGAATTGAATTAGGAGGTGGGCAACTTTTAAAACAGGAGGGTCACATACAAATAACTGGGTGAACTGCAAGTCGCACTTTTATTTGACATATTCTTTCTTGTAGTTGCAGACACAAAAATTTTGGTTATTGATCTTTGAATTTGATCAGGCTTTGCATCACAAAGGAATCACTCGCACGTACCAGATTGAACCAAATTAAAAACTAGTTTTTCGAGCCGCATAACATCTTAAATTGGCACTTTTTTGTGGGCCGCACAATTTTTTCTTGTTGGCCATGTTTGGCTCGCGGGCCGCAGGTTGCACACCCCTGATGTATAGAATCGTCTCTTAATAATAGAATCTTCGCTAACCAAAATCCTATTCGTTCTATGCACTCAAGAAACATTGTATGTACATACATTGATGTTAACCCTTACCGTGCGGTGGGCACGTATACGTACCAACGACAAAACTCGCTAGATCGTGGCGGGTACTTTAAGTTACCCATTGTTTTATTTAGCAATCGGTCGCAAACTGTTGGTCTAGTTTTTCCGGGTTTTAGTTTATTGATAAGTCTTCTTCGAGATTAACATAAGCAACGTTAAATCTCGCTTTCATTTACGGCGGGAATTTTATTTGCGGCAGAACGAGTGAGTGTTTTTGAAATTTATGCAAATTTCGGTGTTTTTTGGGTGGTAATAGAAGACATATTATCCCTTCCATCTACCAAAGTATTTTGAGTTAGATCACGAATTTGCTACAGCAATATTATGCTATTGTTTGCCAACCACGTAGCGGTATCAGTAAAGGATTTGGCTAATATTTCTATTTTTTATCGCGGTTTGATGTTTCAACTCCCGAGAAAAAAAAATGCCTTTTTTCTATCCCGTTTGTGACTCAGACCACCACTTTTGAAAAAACTTTTTTTTTTATCGCCAATTGCAAGCTCTTTAAATAAGCTTCCCAACGAGCCATCAGTGGGCAGCAGAGGATCATTAGTTTTTGGTTAGTTGATCGATTAGTTGTGGGGTTATAAATGCATAAAATCGGCGTAGCAAATACGATTATTTAAAAAAAAAAAACGCATGGAAAGGGTTAATCACTGCCATTTTAAATGGAATATTGTTATTATCAGTAATTTGAAATATTGTATCGTTGATTCGTTGCTTTTTTGTTGTTATGAGCTAGATGAAACAGCTATATCAGTAGGCTATATCCCTAGTTTTAACATGTAACGCAACATAACTAATTGATCATTTCTATCAGGAATCCATCTCAGATCAAGCAAGTGATTGTGTTGCCGCAGAACTCGATCAAAACGAGATTGAATGTGAGTAGAATATTTGTGTTGGTATGTGTTCACATCGGCAGTCTGATTTCTATAAAAAACTAGGCTATCTGTGTTAGATACTTTTTTTATTCACCTTCGTTTATTTATAGTATATGTTATTCATTGTAATCCAAAAACCTGCTTATTGTTTCCGAAATTTTTTGAAATGTTCATAAGGGTTGCGCATTATATATCATCATTTTACATCAAATTAAAAAAATCGAAAGGCGAAATTATGAAATCTTCCTTATTTCAATATTATTTTAGACCTCGTTTACAGTCCATGTACCTACTAGCCAAATATTGTACCAGACAAAAAAGTGTATGCCCAAAATTTATTTCCAAGATCTATCGATCGTAATATAATCGTAAATTGTTCATTTTCTCCTTTACAGTACAAATAGAGGAAGAAGGGGATAGCAGCAGTAGAGACAGTGGCAATGATGATGACACTCGTCCTACATGCAGAGTTGAAGGTGGGAACAGGAGGGTTGCCAGAGTTTCTGATGATAGTGAAGAAGGTAGTGTTAACTTTTCAGTCTTTCTGGGACTTTTGTATTGTGTATTTGTGTTATTGAAATTTTTTTGGCATGATATTTGGGGAGTTTGTTATTCGGATTTTCATATTTATACTTGGACAGAAGAGAGGATAAGACGGTTCATTCATATGGTGAACGGCGGCCTGTCATCAGGTTATCAGTCCATGTTGGGTATGGGAATAGTTAACCAGTTATGGTTTCAGTTTCAGGTATTTGATGGTAGATGGAGTCGTAATTGACAGGATTTGATGTAACTGTCCAAAGCTTTTTAAATAATTTAATGCTCTCCAAATTTGGTATATTTTATATAATCAATTCCTGATTTTGTGAAAAACTTAAAAATGGTTATTTTGGGTACCTAATTGACGTCCGACAGTCTGAGTAAAAATACATCTAATTGAACTCCTCGAAACTGTAGGAAATAGTAGACGGAATGAAACAGTGGTATCTGTATTTTTTCTGAATCACCAAAAGCAATCTTCTTGAATATGTAATGCTTTGAGCATGATGAACATTGTCTCATTTAAAATATATCCAATGGTATTCAATATTCAAAAAAAATTTATCCGAATTGATGAATAATTTCATTTTGATCATATGAAATTTTTCATTTATTTATATGGATTTCAAAGTAGATCAACGAGCATATGCATAGACCTTAGGAATTTTTGTTGTTTCGAAAAACCAAACTATGTTAATTCTTTCAAAACAACAGTGTTGGACACTGTTTCAATTTTTCCATTTTTTGTTTTCAAACAGACAGATTTTACTGATAGTGTGTGTAGCAATTTCAATTTCAAATTTGGACTGCGCAATGGCCTAGTGGTTAAGACATGTCCCCCACCTCACCCAGGGTGCAATCAATTTGGTGGGAAGTTTCAAACTTGAAAGATTTCTGTTCTTTCAAGTATTAGTAGCAGTATATATTCATACCATGAGTTCAACACAATTATTTTGTTTTACTTTTTTTTATCTTTTTTTAATATATTTCAGGAAGCAGTGTAGATGAAGGTATAGACATCGAGTCACAATCTGGTCAGGGCATTGGAGGAGGAAATGGATTAGATGATGGACCAGGGTCTGGGAGTTCGACTCCAGGTGCTATTGGTGGGATTCCAAAAAGCCGGGAATGGGAAAATCTTCATGGAACTACAAAACCAAAGACAGAGGTGATTTGAAATGAATAATTTTTTGTTACTTATCGATTTTAATCGGTAAGTATGTTGATAGGTATTTGTCTGTTTGTCTGTTAGATGCACGCGATATCTCACGAAAGCGGGATTGAATCTGCTCCAAATTTTGCATGTGACTTCATCATATGTCGGACCAGAAGCTTATTGATTTTGGATGAATTATGTCGTATAATTAGCGAGTTGTTAATTAATTAGTAATGATCCCCTAACTTTCGATCGATAAGTCTTCGGTCTCTGACCGATATTCTCGTTTGTTTATTGACTGTAATTGATAACTCAAATTCTTTTGAATATATTCGAGGAACAAATTCTAAATTATATTCATATAGTTATGCTCACATTCCTCTGATTGTCTGAGCCCGTCCTATGTTCATTGTCTGTTCTGTTTTCATTGAAACAAACCACAATGTCTCAACATGAAATGTAGTAATATTTATGCAGAAAATTGCTAAAATTGTCGATAAAAAATGTATGTGAGCTTACTTTAACATATTGCTTTGTTTCTGTAATAAAGTTTTCTCCTTATTTCACTCTTAAAAGTATGAATTACGGACTCTCTTGGGAATTCCAAATTTTAATTTCCACTCCTGATTCTGGCGAGTTTGAAAATATCACTAGCATTAAGGCATTATCAGTAAAAATATTCTAAACTCTAACCAGACAGCTCTGGTTTGAATAACCGACAACCGCTTCCATGTTTTAATTTTCTGAATACGTTGTTATGTCTGTCGTTGCATTCATTATTCCTGTGATGCATCCATATATGTGAATGATGTAACCAAAGGAATAGAATCTATCTCACAAACACTTTGCTTAAAAAATTGCAATGCACATTTGTGTGAATGAATCTAGTTTCTGCGGTCTGTTTGCATTTGATGTTTTATGATAAACTCATCTCCTAAAAGTAACTCTGTATTTGCTTAGTCTGAGCTATGTATATTTAATGTGTTTCGAATATATTTACTTAAGAATTGTGAAATTTGTCCAGTATGGGATGAATCATTTTATTTATTTTTTCAATTTCCGATTAATTTAAAATAACGCACATTATGATACCGATCAATCCTTGTGCACTGTGGGTCAATCTGACAAAGTTATTCAAACTCCAATATTAAATTGACGTCACTTTAAAGGTATTTCAAAATTTCAAGATGTGTTAAATATGATATCTTTAACTACACAAATACTAGTATTCAAAATTTTAGAGTTTAGTTAAAAATACTAGTATTTGTATATTATTTTCACAGTTTGTATATTTTTTTTCTAACTATGAAATTATAATTAAACAAAACTTAAGATTTTCAAGATACTAATAATTTTCACGACGTCATGACAATGCCGAGTTTCAAGCCATCAGAATAAATTCTATGTTCTATTTCTATTTTCATATTTTTTTATTTTGCTAAATTGGTGTTGTGGGAGAAGTTGGTAGAGGGCTGTTGTTTTTCTATTTTAAGTCCAATCGAACACAATATTCTATTTTAAATCGTTGGAGCATTTCTTATTCTTTCGCACTCGTCTGCCTCTTGTCACACTTTGACACTGAAATTTTCTGCTAACTCTTGTGTTTAACTATAAGGCTTTACTCTATCGTTACCGTTGACCTCCTTGAACGCAACTCTCTCGGTTCTTGTATGATCATACAAGCTAATGGATATATATCTTCTATTTTACCAGGGCAAATACACTTACGAGTTGTTCTCAGTGATGATACATTCTGGCAGTGCAGTAGGAGGACATTACTATGCCTATATCAAATCATTCGATGATGGCCAATGGTACAGCTTCAACGATCAGGTATGGCATTTACATGGATATAGAAGTTTTACCAAAGTACTATATACGTGGCCTTGTATAATAAGCAGCCACTGATATCTAACGCAGTGCTCTTCAACCAGGTATACGGTATACCCAAGTGTATACCGGACCATAAGTTGGGTATACGACTGATAAAAGGTATACGAAGGGTGTACAGCCTAAGTCAGGGAATCGGGAATCTAATATAATAAATTATAAAATATTCAAGCGGAGACAACAATGCAAACGCGGCGCACATGAAATACAAAATGTCATTTACTTATAAAACTGACGTGAGCACATTGTTACATCACAAAATATATAGATAATGCGGTCACGTGTCTTGGTTGGTGATTTCAACTTCATACATTTCGTTTGATTTACGTTGAACATTATTCCCGTTTACTTTAGTCTTGGTTGGTGATTTCAACTTCATACATTTCGTTTGATTTACGTTGAACATTATTCCCGTTTACTTTAAGTCTGTCAGTCAAATTTATAACTTGTGGTCACCAGCCTATTAGATTGCATGATGTTGTTGCAGCAGTACAATATGTGCTTAAAATTTATTGTTTATTCGAGCCTTAAATAAACATTGGTATTTGTAAGGTATACAAAGTTCTTGAAAAACTGTAAAAGGTATACTTCGATAAAAAAGGTTGGAGAACACCGATCTAACGATATGTAAGGAGCTATTATCCAATACCACCCAATTTATCACCTTGGGTGAGGTGGTGGAGATGAGATTTGAACCAGAGTATGATGTCATCACAATCAATTTGGATCTTTTATCCACTAGGCCAACTGCTAAATCTTCAGCACTGGTGTACAGTCAGAAATTTTGAATATATTTACTTCTAACAGAAGTTCATAACATAGCAATGTTCTATTCCAATCTTGTTCACCTTTCATTAGTGAATACTTATATTTAATATACCATGTTGTTTTGGTATTTGACTTTCTTTCACGCAATGTATAAAAAAAAGTAGCATTAACGTTTATTTTTACTCTCACCCTTTTGCGTTAAGGCTAGAGACACTGAAACATATGTGTGATATCTAAAACTATGAGAAACAATATGCATTCTTTAAATAATTTTTTATTGATGTACAGTAAAGTTGTTAAGAATAAAAGTTTTAGGTAGTTACTTCATTAATTTCATTTTCACTTGATAATACTCACAGTCACAGGTTTTTAACTCTGCTTTTATTCAGATTGTTTCACCAATATCGCAAGAAGATATTGAGAAATCATACGGAGGATCTGGTGGAAGAAGTTCTTATTCAACATCATTCTCAAGGTATGCCAGTCTAGTTGTCAGGGCATTGAACTAATGTATTTTGTATATCTAGGAGAGATTTCAATTGAATCTCATGATTTAATGTGAGATTTGTTCTGAATAAACATACAAAATGAGATGAGCCCTTTTGGGAAAAATCTTGTTACACAGCCATCTGATATGAAGCATAGATAAACATAGAAATTGATGATAATGTTCTGTTCAGGTGTGTGTGGGTATAAAAGTATGAAAAATGAGTACGTGGAGTAGGATTTATGGTGAAATTGCAGGGTCAGGTTTCGCCAAATAACATCGGATTAAAAAAAGCAATAAGCTATGCTTAGCAGACGTTCTGTAATACTGAAAGAAAAGCACAATGACGCCCATACCGGCAGATCAGCATAAACTTCAAATCTTACAAAAATTGTGATTTTTTTTTTAATATTTTTAGTTCCACAAATGCCTACATGTTGATGTACAGACAAATAAATCCAGATCAAAATACAGGTATCACTATACTTTGTGTTTATTTCAATGTGAACTGTTTAGTATTCTATTTATATTGGTTACATAAACATTGAGAGTGCAATGGCCTACTAGTCAGGGGTAATAATAACATGTAAACAGTAAAGTATGCAGTATGGCAAAACTTGGTTAATGCCTCGGTTAATCGAGAGTGCCTCGATTGTTCGAGATTGCCTCTGTTGATCGAGAGTGCCTTGCTAAATTCAAGAGTACCTTGTTCGATCGAGAGTACCTTGTTTAATCGAGAGTGCCTTGGTTATTCGAGAGTGCCTTGTTTATTCGAGAGTGCCTTGTTTATTTGAGAGTGCCTTGTTTATTTGAGAGTGCCTTGTTTATTTGAGAGTGCACGAGTGCTCTGGTTAATTAAGAGTGCTCTGGTTAATTAAGAGTGCTCTGGTTAATTAAGAGTGCCTTGGTCAATCGAGACTGCCTTGGTTAATCGAGACTGCCTTGGTTAATCGAGACTGCCTTGGTTAATCGAGACTGCCTTGGTTAATCGAGACTGCCTTGGTTAATCGAGACTGCCTTGGTTAATCGAGACTGCCTTGGTTAATCGAGAATGCCTTGGTTAATCGAGAATGCCTTAGTTACTCAAGAGTGCGTTAGTTAATCAAGAGTGCCTTGCGTGTCAAATACTTACACTGTAAAGAAACTCTAACAGCATAACAGTGAATAGATTTTGCACCAAATATTTTACGTTTTCAGCTTTTATAAAAACTGAAGATCTTCCTGATCATATCAAGAAAATGGCTGAAGAAGAGGAAGAGAGAGAAAGGAAGAGAATAGAATGGAAAGAAAAAGAAAAAAATATGTGCAGTATAAAGGTAATTTCACTGTTTTCGTCAACTATAAACTGTAATACCACCTTTGTATTATTTATTTAAATTGAGAAACAATCAATTTATCACTGTTGAACAGTAGAGGCATACCAACTAAGAGAGAGCCATTAATGAGCCATAGTTCTAGACCTATTGTTCATATAACGTAACTTGATTGTAGCAATCATATTTTTTACAATGTGTTGTAGTTTGTAGTTCCGACTGTTGAGTTCGAATCTGGGTTTTTCTTGCTCTTCGTATTCTCAAATGTATGTAGACACTAGACACTGTAGCCAGATTCGGAAATTTGAACTTCTTGGAATTTCAAGAACTCAGTGAATTTTAAGCTTGTGTTTTGTTTTTGTGGCGGAATGATTTAATGACTCGAACGAAGGGTTATGGGTTTGAAACTGCTACCAGAAAACCATCTATTTATCTGCTTTATATAAAAAATTATAGAATCTCTATTATTCCGAAAAAAAAATTCTGTTCTAGGTTTTTAGTCTATACGTGCATTCATGTTATGGAATGTAAACTTTTCATCATTAACTTTATTCTGTTTGTCAGGTGTTCTGTCGTTCCCCAGCGCTTCTAAAAGTTCACAACGTAGCAAATATATTTGAATCACCTTACGAATTTCATAATTCAACTTTATTGAAAGATGCAACTGATCAAGTTTATAAGCTGCTAAAGCTTGGTAAGTTTCAACTTTTTTTTTTTGATTTAGTACTTTGCATTTACTCCTTACAAAATTGTCTTGAAATATTTAGGGGGGGCTGACTCTGATGGTCGTATCACTCCCCCAATTTATATCGAAAAACTTCTCGTACATTGTTGTATATTTTTATTATCGTTGCAATGCTCGTTTTTTTGGTTGACAAAAAATAAATCTTTCTCCCCATGTCTTGTACTATTTGCTCAGAGTCTTCAAGCAAATACATGGACGACATCTTTAAATCACTGTCACCTCAATATATTTGTAGGGTGTCTATAAAGTCATAAAATTTTTTCCAAATTCCAGAGGGAATATATCGATACCATCTATTATTATATCGGCCCTCTACATATGTGTGTATTAAATGAAGTAAAAATACTTGGATTACTGATTAAAAAACCTTAAACCTGGTTAAGATATATTGAGAACTGACTTCATAACAAAATTAAAATTGAAAAAGGACTTTATGGATATTCTGTATTTATATCTGAGTCTACTTTTTCAGTGTTTTCACTCACTCTTAACAAATAATGTACCTATAAATTTTGAGGTTCTTGTTGAGAATGAAAGGCTTGAAAAAGGTCATATAGAAAAGCAATATTTTGCTTAATCACAATACTCGTTTAAAATTATTTTTGTTGAGCCTTTGTTTAAATGTCTCAAGTCACTTCATATTGCTCAAAAATAGACTGGAGTCTGAATCTAGTTCAATCTCTGACTCTAATTGTTCGCAAGGTTACATTATTTCATACATTTTCAGGTGAAGTTGGTATCGAAAGACACAATTGTCGTCTCATCAAATATGATCATTATCATCAATCAATCGAACAATCATTAGATGACGAAATTGAAAACCAAGAAGAACCACTCGCCAAGTTATTGGGTTGGTTTTTTATAATAGGGGATTGTTTTTTAATTTGCTTAATTCAACGTTTCCAAACCAGGGAGCTATTTTGCTGTTTTTGGGGAGGCAATTTTGCTTTGTAGTACTGTAGTATCAGTAATATTTTCCTCAGTTTTTTATTATTACTATAATACCGTAGTTATTCATGAGAACATAAGAAACTACTTGAACTGTGCAAAACGGTGGTGCGAGTTGCACAATTTACTATCAGAGGATCTATTAAAAATAGAACTAATAAAATAGTTTTTATGCATTGTTAGGGAGGAATAAAGAGTTTTAAAATAGGCAAAGAGGGAAATTTAATCAAAAAAGATCAAGAACCACTGCCTAACTTGATTGTATTTTGTCTAGTTTGTGTTGAATCTTACGGTTTCGTGCATAAAGTATGCACAGTGTTTGTGAAAATTGACTTACTTTTATTCTCTAAAAAATGGATTAATAGGAAATATGTTGTCAGGAAGCACAGTGCCTTTATGAAAATTTCCATTTGCCTTGTTTCATACCTTTTTACTAACATATTCATGTACACAAAATAAGCTGTTTCAGCTGAAATAAATGGGTATCATACCATTGACTAAGTTCATGTCTGTTAGTTTGCGTCCGAGATTGTGATTCTTGTAGAGCTTACACATGACTAACTTCCTAAATTCCTTTGCACTGACCCGTATGCCTTTAATGCAAGGAGGCTGTGGCAGGAATGAAAATACCATACTACGCAATTCAAGATTCAACCTGCACACTAACACAAATGTATTTCTGTAACGTTTCGTCTGACTAAAATCAGACTTCCTCAGTCAAGCAGTTCCCAGACGAAACTTCACAGAAATACATTCATCTCAGTAATGATTAAATTAGGTTTGGATACACCAAACTGGAAAAATTGAATTTTCTTGTTAAATAAGAAACTACAATAGCTCCCTACATAACAGTCGCAGTTTGTCTGGAACCTTTCGTTCGAATAGATTATGTGAAAACACTAAAAAGGAATTTACCGGTAATTGTATAAATTGTGAAAATTCAATAAATTTTTGCAAAATGCTTTTTATTCACACAGGAGGATCGAGAATGTCTTATTTGTTTGATCTAATGATGGAAACAAAAGAAAATCATCATCAGCATTTTGAAATTTATAAACCGGGAGGAATCACCCTGAAGGTTCGTTGTTTCTATTTTTTACAACTTATGTAACATTCAATGTGACAATCAGCTACATTTCTTATCTATCTCCCTAATATTTCCACAGTAGAAGTTACGTCACATTTTAAGGTTTTGAGATATTTGTATTTTTGTAATTTTTAGATATATATATAGCCAAACCTAAAAATTGACACAAGGCACCATCTAAAATCAAAACTGAAACAGGTAAAATTTTGAAACCCAGTCCAAAAGATGGCCCCTTGCGCTTCATGGCAGAAGAAATGTCCATTTCAGAGACATTAACTGATTTGTGTTTACTGCGGCAATATATCTATCTCTCTTATGTCACTGGATTTCATCATGTTTAAGGTTGAATTTCTGATTTCACAATATAGAAACAATGATTATAATATACAATTTATTTATGAAAAATCAAGAATGTAAAAGAAATTCGAGTTTACAGATACATTGAAATATAAATATCCTTTTTCTCAATCAGGTATTTCCAGCTGACTACAGTAAAGAATGTTTCCTGGATCATATCATAGTCAGAATGATGCCTGATGATACTATTTATCATCTTAAACATGTTTTATCAAAGGTATTTTTCATTTGATCAGATTAGATAGTAGATAAACCTCTTACGCTATAAGCACTTCTCTGTACAAGGTAGTGTGATCCACCATGATTTTTCGGTACTCCTGTAGTATGTGAACCAAGATGGCGGACACTGGAACGTAGTATGTGTACCAAGTTAGGGTTAGGCCATAATTTCATGTACAAATACTACGGGAGTCACTTAGCTGGTCGCCGAACTCGTAAAAGAACTAAAATAAAGAAAATTGGAATAAAATCATGGCCTAACCCTAACCTGGTACACATGCTACAGTCCGATGTCTGCCATCTTGGTTCGCATACTACAGAAGCACCATTTTTTTTGGTGACCAGCCAAGTCACATATTATTGCAAAAAATGATAAAAATCATGCTTAGCCCTGAAATGACCATTTCTACAACAAGTCTTCGGGAGTTATATTGAGAGCCCGAGGGATAACTGGATTAGCCAGTTCTTGACCCCGAAATTTGCCAAAAGAGGCTACAACAACTTTGTCATCACAGCTAGTTTTGCTAGTTTTGAATTCAGTCTAACCAAATTCAAGTTCAAGTTAATCTATGAATGGAGGAAACTATTAAAATTAGTTTTTGGTAAATTTGCTTGAAATTGAACATATTTTTAATTAAAATTGTAGGTTGATTTGGTCTCTTTTCTTTCAGAAACTTCACTTCAACCATCGACGGATAAGAATGGCATATGAGAAATATACGAGTGATATATCTCTACTATCATCTGCTACTCAAACTTTGAGAGAGATTGGATTATTCAGGACAGCTAAGGTAACCATTATATCACCTGGTAACATTTTTTATGTCTTGAACTGCAGGATTTTAGGGATTCGGTAGGGAATTTTGAAAACACATTTAAAAACTGACGGACAGCTAGCAAACCTACGAAAAACTGCTACTATTTACAATCATGCTTAAAAATCTGTCTGAGAGTCTGCATCTGACATTTTTATTTTTAAGTCACCTTTGACCCACGGAAGTAAACAAGGATGTTGATGCTCTAGAAAACTTCCATTTGTTACTAACTTGTAGTAGAACGCAGCAAATGTTATAATTTCTAATAACAGGTCTATGTTGATTTGATGAACGATGATGAATTGGCAGATTCTTTAAAACTTGAGGAAAATGAAACAAGCAGAAAGTATGCAAGTCCTAAGGCTCTGTTGAAAGAGACAAGATTGTGGGGATTGATTGATCGGACTGCTAACTTAATCAATGTTGAAGTTATCTTACCTGAAGGTAGGTGCTGGTTTTAAGGATGGAAATTTGATATGAAACTATATTGCGATCTGATATGAAACTGTTTTGCGATGCACTGTATCAGAACTAGGACTGGGAATTCAGTTTGTTGTATTCTGATTGTGAAGTCTGAAGCCAGCACTTGGCGTGTTATCAATGGAGCCGGAGTAGTATTTTCAAACTCAGCAAATATCCACGAATTGCATCTAGTTGTACAGCTACTATCTTCGTATACATATTTCTATTTTTGGACGCGTCGGTGTACATAACGATTGTTTTAATATTATGTTGTTGTTCTTGTTAGTATTACTTTTACTAATTTCAAAAATTTCTGTGGACGTTTTTTATGTGTCAGAATGAAAAATAGCGACACCTTGTGATGTATCCATATATTTGAGCACAGCTCTCTTGTTTTTGTTTCAGATGCACCAGTCTATGTGTTACCTCCTTCACGACCTCGATCTCCTGTTCAGCCCGAGTCTCCTGGAAGTTCAACAGGATCTCTACCTCCTCTGATCAGCAGGTCGCCCCCTGCTGAAGTGAAAATCTGCCCCGAAGCACCACCAGGGTCTGTTCGTTCTACTCCTTCAAGTGACGAGGGTGTGGGGTCTTACGATGGGAGTAGCGGGACCAATACAGCACCTAAAACTGCAGAAGGCTCACAAACAGCATCACCTAGAGAGAGAGCACAACCTGCACAGTGTTTGGCCGCATTGTCTTCTTTGGGTACGCAGACTGGTAAGTAATGACTTTGTTTGATTGACAGAGCGATGACTAAGGCTGGCCAAAACTGAATAATCCTCTATTCCTATTACATTCTAGAATAGTATTCTAGAATGTTGGAATGTAGAATCGATTTTAAATTGAGTCATGTTCATAAAAACACATAGAAGTTGAAGTATTCAATGGGTCTAAATTTAGGAATGGGGGAATGCCACTGTTTTTTTGTTTTCTACAGTATCTTAAATTATATATTTCAAATGAAGCTAAACAGCCTAAATTCTTTCTAATGGTTTCGACTTCTCATGTTTGTTAAAATTTGTCGAAAACAAATTTTGAAATTACAGATGCAGGAAATTGATCCTTTTTTGTGAAACTTGTCATTTTGTATTTGAATTCTTTTGTTAAAAATTATCAAATTACAATTCTTCAATATTCAGATGAAAGAACAATATTTTGGAGATCGCCAGAACAACAAGCATATCTAAATGATGCTGATGAATATTCTGGGTTCGTATGCTGTTTCTAATTAAAAACATTTCTTTTCATTCGTTGTAATATACAGAAATACAAGTCTCGTTATCTGCCTAGGGGAGCAGATCCCAAACTTTGCCATATTATCGGGGGAAAAACTCATGGTGCACTTATATGAAAAATTCATAGTGTTCATTGAGCACTACTTTTCCTAAATCGATGGATGATGATCTCCAGAGTTGAGGCATATCTTCTCAAAAACACACCTTAAATTCGGAGCAGTGTTAACAGTCGGTCTGCCCTGCCCTGTATGTGATTTGAACCAGAGATGTGCAACATTTGAATGCTGAACTCACTAATCTTCCATTATAAATCCTACATTTTCAGACTCAATGATGTAGAACAAGTTGAAAACGAGGATCAACCTGCAAATTCTCTTCATCTCAGACGTAACAGTGAGGAAGATGAAGGCTGTTCTACTGGTTCGCCTGGTAATTTCAATCTCACACAGGGAGATTTTAAAGCGGAATTAGACAGAAAACTTCTTGGTATGTTCATGTGTGATTGGTAGTCGGTTCTTTTCAACCTAGGCTATGGTTTTTTAGGAATTTGTAACCCCCAAATTATATCTTTGTCGATTTTGGGTCCTTTATGGAAGTTCTCTTTGATTGACTTTTTGATAAAATTGTCTTCGATGCAAAATTAGAGTTGTAATATTATCTTCAGCAAAATATCATTTTAGCACAAAACTTATGTTATCTTTATCATCGGCATATTTTTCAACTCTCATGACATTGCTTGTGCGTAGATTGGTAACCTTCGCTTTACTGTTAAATGTCATCCTACTCTGTTTTGTGGCCAACCAGTGGTTCTCAAACTTTTGAAACTGCGCCTCCTTTTTAGAATTTGTCAAGTTTCGCGTCCCACCTCATAACTAGCTAACAATAAGCTACAAATAACAGATAGTGAGGCGAAAGTGGGTTTTATTAAAAAAAAAAATTTGAAAATACATGGGGGGAACGTACATAATGAAATAAATGCAAATTTCCTAAAACAAGCAAAATTTTTAACGACAGCTCTCTGCAATCTCTAAACAATAAAGAAATGTAAATATCCAAAATAAGGCAGGCAAGATCAAATCTAACAAATATTATTTTTATTTTCAATTGGTTTCACCCCATTGTGGGGTGCGCCCCATCGTTTCCCACTCACTGCTCGTGCCGTGTCGTGCCCACGAATTAGGTTTCAATGAAATAAAAATTAATTGTTTGATCCTCACAGCTGCAAGTTACAATCGAGCGTCACCAACAAGTTCCCTGAGATGTGAAGACGGATCATCAGACAGTGCTTCACAAACCAGCGGTGAATTCGAGATCCAAGAGACTGTCAGACACCAGGGAGATGGTGAGAACTTTTGAGTTTGGCGAGGCTGATGACCTTTGACCCTTGAAAGAATTCTCCCTGTTACTCCTTGGAAAACAAAAATTACCATTGAATTATTTAATTTATACTTACGTTTCAGAAACACGACCATATATCGACTAATAGCTAACAAAATCATAAAAAACAAGCGTATATGACCTAGGATGTGGAGTAAAAAAGTTTACAATCGTTTTTAACTTTCAATAGTTTAAAAATTTTTTGGCTTTGTCTCCCGATTCAGGCTTGTAAAAAAATTAGACTGTAACTCTGTAAAAATACTCAAGGAATTTGCTGAGATTGCGGTTAAATTTAATTTTGGCACGAGGTTTATTGTTTCTCACTTTTACTTTTATAACACTGTAAAGATTGTTCATAAAATGTCACACTACTTGGCCCGTTAGTCTAAGTTTCGTCCTAAAACCTTGCCAATCCCCTGGTCCAGAGCCTTGTTTAGAGTTCAGAAGGGAAGTATGTGAGAAAACAAAAAATAAATTGAATTACTTGATTTTTCACAGGCGCTGCAGACAGTGCTGGAAGCTGCTCAACCATCGATAGCACTGGTACGTTATGCAATACCGGGGAGGAACTAACTTATTTTGGGCCCAAAACGGAGGACGAGACTCTGCCTATTTATTCCTACTCTCGGGATAACGACGAATGTGGCTACCCATACATTCCACCGACTTTGCCGAGCGCTACTAAGATTTCCACTTTGCCTGGTATGGCACGACCAGTTACAGATACAGGTTTTCACAGATCGTTTGAGGAAACTTCTTCGGATTATTACGATGGTCGAATCGAAAATAACGAATTTTCTGCAAATGAATATACTGCTGAATCAGTGAATGGGTACTGTGTATGTGCTAAAAACAATGACTATGCAAATTCAGTAAGAAGTGTGCCAGATGGCGCTACTTCCAATACAGGCCAAGCCACCTATGCGTATCAAGATACAGGTCCTGGATATTTATGCTCCAATTGCGGAAATGTCAAACGAGAGACTCAATTCGAGGGAATATGTTGCGGAAACATTGAAATTCTCGAAGAACCCGAGGAAGTTTCATGCGGCAACATTCAGGAAGACCCTGAATCCGGGGAGAGTATGGATAATATTACCCCACTTTTTGCCGACATAGGTAGAACTTCGGAAGTTGGAGCTGGGGACTGTACTGAAGAATCAACCAAACCAAAATACTTGGAAATGACAAGCTTAAACAATCTTGATCTGGGTGCTGAAACAAGCAGGTAATAATCATTGCCCTCTGATTATAAGATTATAAATTACAAATGTTGTTGTATTTTCTAACTAGTGCAGTGTTTCCCAACCTATCCTTGTGACCCAAAACTAGGTCGTCTGAAAATACTCTTGCATCGCTTGTTTTAAAACAGAAAAACATTATGGTTCCGGTATCCGCCATCTAGGTTTACATACTACAGGTAAACCATTTTCTTTTGATATTGTGATATTGCTCGATAGTAAATGAATTGTATATGCGAGAAGTACCAAAGCGTAAAAACTACAACACTAGAGTAAGAAGCGACAAGATTGTTATTTATTTTTTTTTCTAAATGCTACAAAATTATCGAATTTGTCACAATCACAACGGGCGTCAACCCAATCCTCTATGAGTGGATATAAATTGAGTGAGTCCTAACATGCAGCGTTTTTTGACCATGATGTAACTATGCCCAAAAAGAGCATTGTTTTCAAATATTTCCGTTTCCCAGCCCTCAGGGAGAAGTTTTGTCATTCATGGGAAGAATCTTTGTATTGGATGCTGTATTACTAATATTCTTTATATTACTAAATCACTTGTTTATACGCACATTATAAACTACTTAAACTGTACAAAAGCGGGTACTCTCGTAGTATGTGCAACAAGATGGCGGACACTGGCACGTGGTATGTGTATCAGGTTAAGGTTAGGCCATAATTCCAGGTACAAAGTCCCCGAACTCGTAATAGAACTAAAATAAGGAAAATTGGAATAGAATCATGTCCTAACATAGAATCATGGAATATAATCAATCATTGGAATAGAATCATGTCCTGGTAAACATACTATGTTCAGGTGTCCGCCATTTTGTTGCACATACTACAGTAGTGCCCAAAAGCAGGGGTGTAATTTGCGCATAAAACTAGATAAGGGTTCAATTAAGATTGAATAAACAGAGCAGTTTTCATGTATAGTCTTCAACAAAATTCAACGAAAAAAGGCTGGGATGACTATAATATTGAATTTCTTTTATAACATTCAGGCAACGAACTGAATCTTCATCATCAGCATTGTCAGATCTGGGATGGGGAGATTCAACTCATCAAACAACTCAGCAACAAATTTGTTATTTTCGAATTACTGGGGTTTCTGTCAATCAACAAAAGTGCCAAGGTAATTCGATTTCAATGTCTATCCCCTGCTGTTTCATTTTCATTATGCACTAAAAATTTGTTGGTATTTGAAAAAAGATGAAGCATTATAAATATACAAATATGAGTCGTCACAAGGGTGTTTGAAAATTTATTTGAGCTTTAAATCTTCTTGCTAATTTTTGTAGTAATGGTAAAATGAGACTGGCATGAACTCCAACTTTTTACCCAAGAAAAATTGATTGGAAAATTTTAAAATTTTGTCTCCACGAAAAATCGATTGGTATTTATGAAAAGGTAAATGAGAATTAGTCTCATTTAAGGGGGAAGTGTATACAATATGGTGCTTTATGTTAATTAAAAGTAAAAAAGGTTCTGTTCCACATTCACCATCTCGCCCAAGGTATAATGAAATTGGGTAGGCACTATCGAGATGATAAACGGTATTCCAGGCTGTTTGTATGGTGCTCCCGTAGTATATGCACCAAGATGGCGCACAGCCTGAACATAGTATGTGTACCAGGATAGGGCTCAGGTTGCGCGCCATCTTGATGTACATAGCCTTGTTTAGAGTAAGAAGCATGTAAAAAAGAGCTATTTATCTTCTTTGTTTCTACTACTTTACTACTTTGTTTCAGTTTTGAAAGCGCAATTGGACAAGCGAACAACAGTGAGTGCCTTGAAGCGCAAACTTCATCCGATTGTACAAATATCAACAAGAGATTTTAGTATATATAGAGTGTATACTGGCGGACAAGAGGTAAAGTGAAATGTTCATTGACTTTATAAAATACAGGGTGTTTGAAAATTAACACAAAATTAACAGACGTTAAGATGAAATGCAATTTAAAACATTTAAAGACTGACACCTTTTAACAGTTTTGAATTACGGTGAAATGCCATTTGAACATTTACTTTTTAGCGTTGCCCTGACAAAAAATTTTACCTTTGATTTTGCATAATTTCTGTAACACCCTGTAAATGGATTCAGGCTAATTCCACATTGAATTGCAACGTTAGCATTTGGGCCTATCATTGCTCTATTTAGCTTGGGTTTGAGTTATTGCTTGAGGCCAAGACTGTTGTAAGATTCATATCATTTTTTTGTATTCATTCTATGAGATATGAGCTTTGGTTAGATGACCTAATTCAATGCTGAGACCCCTGTGCCATTTAATGGTTGCAAGTCATAGACTGGAATGGTGGAAAAAAGCTGATCAGTGGTTGTTTTTTCTCTGAAACTAATACTAATAGACTAATGGATTTCAAAGTTTCAATATTTAGAAAGGAAGAAGTAACAAGAAAGCTATTTCTTATAATTTTATCAAATTTTTTTTGGTCGTTTTACGACTTGATATTTCACTCTAAATTCATTTTATTTAGAGCAAATCTTTAGGTACTCCTGTAGTGTGTGTACCAGGTTAGGGTTAGGCCAAAATTTTATTCCGATTTTCCTTATTTTAGTTCTATTAGAACTTTGGGACTGTCTGTGTTAGCCAAGTGAATAAAACCCCTGCCCATTTCTAGTCCCTTTACACATCTTGATGTAAAGTAGGCGAACAAAATTATTCACCTTCATATTGGTACACATACTTCTGGAGCGCCAAACTTAATTTATTCGATCACGCTTTTCTGCATAATCAATGTTCTCAGATCGCAACCGGTGTCGATACATGGTCTTTTCCATATATTTGAGCATTGCTATCTTGTTTATTTCAGACTGAGTTGAACACACTGAGTGAAACATTCACTCTGATATCAAATGATTCTCAGTTGAAGATCAAACATCAACGTGCGTTGAGAAAGGATGAACACAGATGTAAAATATTTCATCTTAATCTTGCCGAAGATGATGTAAGTTTAAGACTGTTTTATCGAAAGTTTAGCACCAAATCAAGCTTGAATAATACAGGGTGTCCATAAAGTCCTTTTACAATTTCAATTTTGTTGTGAAGTCAGTTTATCAAGATTTTTTTTCAAGGTTTTCTTTTTTAATCAGTAATTGTTCAAGTATTTCTATTTCATTTAATACATCTGCGAAGGCCAAAACAATATATGATATCGATAAATTCACTTTGCAATTTAAAAAAAAATTTAAGATTTTTATGTGCACAGTATATTATATTAGTAGTGTCTGATGACCTGTAACTATTAAACCTTTGTTGGAAATTTTTATTCAAATTTCCATTAGATATTCCACAAAGTTGGTTGCCAGGTTTGTTGTTTTTGAATCAGTAATTGTGCGTGAGCCGTAGTTGAGCGGAATAGAAGAACTTCGAATCCTCAACTAAAAATGCAGATCTCTGGTTTCATTTTCATTTCATCATACGCTTAATTAAACGCTATTCATATATTTACAGCCTATCAAGAACTTAGTAGAATGGGTTGTAAGGAAAGGATCAAGTATCAAAGAAGCTCAACAAACTGTTGCCGATGAATTGTTCAAAGAATGCGAAATGAAAGTCGACCCAGAGAAGTAAGCAGATCTCTTTTTTGAATGATAGCAATTTTATATTTAGTCACTCAAAGTCACAAGGACTTACTCAGAAGTGGAAAAGCTCACTTGTAATTATGAGCAGTTTTGGGTGACAGTCGTTTGTCTTGGGTTGAGAATCAAGTCGAGTCGAGAGTCTGTCGATCCAATCACTGAGTCAAGTCTTACAGGCACTTAGTTTGGTATGAGTACATTGCATTCAAATTAATCAAGTCACTTTGAGTCCAACTCGAACTCCTCCTGACAATGATCACGAGTAAACAGTCATGTGCAGTGACATTGAGAATTAAGCAAAGAGTTGTAATATATCGATGCCGCATACTCAAATTATTTCAAGTCAGCGCTTTGGAAAACATCTAAGAGTTTGTGAAGCAGTTTGTGAATTTTAGAAGCTGGCATAAAAATAGTAATATAAAGATTAATAAGTTTGAGTTTTAGGACTGAGATAGAGTTAGCCTACAGTAACCAATCTGATCATTTGCAATAACTCTGAACTAAAAGAAATTTTAAGGGACTCGAATCTCATTAAATATTCCTTGTCTTATCATAATATTAAAATCAGCCAAGTTCCAGGCATGGATTTACTGAAATTGTTTCCATTGGTGATCAGATCACATTCTTTTTTATAGTTTGTGCTCAAAACAAAGTTTGAATTGTCAACTTGAGGTTTAACTACGAGAGTTATCAATGAACATGTTCAACTGTTATTGCTAGGTTATAATTTTACTTGAAATTATCAAAGATTTTTGAATTATTTTATTGATATTCATTTTGCAGAATCCGACTCCGCAAAAAATGTTGGAGGAATCCTGGAAAAATATTCTTAGAAACTGACGTTTTTGGAACAGATATCATTATTGCGTCAAATCCAGATATTTTTCTCGAGATATTAGAAGAACCCGAGAAAAAGGTAACATTTTATTGTATTTCACGGTAAATTTTAATTAGCTATCAATTGGGATTACGAAAGACTAACTACTTTTCCTTGATCTATGCCTTTGCCCGAGTGTATCCGTATGCATATAATACAATGGTGTTATAGCATAAATATAGATGACTATTCTATTACATTACAACAACACCAATATATTTCTATAGTGTTTCTTCTGACCATGGTCAAATTTCTCAGGCATACATACTTCAAATATATAAGGCATTCGGTCTTGTGTAACCCCAACTGATAAAACTGTAATTGAATATCATTATTTGTGCTATATTATCATTTTTGACTGGCAATATCACAAATTAATTTACTCATATGGTAATATGGTCTAACAGCAACGCTCTAACTGCTTAGGACACTGTGTTGCCTAAAATATATGAAAATGAGCATCTTTAAACACTTTGTTTTCAGGTAAGCCATACTCAGATAGCTGTCTACTGCCGACGATGGAGACCTTCCACATTGACCCTTGACCGTATTGAGGAAGTGATCTTAGATCCAGACACAAATAACCATCATTCCGTGGAAGAATTGAAAAATAAGTTGGCAATATTAAGTGGTTTAGATGCTGCTGATATTCAATGGACAAAGGTTAGATATTGGATTAAAATCTTATGACTATGCGTTGTTCGCCTCGCACAATCTCAGATATTGGCTTTGCAACGAACACGAATTTGAATTATTTGCACTTACTAGATTAAACTAAATTAAAAACTCGTTTCATGGGCAACACGATTTTTCATCGCGGTTCGCATGCTGCACACCCCTGACCTAAAACATGACTTCTCTAAATAGAATTCTGTGAAAGTAGATAAAGCTTGATTACCATTGCAGCGGCTTTTCTGGTTTCGAACAGCGCTGTGTACTTTGAGTTTGTGTACTTTGTTTAAAATAGTCTATTGAGGAAAGTATGAGTATGTACGTGTTTTTGTTGTGCATAGAGTAAATTTTTTCTGGATTCTAGAGTTGTGAATTTGTCTATCTCCAGGGCCCTGGTTTGAAAAATGATTGGGGTTACGCCCAGATTACACCCCTTTTTGCACTCTCCAGTAACTATATCAATTTTTGTATTCCAGCCTAGAGGATTGTTTCCATGTCATACCAGTGTGTTAGAGATTCATGATGGTTTGGATTGGGAACCGGCGTTTGTTTCTTACCTTGGCTCTGCTTCAACGAGTATCAGCGAGGACGGTGCTATCATTTTCTACAGGTGTGTTTAAATTTTTGTTTTCGGTAATTCGATAAAAAATTGGCTCAATGCTGTTTTCACTTATGGTTTATTGACTTATTAGTGTAGGTAACAAAATATTTTTTATATGGTGCTCGTAGCTTTCACACTGCTTATCCATCCATGCCTTTCGCAGATCCCTTTATAACAAAGAGAGGGGAAACCCAAAGGGGAGAGCAGTTGGGGAAAGGACACAATTTTAGGCACATAACTGATTTTACAAGAAAGTTCATTTCACAGGGTGTTTTCATTTTGTTGAGCATGAGTCGATCAAATATAGTGGGATTTGGAATCTACCAATCATGGTAACACTCTAAATACCACTGAAATCATAAACATGCTAAAATACTCCGAGCCATAAAAGATTGGAACCACTGCTTTAGATTAAGGAGCTATTATTTCTAGAAGGACAGGATCTTTCTTGTTTTGCATTGCCTAATCAATTTATTGCACCCTTGAATTTGAACTTGAGGTGTGAAGCATTCAATACCAACACAATTGAGCTAAGCGAAATATTTTAATTTGAACTGGGCTATTTTGTGAAATAACATTTATAATACAGAGATAAAAATGAACTTGTGAAAGAACTCAGTGATACTGAAAGAACGGAACTTCAACAGAAAGAAGCTGCAAGATTATCCATTGCTAAAAGCAGTACAAGTGCAGGATCTAAAAATTCAAGTAAATATTTATTGATGTATTCAGATTTTATCCACTTCTGTTTGCGAATTTTTCGTACGAATAATGTTATGGAGAGAAATGTGCCAGGCAATGTGTTATACTTGAGGCCTCAATAAATCGTTGAATCAGTTGCATTTATTTGAGTTATGTGAGATTCATAAAATGGAATTATTTAGTCTTTCCAGCCAAACTATTTGAAAGTAGTGAATTCATTTTAATTTATTTGAATTTGGTCTTGAGTCTAAGTTTGATAAAAACAAATGATGTAGTCATAGTTACATTAGCCGCTCAAATTGCTCTTTCTCCACTTTTTTAGAATATTATTAATGCAAAATATTTTGCGCTCCAGAATTATGTGTAATTGTGTACCAATATGGAGGTAACTAATTTTGTTTGCCTACTTTACATCAAGTTGTGTAAAAGGACTGAAACCTATAGGCAGGGGGTATATCCACTTGGCTATCACACACAGTCCCTGAACTTGTAATGGTACTAAAATAAGAAAAAGCGGAATAAAAGTATGGCCGAACACGGTACACACACTACGGGAGAGCCTTTATTACTGCATAACCCAAATCACTGTTGTAGATTATCAACTGATGACCTTTTATATATCACTACAGGCACTACGATCCGTCCATATTCTCGCAAAGAAAAAGCATTAAAGATATACACTGTGACAAATAATAAGAAGAAAAGGGACAACACAACAACACTGTAGATCAAATCTACTTCAAAACACTTGATCAATACCACAGTGTTTTAAAATAGGAATCATTGAAGTGGGTAATTCGGTATTACGTGTAAAGGATGAGGACCAATGTCATGTTGCGTGAGAAATTTGTAAGGAAGGATAAATTGTTCCGCATATAAAAAGTGTATAAAGCAGCAATTTGGTTTATTAATTGTTAACTAAGATAACTACTTGATGAATATATGAATATATAGTAGGAATGTTCTGTTCCATAAATTGTAACCTTTGTCAATTTTAAATATTGGATGAAATTACTTGAAATCACCTAAAAAAAGTGTGCTTTCAAAAATCGAATCAAACTTTGGCTCCTGAAATAAGATGCCTTCTTTCCACATAGTCCATAGAAATACGAATACTGCTACTTAGTTGCGTTTAGGTTTCCAAGTCACAATGCCGTATAATCCTTATTGATGCTTCAGATATAATTCTGATTTGGCTCTGAACGTTTTTTATCTGCTTTGCCATTTAAAAACTGTAGCGTTTGTCATTCCACGTAAATAGTAATATTAATTTTTGTGCGCCTGAAAATTTTATCAATATGTAGTAGACCAAAATCCTTGGAATTATAGATTATAGACATTCATTCACACATGTTCCTCTATTTGATAATTGGTGTTATTCACAAATTTCACAATAATTGGCAAACAATAAACTCTAAACTGGATTGAAGTCTGACAAATTGAATTGGAAATACATACATAGGTTGCCCCAAAAATTTAGTATCATTTTTTTGAATCTAGTGAGTGATGTAAAAGTCAAAAGTTTCGTTTATTTCCATCCTGTTTGCCAATCAAGCAGTGATACATTTTTCGAATGGAATATGGGATTTTATTTCCCCATTGCATTGCATTTCAAGGAGCTCTATTCGAATATTTTCTGCTCTCCACTGCACTCAGCATCACTCAGCAAGTTGCCATTTGTGTAATTATAATTAAATTTTAGGCTCGCTAATCCGTAGGCCGGATCTGACCCGCGGGGTCGTAGGTTTCCGACCCCTGTACTAAGATAACACCTGTTGTACCTTCATTTTAGTATTGTTAACATTTCAAGTGAACATTTTACATTGTATTGTTTGCGCTTGCTATGAAATCCTGCGTTTTCTTTATATAATGTTCATCTATGCTACATATCAATACAAAATCGTTCGAATTACTTAGGACATGGATGAGGAACCTTTTTTATTGCTCCGAAAGTATGTGTACCAGGTTAGGGTTGGGCCATAATTTTTATTCCAATTTCCTTTTTTTTAGTTTAATTACGAGTTCAAGAACTGTCTGTGTTAACCAAGTGATATACCCAATAGGTTTCAGTCGCTTTACACAACTTGATGTGAAATGGGCAAACAGAATTAGTTACCTCCATATTGTTACACATACTTCTGGATAGCCGAAATTTTTATTATGTTAAAGATTAACGTGGGTCATATGTTCAGTCGATGTCTGCATAAATGAAAAACTTGCTGTTGCATTTTTCGGAAATTCTTATAATTCTCTGAGTTGGGTTGTTGATATTGGCATAATTTAAACTTGCACATGCAGCAGATTTATCTGAACTGAGGCAATTATTAAACAAATTCCTTAATTGTTTAGTTGGAAATAAGCAATAGCATTGTTGCCAGTAATAGCTTTATTTCACTATGGACAAACTACCATAGTGGCTCGCTTATTGTTAGATTGTATTTGTGGTTGACCCTATTAATAATTCTATTCTTGAATTTCGTAGAAAAAAGATAATTGGACAAGTGGTTGGCTATCCTTGGCCTTGCATATATAAGTGGACACATTTTGTTCCTAATATTATAATTCCAAACAAGTGCTGTTTTTGGTTGTGATTCACACGAATGACACATATATCACTGATACAAAATTTTAGGTCAGAAATAGTTCTGGAGTCAATTTTACTATTAATTTAATAATAAGACTCATGTAATTAGTTTACTTGCCCAATCTAAAAAGTTGGAGCGTTTTTTTGTGTCAAAATTGTTGGAGAAAGATAAAAACCGTTCAAAATATTCAGACATAAAAAATGTGATCTACAAGCTTTTGGGACTGTTTGTGTACCCTTTGTTCAGAATACTGTTTCTTTTAATATTTCTTATGCTGTTTCGATTTATACAAATGCAGTTCGATGAGGTTTCCCTATTGCGTTTATTTAAGTCTCTATGTGCTTTATCAAAATGTATTTAAAATTCTACACACATGTTTTAAAAATAATCAAATATTGAATATTTCAAGCTTTTTTTAGGTCCAGTTTCTATAAAATGTAAAACTGTAAGTTATCCTTGATAGTTCATGATATTTAGGTTTTGTTATTACCTTCCGAGATCAGATTGAAACTTGCTTTGCCCAATTAGAAATCATTTCCGGTATGCCACCCATCTTTATTTTAGTGCTAAATGTAAGTTGCGTTAAGTCCTTGTGATTTAAGGTTCTTGGATAGTAAGAGCTAATGCTGACTTGAAAATATGTCGCTTTTTATCTAGTTTGCAGTCGCTTTCAAAAATTGACTGAAGTTTATTCCATACTTCTAAATTTTTTCAAGATAAACCTTCAAAATTGTTTTGCTTTTCTGAATTTGATAAAAATGGACGTTCTCAAACCTAGCTTGCTTTTCAGTTTGTTGATCTTATGCTTAAATGCCAACATCTTATGTAAATTGTCAGACTAAAAACTTCTTTACTTGTAAAAATTCTTACTAAGAGCTTCTACGTCGGTCACCTCGTATTCTTGCAAAGCACTGTGGGTGAGATTTTTTCGGCAAGGGGCCAAAAATTTTGCCCATTTAGACTAGCGGGCTATGTAAGTGTGACGTAAAAAGTTAGATTTTATGAACAATATTTACAGTGTTACAAAAGCAAAAGTGGAAAACAATAAACCTCATACCAAAACTAAATTTAATCGTAATCTCAAATTCCCTGAGCTATTTTAGCTAAAACATGGTTGGGGTTGTCCATATTTTTGCATGTGTTTAATTAATTTGGTCGTGGCAGCATCAGGCAGGCCAGTTTGAATTACCCAATGAGCCGGATTTGACCCCTCGACGGCCGTATTGTACCCATGTCAGTTGTAGACCATTGCTCTACAATTGAACCCAGCTATTAGTCTAGTGAGGGGTTTTGTTAGTTTATATTACATATGAAACGTTCATCAATGAGTAGAGCACCAATTCTTTCTGGTTTATGAACCAGGAGAAACTTGGATTTTATTTTTACCATGCAATTTGTGAATATCTTTTTTGTAAATATATTTACTTTCCATTGTCAATGTTTTCTTTCGAATTCAGTAAATATTAATCTTGAAAAATATGTTGTGATATGGTAGGCGCACGTTTTCGGTTAAACCAGGATTTATCGTAAAATCGATTATTTCATGTCACTTCACTATCCTCGTCCAATTAGGTCTGCAAAGTGAATGCAGAATTTTAAAAATATTGGACGCAATAGCCGACCTGTGGTTCGTTTCGCCAAGTCGTCCATTGGGATTTTTACGGTGTTTGTTGAATCGAATGGTTTTATGTATTACTGGCTTTATGATGTATGATCTAAATCAGGGGTGGGTACGGTTTTTAAACCAGGGGCCAAAAATTTTGCCCGCCTCGACAATATTTACAAAGCAAAGGTGGAAAACAATACTCCTCGTGCCAAAACTAAATTTTATTATCGTTATTGCCGTTAATTGCTTGCCCATGTCTGATCTGAATTGTTAATTTTTCATTTTTAATTCGGTAATCTTTAAAAAATATTGTAATCATACCAATCTTGACATAGCATAGGACTCCGGGTGGACAAGCTTGTAAGGTAGATGGGTCCCAAAAAGTCTCGCCGGACGCAGTCGGATAAAACCAAAAGTGATGAAAATATCGCGAGTTTCCTTTCTTTCAGTATATTAGGAAATGAAAGTTTACCGTACTAATCAGCCTATTGTTAAGTTGCTCGTGTAGCGTTTTTTTATTTTAAAATTTCTTCTCGAGAAGTACCGCAGTGTTTTTCACATCAAGGCTCATTTTATGATGAATTGTTATATTTGACTAATTTTATAACTCGCAGTGTTAGCAGGCCTAATGCTATCGTCAAAGAACAACCAAGTCAAAAAAAATTGTTCCGCGGGCCGCACAGAATGTTTTCAAATTATCAATCTATTTCCTATCATTTGCACACATTCACCATCAAAACTCAGGCTTTCCGTAAAATCGTTCATTCCACAACACTTCATTATTCTTGCCAAGTAAAACTGCGAAGCATGGTTTGGACTCAAAATGGACGTGTGGTTCGTTTTGATGGGCCTATGAGCTTCTATGTTAATGTGGAAAAAGCGTTTTCTCCATCACCGGCTTATAAAGCATGATTATTTATCTGAACTTGATTGAGGACACGACAATCTATAAATTAAAACCTTCCAATCTTTTAATTACCGCCATTTTTCGACTTCGGTATATATATATATGTCGTCAGTAACGACGGATATGAGGCATAGGCAATGATGAAAACCAGCCTTGCGCTATAAAGTTGCAAGTTCTATCAATATGAACTGCCAAGCGATGGTGTCGTCGAAAATCATATTCCTCACTGAAACGCTGCAATCCACAGTCTCTTATACTCTTCTTTGTATTCCGTGTTTTATTGCAAAAGCCAAATAAAATACAAAAATGATAAAGTTCATTTTAACCAAGCATGATCTTCGAAGTACGTCAACAAAGCTGGTTATTTGCTGTAGCACAAGGCTTTTCTGGAAATCTAGATCAAATCGATCTTGCGGTAATGATACTCAGGGTTGTCCAAAACGAATATTAGAATATCAAAGTATTCGAATACCTTTTCGGCTGGTTTTCGAATAATTCCGAATGATAGCCACTTTTCGCCGTAAACACGGTGCTTCGTTTTCGCGGGAATTTTCAAACGAATTTTTGCGCTTTGTCACTTATTGTAATGACGATAAAATAAAATCGGCACTTTGATTGTTTATATTCTGTCAGCGTGCGTCGCATATTGTTGCGACATCTTTGCACGGTTGCGTGGGTGGACATTGCCTCCATTCCCCCGCGAGGCTTTTACTTTACACATTCATTTCCAGTACGTCGAAAAAATGGAAAATTATTTAATTTCGAAATTGGTATGATACCCGATAAATTGTCGCAAGTCGGAAAAACAAGTCGATTTATTATGAAAAATAATTCATACTTTTTCCCGCTTTCTGGCAAATAATTTTGATGATGATAGTTAAAAGTTTCGACTTTTTTCTAGGATGATTTTCTGTTACGCAAAATGTTCATATTCATGACCGATACGGTGAAACTCGAGAAATGCAAACACGCTGCAATAAAATAATGACACAATAATAAGTACTAAATCGACTTTGGAAGGATATTAAAGAACGATAGGCTAGCGATATGAGAAAATACCGCACCCACATAGGTAAATAGTCTGGTACTTTAGATTTTACTTTGGCATGATGGGAAAATTATGAATTTTTATACGAACTCAGAACTGGGTGTCATTTGGGCACAAAGGTGACATCGATGAGGCAGGCACAAGTTGAGCACCTAGTTTACTTGGAGGCTTGAGTACATTTGTGATGGAATAAAGTGTTCCCTTGATTTAAAATATGAAATTTGAAGACGAAAGTAAAAATAGTCCTAAGTACAATAGCGTCATAACATAAGCTGAAAACTGCGCGAACAACACTAAAGTTATATTTGAATACGACGTGTTTGTTTTCTGCATAAACGTGTCAATAATCAAACTAAAAATAATTATGTGCACAAAGTAAAAAAAAATTGTAAAAAAGTTTTTGGTCTCATCAACTTTTTAGGGGAAGAAAGACATCGTCCGCTTCCAATAAAGCCTTTTCTTTCCTGATTTTCATCACAGTTTTATGCAGTAGAAACACAAGGATACTTGACGTTACAGCAGCACCGAAACCAATGTAAAAAGGAACAGATAAATTTTGAAGTCTGTCGACTGCAACACCTGAAAGAAACACGCAAGCATAATATGAACAAAATTTCACAGACTTGATACTGTCATTGCCCGAGTCTTCGGACAGGTGGTTTATATTTTCTGGTGCTTATGGAAAATATATAATTATTATCTTGAATTCGAGATATGGCCATCGATCCAGATTATGTATGTGCGTTGGTCCATTATTCCAGAAAAATATGCCTGGATGGAAACCATGGCTATCTTCCACCCTACCCAAGGCGTAACATATTGTTCAGGCAGTGAGCCCCTTCAACATTATTCGAAACCGAACCGAAAACAAAGATGTAAGCGCGTTCGTTTCGCTTATTTTGAAACAGAATTTTTGTTATTTCGTAAGAGAGATCGATTTCGATCTTCACTATGACACAACAATGACTAAGCAAATGACAAACACGCAGAACTGAAATACAGGGAAGTAGTCAAAAATTCGAATAACTGTTTAACATGAGACATAAAAGTATTGGTACTTCCGAAGTATTATTCAGGGCAAGCGATAATCTAGTGTCAGATTTGTGTTGGCATCGTTGGGGACACATTTCGGGTTCAAACCACATCTCATCTAAGGTGTAGTAAATTGGATCGGCAATTCCGGACCGAAAGGATTGCGGTCAAATAAGCGGCTCTTTACAAATAGTCAGATTGTTATGTTCGGAGTGAAAGCAGTCGTGTCGAAAAGTAAACTCTAACCTTGCAACATAACCCAATGATTCGCAACCTTTTTTTCAGGTGACCCAAATTTGAAAAAAAAATTAATTTTGTAAAATCTCGCGAACAAAGGATATGCTCACATACTAAACGGCGTGTATTGTCTTAATGGCCACAAAAAAAATGACTAATACAAAATATCATTTTTATATAAACCTCATTTTCTCTGAAATTAGTTCAAATTGAGAAACATGCGCTTGTTTTTCATCCGCAAGTTTTTGAAATTGGGACGTGGCTTCTCTTAAGAATAATAGATGCAGAAATTTTGACGCTGTGATATTTCCCATATATACAATTACTATCGAGCGACACCTCGATAGCAAATATATATGAAATAAACAATACAATTTATTTATAGATTAAAATCAGTAACTTTTAGGTTTTTGTTGGAAAAAGGGGCCCAGGGAGATTTTAAGGCCACCCAGTTTTAGGTCGCGACTCATAGGCTGGGAAACACTAACATAGAATATACAGGGTGTCCAAAAAATCTCTCCTGATTATGTAGTGGTCACAATTGAAAATTTCTTTGTCTTTGTTTATTAATAGTTCTCATTGTGCTTGTAGTTTTATTTACTCATTTATCATACAATAAAATTTATTCAAACTTACAAATTGTAATTAGATTAAATCGGGCGAAATTTTTATTTGTTATTGCTGTGGGGTTGCGCGAAATATTTTGGAGACTCTGTATATAAGGGGAAACAAGATAATTACAATAGCAGCTGTCTTACTTACCGATAAGAACAGTGGTGGCTGTACCGGTAGAGTGAGTTATTATATTCGAGTATCCAAATACAAACGCATACTGCTGGACGCTGAATATTTCTGCAATAAATGCGGAAAAAATTCCATCGGTTCCTCCGCCGAGGGCTCCAATACACGCGCAACAAATCAGTGCTCCTATGTATCCACGAATAAATGGGAACACTAGTATAGCAATAGAAAATACAGCATACAGTGCGCTCTGGAAAAAATAAAATGAGAATTTTAATAATACAGTTCAATGCCTTGTTTCTTTGTCAGATGTTTAACAATGGAACCGAGAGAGGAGTTCGGTACATGACAGTCTACTCTAGTGGTTATCAAGTAGAATTTACATAGTTATCTCCGGGGAGAGGAGAGCCGATAAGTAAGGATGCCAAGTATGAGTACTTACAAGTATTCGATTCTTATCCGATTCCTAAATTTTCGATTCCGATTCTCGATTTCGAATCTCGATTCCGAATCTCGATTCCTCGACATATTACCAAAAAAATATACCCACACAAGAAATACCATATGAAATCAAGCAAGACAGCGATGTTCAAATTCTGGACGGACAAGAAGTCCAAAACTAAGTAGTATGGGTATCCAATCTGCCACATGAGACAAAACCGCACAAAAAAAAACGAATCCCTCAGAACCCACAGAGATTTTTAAAATAAATAAACGTTAAAGCCTACTAGCAATATTTATAATATATATATTATATATAGTGAAGTTTGCGGTGTCGTAGCAACTCAACATAGCAGTGAAGCAGTTTAAACATATATATATGTGAAGAAATTGCCACAAAACGTTACACATTGTTTGCAATCCAAGTTTCAAACTCGAGAATCGATTCCGGTGCATCGGAATCGATTCTAGTCGATTCCGCGAAGAATCGATTCTGTAATCGAATCCGGACTCGATTCCGCCATCCCTACCGATAAGACAACTTAATAATATGGAGAACCCACGTCTCTTGTCCGGTTACCAGCCCATGCTGGGTATGGGTCAGCTAGTTATTTGTTTCAGATACATGGACTCCAGCGGTTGGATGAACCACTATACGACAGCGAGGAGTCCAGTAATCATCTCGCACATAACCAAACTATGTTGACACAACCTATTGTTTGTGATCGGCATTTGAATTGTGTTTGTTATCGATTGAATTGCGACACTTAATGATGAAAACAAATATATAGTGGATGTTTGAGAGGTTTTGAATTGAACAAATCGGATGGGTGAGTTCTATCTGGAAAGAGGCGCTACAGAAGTATGTGTACCAATATGTAGATAACTAATTTTGTTCGCCTACTTTACATCAAGTTGTCCCCGATCTCGTAATAGAAATGAGGAAATCGGAATAAAATTATGGCCTAACCCTAACCTGGTACACATACTACGGGCGTACCCGGGATGGAACAGTATTGTAGGGTTGTAGTAGCCAAACGCGGGTTCAATACAAAGTAATTCATTACAGGCTAAAAAGAAAAGTGTACTCACAACATAAAGAATTCGAAACTTCAATGGAATTTTGTCAAATAAAAAAGCATAAGCAATTCTCGAAAATATTTCCCCTCCTGCAAATGCCGATACCAGCGTAGATGCTTCAAATTCTGTCAAACCAGCTACTGAAATAAAATACCATTGAATTAACATTTCTCCACGAAAAAAATAATCAAAAATCAATCAAATCAAGGGCTTCAGAAGTGTGAGTACCAATATGGGAGGTAACCTATTCTGTTCGTCTACTTTACAACAAGTCGTGTAAAAGGACTGAAACCTATGGGCAAGGGGTATGTAATATGTATATTCATTTGGCCAACACAGACAGTTCCCAAACTCGTTAAAGAACTAAAATAAAACATTGGAATAAAATTATGGCCTAACCCTGACCTGGTACACACATTACGCGAGTACTAAAAAAGGTAATAATACAAGCAATGCTAACCCGACTTTCCATACGGAATGATATATGTTGAGGCAGAAAAGAAAGCTGCCGCAAATGTGGTCCATGACAGAGTGTAGAGGTAGAATCGTTTTTGAGTAAACAAAGTCAAATCATATTTGATGCAAAAGTTTTTAAATTTGGTCCCACAATTTTCATCGGTAGAATTAGAAAGTTTGTTGCTGGAATTTGAAGATAAGCTGATCGGTTTTTCGTCTTTACGATTGTGCGATTTTGTAATGTTATCGTTGACGTCATAATTTCTTCGAGCCACTGGAGGAGTGTAAAGTCCAAGGCTTTGACTTCCAACAATTTCTGCATCGAGTGACGTCAGATCAAATAACCTTTTAGGCTTCGATTTTTCTTCGCTGTAAAACATACAACAGTAACAGGGGTGGGAAACAGAATTGCGTATAAACTAGAGCGGTTGCAAAACAGGATTAGTGTATCATTTTCTAATGATTCAAAATTGTCATTCAAAATGTAATTTTCCAAAAAAAAAATGTTCATGTTTGAAAATAAATTCTGATCAAAAGAGTGAATATTAAAATAAACTACCCTAAATAATTATGAAACAAATGAATATGAGGAGACAAATTTGTCTATGCCAGATGCTTGGAATGTGAAGAATCATGTAAATTTCCGAATAAGAAGAGAGAGAGAGAGATTCATTCATTCATAACAAGTAATAAATTAGTTTGGTATAGACGGGAGGGAGACCAGACGGTCATCAAAGTCAACTCCCAAGAATATTGATGTTCAAGTTTTTTTTTTATAAATTATTTACTATTATCTGGATGCTAAGTTGTAATATTTTAGAATTTCCGAACACTGTATCGTCTTTAAAATTATTCTATGTTGGTCTCTCATTCATCGACAGTACGAATCCAAACGTTATTTTCCCCAGAACATAAGTTTAGACTAACTTTTATCACTAAAAATCTCAAAATGGCACAAATTCCAGCTTTTATAAATAAACCTTTCGCTGGAATGCTTGTCTTTGTATTTTTCGGTCGATGGGAGATGTTCTGGGGTCTCAAGATCGCTCATTAATTTGATTGGCCGCAATAAAGCACTTGCAACTGCCATGTTGAGGAATAGGCCCGCTACAATCTGAAAAGATTAGAAAATAAATTAACCTATACAGTACTAGGATGCTGTATATTGAACAAAATGACACTTTTCCTTGTTTATTTCGGATAAAATGATCTAACTCAGTGGTTCACATCTCTTTTTTTCGAGCAACTATGAATTTTTAAAATAAATTCTGTAAAATCTCGCCACCCAAGCCCATGCTCAAATACTAAACGGCATTTAGTACTTTTTTGAATGCAAACTTAATGACTAATATAAAACAATCATTTTTACATAACATTTATTTCCTAGAAATTACCCTAAAGTGAGAAGGCAGCGCTTGTTTACTATCATCGATATTTTGAAATGGTAGTTTGGCTAGTGGCTACTTAGCTAAACGAGTGCTGCCAAATTCCTACGAATTGATACTTTCCACAGGTTCCATTACATTTGAACCCACGTACATTTGAACCCATGACAATTGCACCTGTATGCTATTGCACCTATGGAATTTTTTTTGTTTTTTGGATAGTTGAACTTGAACCCACACTAACCCTAACCCATGAGTTTTAGCACCCGCATATAGATTGAACCCGTGGATATACACATGGGTTCAAATGTACGTGGGTTCAAATGTACGGTCACCATGTGATTACTATTGAGCAACACTTCATACCAATACCCAGTTGTGGGTCGCGGAAACACTGATCTAACTTAATTGGTATATATATTTCTGACAAATACTGTCAAATCTTAAAAACTATTTAATTGAGGTATTGGCTATGTATGACTACATTACCCTGATAATGGTCAATAATTAGCCTGTTCAAATCATCAATACAAGAATGCTCAAGCTGATTCCAGTTATAACCAGTTTGATTCATTATACCATATAGATATGAAACAAGGACTTCGATAGCACGATTTCAATGTCATGTCAATGTTTACAATGTACGGGAAGTAACGTTTATTGACGTCATAATACAATCAGATGACCTAAAAATGTAAACACATTTCGTCAGTGAATTTCATATTTAAGTCAAAATATTTACCCTGCAAGCGCCCCTCCAACCGTACGTGGTGATAAGGTACTGATAACCGGGACACACGAGCAAAGGACCGGCTGATATACCGAGACAAAGTAATTGATTAGCCATATGAAGCCTTTTCTTGAAATAACGTGTCGTTGTCGTGAACACCGATATCGATATAATACCCATTCCGGCTCCTGTGGTACAAAACAAAATTAGCTGCTCTGTATGATAATATCATTTTTGGGCGCTCCAGAAGTGTGTGTACCAATATGGAGGTAACTAATTTCGTTCGCCTACTTTACATAAAGTTGTATGAAGGAACTGAAACCTAAGGGCAGGGGGTATGTATATTCACTTGGCTAACACAGACAGTCCCCGAACCCGTTATAGAACTAACATAAGGAAAATCGGAATAAAATTATGTCCTAATCCTAACCTGGTACCTGGAATGGTGTATGTATTTTCAAATCATTATTATTATAATACCAACTTCATATTTAAATGCGATAAAATATTCGTAGAAAAGGCGGTTGACTAAGTTGCATGATATTAACAACTTTTCGCGAAGCTTTTGTTGCTTTTAAGCCATTATATCTCCATTCTATATATGAATATTTGATCACCACTGTGATAGACTAATAAATAGGGCTGGGCATTTTTGAATACCCCATGATTTCAGTATCGAATGGAATATTTTTTGTTTGAATCGAATCTTAGATACTCGTGTGTGATTTTATCATTGTAATGGATCTTCCAAACACAAAATATTGAAAACATAGAATCCATCACTCAGACAGTTCTTCACACAAAATAAGGAACATGTTTCATCAATAACTCGCTAGACGAAAAAAATTCAACATCAGTTTTTATGTCAGAAATGCATTGTAAAATTATGACATCAATAAACAATTGAAGAGCAAAGGTTGGCGGCGATTTGAGATTTTCATCTAACCCGATTGGAAGCGAAATGCCCAGCCGTACAAATAGGTAAGTTACAGGTAAGATATCGCGGCGAAAAACTTCTTAGCGACAATACAAATAGCTGTACTCCTTCCATACCTACAAGCATTGCCATCAGAACTTGCACCGCCCATAGTTGTTGACAGAATGACGCAAGAAAACAGGATATTCCACACAAAAATGATGAGATCAAGCACATTGGACGACGTTCAAATTTCTGCATCAACAGTGGGCCCACGATAGCTGCAAAAACGATGTATTTTTATATGTTTGAATATTAATTGAAAAGATGTGTAATTGGTAATGACTGTACATATTTATATTGATAATAATGGTGACCGTACATTTGAACCCATACATTTGCACCGTATATCCGCGGGTTCAATCTATATGCGGGTGCTAAAATCCATGGGTTACGGTTAGTATTGGTTCAAATATCCGTAAAAAAAATGTCCATAGGTGCAATAGTATGCAGCTACAATTGTCGTGGGTTAAAATTACGGGTTCAAATGTACGTGGGTTCAAATGTAATGGAACCATAATTAATTAATAGTCCCCACAAACAAATAGCAATGGTGAAATAGATGCATAATAAGGTCGCGCATCGGTACCGATACAGTAAGCGTTTAGTCTAGTACACCGGTTCTCAACTAGATGGCCATTGCCCACTGCTGAGCCACAGGAACTTTTTGAGGTGTGCCACAGTCCTATTAAAATTGTTAGTTTTATTTGCTTACCTATAGTTAATTTTGATTGTATTAGCAATAATTGATGATGATGTTTCCTGCTACTAAGTGCTATTTTTCATTTTATTTAATAAAGATTTTTTCCTGGAAGTTTTTCATAAAAAGGTAAATGGGACACAGCATTTTTGTTGAGCAAAAAAGAGCCATGAAAAAAAGGGTTGAGAACCACTGGTCTAGTGGAACACTGAGTTTACAGAAACAATTGGCTGACAAGGGTGACGGAATAAAGTTTTGCCATATTTAATGAAAAAGACTTGAAGTTTTGGAAGTCGCATTTAAGCATATAGTTTCTATTGCGCAAAACTCATGGATCGTTTTGTTATTATGTTGTTATTGTAAATAATGTGCATTGAAAAACAAAGTTTGTATTAAATTACAGACGTCAGTCTATCGCTGCTTTAAAAAAATGTATTTCGCGGCGGCATTTCGAAGATTAATCAGAATTTCAAAAGTATCGGAGCTGCGTGGCGAAGATTCTACGACCTCACATGTGAGTTCACCATTCGTCAGCAGGAGTTTAAACATCGTGACACCGCACTTGTGTTCAAATTTATAATTTATATTGGGAAAATCCTATTAAAAGATAATGAATCATATCAAATTGAACGATGTCCCCGTGTTGCACTAAAACTATGCTTCAATATTCGATTGTCGGCAATCAAATACCAGCTTTTCTGGATATGTTAATAAAAGCCGTGGACAGCACCCAGCAATGAGCAGCGACCGTGTATTTATTGTGTCGGTTATGTTTGCCAGCTCAGTTAGACGATGATTGACAATTGCGGGTTTATTCAAGGAACAAGTCTCAATCCATTGAAAGGTGATTTCAACAAATGCTCTATTCTCTGTCGCCATATCATGTGTTACGAAGTATTGGACAATACAGCATAGCTCATTTCGTCAATTATTACATTGTTTACACAAGGGGTCGGCAAACTACGGCTCGCGGGCCCAATGCGGCCCGCGGAGTAATATAATCTGGCCTCCGATGCTTCACTGATTTATAATAACAAAACAGCTGCTTTAAAGATTATATTCGTTCCGTAACAGAATTTATTGTGAGACACGTGTAGATTGAATTATATCATAATCAAACAAGTATAAAATTCACAATTACTCGTTTAATGCCTATAATTTAATTATAATTAGACAAATGGCAACAAATCGCAGAAAAGTTGATGCTGAGTGCAAAGGTTTCCATGGCGCCGTAAATATTCAAATGGAATTTTTTGAAATGCAATGAGGAAATAAATCTATATTTTATTCGAGAAATGTATCACTGCTTGATTTTTATTATAAAAGTATCATCCGTTCGGTTTTCAACTTTCTAAAAATATGTGCGGCCCGCCAATGACTTACAACCCTTAATTTTGGCCCACGAGCGACAAAAGTTTGCCGCCCCCTAGTTTACACGAATGTGGATGTCAGGTGCACAGTGCAATATACAGTATACTGAAACTATTTTTGGGACGACAAAGATTGCAGGGGTTTGCCAAAACTCAAACTAAAATAAATATTCCAACTTTATTAACAGAGTTACGTTGTATCTCAGCAAGTTGGTTGAACTTGAAGGTTTTTTCACCCGTTGCGTGACTTCGGGCGACGCGTTTAGGACAAACATTTCAACACTCGAAACACATAGTAATTAAAATCAACTTACTGCAAATTCCATACACAGCCTGAAACATTCCATTCAGCCATGCAACCGATCCATAATCTGCTTCGAAATCTGACATCAACGGGCTAAAGAACACGGAGTAGCATCGAGTGATACCACCCCACATCGCTAGGCAATACATGCCCCCAATAACGATCAACCAGCCCCATCCACCATCTGGGGGTTCTTGTAGGTATCCCTCTTTCTTCATCGCAGAGAAACGTCGTGTTTCTTCTGCCCAAATTACTATTCTATACCGCTAATCAGCTGAACCAAAAGGCTGTAATTAAAAGTGCTTGTAATGCCGCAAAAAATGTAAACGAGAAAATAAGCTTTAAATACGTATTTTCGAAGAAAAAAAGGCGATAACAACTTTCTTACGTAAGAAATACAGAAACAAGCTGCCAAAATTTGCAGAAATGGTGAAAGCGAAAAAGAAGTCCATATTTTTATCTAGTGTAGACTACACGAACGAAATAAAAAGAATAATTCACATTCTATAAAGACGAAACAAAGCCTTGTCGCGAAAACATCGATTAAAGACCGAACCAACAAATCAGCTGTTTGACAACTGATAAACAGTGCAAAAGTAGGATTGAGTGCGCACCCATGTCATTCGTTGTCAGCTGATATAAGAGCAAACAAAGACTCGTGATGTATCGACCATACACGGCAATGAATTTTCGTTCTGCGTAGGCTACTCATCATGTCTGGTTGGCAAGTTTGGTGTCCTCTTCCATATTCAATACCTCGTCGCGGCACTATCCGCAGACTCGAAGCAACCTTTATATTCAAACACGTTTTCAATATCTTGCTATTGAGATTAGAAAGTCCATAATCCCGATGAAGGTAGAATTTCTCAACTCGTTGTTTCAATAAACCTAACGATCGACGCGATCTCTTTTAACAAGTTAAAACAGGGCGAGGTTTAGTTTCAGTTGATTGTTTTTGGTGGATGGTGTCCATCAGATCACAATGCTGCACCATAGTTGGTAAATTGAGCTGACAATATCTATTGACTTGCGCGCATCTGGAATAAGAGACGCTATAAAAGGCTGAGTCAGCATGCAAACCCTATGTCCCAAAGTCCGTCTAGTCTCTGAATCACAGGATATCGTGTACTTATTGCCTGGTTTTTGTCTACTTATGCCGTATTTCAGCCGAAGCTCTCGTCACTGTCAAATTAAATTCCTATGATTTGTTTCTTGAAAACAATGGCCCAGTATTTAATGACTCGTGAAAGACAACATAAATCCTAATTTCGCCCGCTGTGTTAAGACATAACGACCCACTAATACAATTATGAGATCAGTTTGAAATCTCGTGCCGACCGATAGTTTATCGATTCAAAATCCTTGCTACACACTAACACAAATATATTTCTGTATATTTCGCCTGGCCGATGTCAGACTTCTACGGACAAATTTATTTCAGCTATGACCAAAAGCGATCGCATCCACATAAATGACTTATTTTATAAATTTTAGGTGAGCGCTCGTGGCCTGGCTCATAACGAAATGAAATTTCCAGAAATGTCAACAAAATGAGATAATCAGTTGAAGTGTTCTTAACGCGCTACTTTCTCGTTCCATCGCGTCGTCAAACCCGGTCGATCCGGTTTAATCCCGTCTATGCCGGTATGAATTAGATTCAAATCTTTATTTGCGGTAGGTTAAAATCTCAGTTGTATTTAATTTATAAATACCGCTTTTGCGCTCTTGCGGGGAAGGCCATGGTTACGGGCAAACATATCACCGTTATTTCAAATGAGCATGCAAACATCAAGAGAGCAATTCTCAAATATATAGGCAGGAAAGCCAAAACGCAGTAGTATTAAATTTTGCATAGTGCCGGTGCAGTATAACTTTTAAAAATTCCCGACTTCGCTGACCACGAGATTGCTGAAATGCGACCGCGGAACCCCACACGGTGCGCAATTTTTAATTTTAGTGACGTCATCACCACACAAAACTTCAATATCTATATCTCTTATAGAGCACAGAAATGTATGAAGTAATAGCCTTCTATGGAAAAATACAATTTTTACTCACTAAAAATTTCAAAGCAATTGATCCAGTAGTTAATGGATAACTCAACAACAACAACAACAACAACAATAGAATAATAACAATACAATCTATTCATATCGTGTCCAATATTAACAAAATAGTACTCTATTATACTAATGTGTCATGATTGAAATGTTAATGATGCCACTCAAAATGGGGAGCGCGCCCAACACCTTGATTTGATGTCAATGTGCATCATAGTAGATGTCTTAGAAAATAAAAATTTCCAATTTACCAAAAAAAATCGTGAATGCTGCCTTTTGTGACAAGATACAAGCTTCTTCAATAATATACTCAAAAATAGCATTTCTCTCACAAATCGCTAGATCATTTGATATTATATAAAATAGTATTACAGTTTACCTCATGATTTTCACATACATCACATTATCTTAGAAATGTGATCCATCCTGCAACTAAACATTTGCTGTCTGTAAACTCGTTCGGTTCTCTCGTGCGAAAAGGACGAACATTCAAAATTGAATCATACGCTAATTCATCAGACACGAACGTTTAAATCAGAGTAAAAGAATATTGATCGCTGTCGGAAAGAGGTGCGTCCAGCGTAAATATTCAATTCATTCGAGAGTGACATATACACGGGCAATGTTTACTTTGTTTATTAAAATTCTAGTGATTATACTCTTCATTTTGAGCAGTATGATTCAATTTGTACCGGAAGAATGGTTCGTGTTTGCAGCTCAGCGGCAGTGTTACTTCTTTCATTATGCCTAGGCATACAATACGTCCCGGTTTAGCCGGTACCCTCCCGATTTGGCAAGCAAGTCGATAAACCTAAATCTACCGATTATGCAGTTTGACAGTCAAAAAAAAAATGAATTAATTCAAAAAAAGTCTCTCGATTTACGACTCCCTTTACTAGTTCAGACAGAGACAGAGAAATTATTATGTCATAGTTATGCTATGAACCATACGTTAATTTACATCCAACTGTCGTCGAATCAACAAAATGCCGAAAACAAGGTGCAAGATCTTAGATCTCTATTGAGATGAAGAATGACTACCATTATTTGAAGTTGAGGCCAATAGAGGATATTAATAAAATTTACAGCGAATTTTCATGCCCGTAATATAGCCATGATACACCCATACAATGGTATGGAAAACTCGAAATCGAACCAAGGTTGGCTTGTCCAATCCGCACTGTTCCCGAGTTTTTTGCCTCAGATATATGGTAAGCTTAGTAATGCGTGGGTTTGAATATGCAATCTACAACGTTAAAGGATTCAAAATTTAAAGAAACATGTTCTCTTTTGTATCGAACTCACTGACAACACTTGTATTTTTTGAACAAAATTAAGACAAACCATTGGTTCCCATAAAACTACGACCCATACGAAATATAACAACACCAGTGTAAAATTTTGAAAGGCTGTAAACGCAAGGAAAACAAACGAAGAAACGCATTTGGTCGATGTTGAAACAGCACCACTGCGTCATGCAATCGCCTCGTGGTAATTGAATTATTGTTTTCCTAAAATAGAATCAAGCTGATTTTTCTGATATTTCTTCGAATTAATGTTGATTCGAATCGCTTCGAAATTCTGAAACTTACATCCCCACAGTTCTAGAACATGAAACAAGAATGGGTTCTTTAATTATTACAACATTCCAAAAATGCCACTGAATCTTATATGCAAAAAAGTACTATTCATTTAAAATCTAACTTCGAAGAATCTCATTTTATGACAACTTGAATTCCATTCTTGCGTATTAACTCTAGTCCTACACGTGTTCTATAATTCAAATATGAAGATTGATATAATCAAATCTTGTACACCTCTAGGCTTCACCTTCGAAATCATGCTAGCTCAAGCTTTACTATTTTTGGCAACCATAGTAACTACTTATTCTTCTTCTAATCTTTCGGGACGGTCTTGTGGGTATTTGCGCTGGTGTATCTGTATGCCTATGATGTCACAGTGAAGATAACTATGCTAAGTGATATAGGAGTCTTGTCGCACACTAACACGATGGTATTTCCAACAGACTAACATGAATGGTGTGGAACAAGACTCTTGACAGAACCATAACCACCCTGTCAGAAAATCTATTTTTTTCGCTACAATTCTGAACAAAAAAAAGACCAGATAGTCTTTAACGCAATGGCATTATTGTTATTAATCTACCCTCGTTAACCACTTCATCGGCTCACCGTTTCCCGCCATCAGACACATCTGTTACATCGATTACCGTTACCTCCTTCCAGACGAACATCTGTTTCTTATTTGACTGTTTGTTTATTATATTTTGTCGAGTGCTTCTTACACTTCTTCTGTAAATATGTATTTGTTGAGAGATAACAGACAGGTAGGATATGTTGTTTATTTATTATCAACGTTCATCCTGCGAGGTTTTCAAGTTTGAATTCTGTAGTGTCTGTTCATTTGTGTACTGTATTACGTCACTCGGTTGTGCTTGAATGCTCTGACGAATGTGTTTTTTTCTTGTGAGCTGCGAGCGTGTGTACTTCAAGTGTCTGGGTCAAATCGATGAGTTAAATTTGTCCTAATCGTTTTGTTTGGGAAAAAAAACAGCACAAATCGCATGCGAGATATCATGTGCAAATGTGTCTGGATTATGAAACTCCTCGCCGACGCAGGTTGATATACAGATATATGTGACCACTGATCGATTCGGTACTGGTTTTCTCCCCAATTCAGTAAATTATCCGACAAAAAGGCCGTGGTTTGCTAAGATGAAGTCGTTGTATCGGCTTTCCATTCTGCGAAGACGCATATAAAGAAAATTCCAAATTCGGATTGGCACTAATATTCTTATTTATTATCGAAATCTCCTGATATAACTTGAAACAATATGCAAATTAAAAACAACATATTGCACAGAATCAAATTATAAGTGCCTTCGGAATATTTTGAAATTTGTTCAAAAAATTAAACTTAACGAGAAAAAAACATATTCTACGGAAAAATAGTAACTTTTTTGCCCGATCAAGAAAAAAAAAGTAAAAATAAGAACAAAAAATTAAAAAATATGAGTTTTCGAATTCGTATAGTGAAAGTATATATTCTCAGTCGTGATAGCAGTTAGAAAAAAATAACAAATACGTATGCAGAGAACTTGCAATGAAAAATTGTATAGATGTAATGAATGCTACAGTTTTCCTAGCAACATTGGAGGTATTGGATACAGTGATCTACATGGTGTTTGACAGACTTCATATATATATATACAAAAAGGGGTACTCCTGAAATAAGCGCACCAAGATGTCGCACAATCTGAACCCTAACCTGGTACACAACCGGAGTTCAGGTTGTGCGCCATCTTGATGCGCATACTTCAGGAGGTCCCAAAAAGGAGTAGTGTGTGTACCAGGTTAGGGTTAGGTCATACTTTAATTCCGATTTTCCTTATTTACGTTCTATTACAAGTTCGGGTACTGGCTGTATTAGGCAAGTGAATATACCCCCTGCCAAGAGGTTTCAGTCCTCTTACACTACTCGATGTAAAATATGCGAACAAAATTAATTATCTCCATATTGGTACACACACTTCTGGAGCGCCCAAAACAGTAGTTTTTCATGAACAGTACGGAAGTTTCACTTGATCACACGAATTCAGTTGATTTGTGCTTGCTACATATCAGTACAGAGTAGACAATAATATTTCAGCTTTGCTCGAAGCTTCGCGTAAAGTAATAATAACCCCTATTGCGAGTAACAGACATACTTTTTTCAGCAAAAATCGAATTCTAAAAAACGGACACGGTTTAATTTTGCTACTGCTATACTCAAATAAAACAAACAAACTACTCGGAAACAGTCTTGGGGGTGGCGCATCGTGCTGAGCGCACCTCTGTGATTACCCTGCGCAGGTTCGAATTCTATGCATGCGGGGATAATTATGCACGAGAGGATTGCTGGAATTCTCGCCGACGCAGGGTGGTTCACTGGTCGGTTGCGGCTTCCTCCACGATCAAATAATTTGATAAATAATACCACGATCGACATAAACTGTTAACCGGACGAGAGGCCGTTGTTCGCCATATGATTAAGCGGATATTCTCTACCCCGGGACAAATATGTAAATCCTATCCTATCCTGCTAAACTGGTTGTCGGACTTCTCGCCGCTGTAGGGTGGTTCACGTAACCACTGTTCGGTTACGGCTTCCTCTACCATCAAGTCCATACATCTGAACACATAACTGGCTAACTAATCCCACATTTGACATAGACTGGTAATCGGACGGGAGGCCGTGGTTCCCCATACGATTAAGCCGTGCTATTGGCTTTCCTTTTCTCCCAGGATAAATATGTTAAATTCAATCCTAATAAATTGAAAAAAAAGTGGAGAACAACGTAGACATCTCCGAGCATCACTACTCCAAATTTTCTTCAATCACGAATTTGTTTTGCCCTCCGATCTCTTCTTATTCGATCCATAGAACGAATAAGTTTTACAGTTATTAAGCATGATATGATTGACGTCACACAACCAATGTAAAAAGGTAACTTCATATCGCCAAAGTGGTCAACCGTTGCACCTGTCAAACAAAATCTCGTGTTGGTTTTACAAATATATTATCAGAGCAAATTCGATTTTACAGTTCTAAGGAAAGTTTTACAAAAATACAGTCGACGGTTAGTGTATCGTGCAAAGCGTTCGGAACATGCTTGTGATCGCACCCCTAATACTTTGCAAGGGTTCGAAAGTTCGATTTCCGCGAGGGATAATTATGCCTGTTGCGGGATGGTCCCACTATTAAATCCACACATGTAAAATAAATGAACCTCCAGAAGTATGTGCACCATGATGGTGCACAACCTGAACATAGTATGTGTACTAGGTTAGGGTTCGGGTTGTGCACCATCTTGATGCACATACTTCAGGAGCGCCAAATAAATAACTATTTCCATTACCGATATGAACTATGGTGACCGAATGAGAGAGACCGCGTTTTGCCATATTGAATAGGCAAGCCGTCTCCCTAGTTTTCCAATAAATTCAGATGGTGAAATGGTTTTTTGATCAATGTAAAATTTCATGAAAAGAATGCAGGATAACCGAACATGATTATGGTAAATTAAATTCATATGCGACGTTACAATTGCCACGTTCGGTAGCCTTTTGACTTGGCTGTTCGAACATATTCTTTATTACATATTATATATATAATATATTTATTAATATTATATTCTCCGTGAACACATAAATGAAGTCGCTGTAAATTAAATTTAAATACTTCATGGTTCATATTTTGCACACAGATTATTGTCTTTAAAAATTACTCAAAAATGCCGTATATATTACTGTACTTGTCAAAGCCTCAAAATTATGCGAATTCCGATTCATTTTTAACTACAGAATGATGGTAAGAACAGCATTGAACAGGTAACATAGATTCAGTGTGTAATGCATTGTTTTCCAACCAGGAAGAAAAATAAATTTTACCATTTATGAGGAATTTTGCTTTGTATGTGCTGTAGCACAAATAAATATTTTTTATTATTATTACCATAATGCTTATTTGTGCACAGTGCGCACATAAACTACTTGAACTGTGCAAAGCGGGAGTGCGACTTAAATAAAGTAGTTTTTATGCATATTGAATGGGGTTGCGAAATCGGCAAAGGGAAGAATTCAACGAAAAGGATTGGGAACCGATGGTGTAGCTGTGCAAAATATTTCTAGCGAGTGACAAACTCACTCGACCTACCTATTAACATCACAGCAATAGAATCGATCACACTGTACGTGAGATTACTGTAACCCAAGGCTGCCGCATATTGATGAAGTTCAAATATCTCTGCTATGATCGTATTAATAAACGCCTCGATTCCTCCGCCTAATATTCCAATGATAACACTGATTATCATAGCTCCAACGTATCCATTACTGAATGTGAAAAGCAAGGAAACGACGCCTGTAAGACCAAACACTGTAGCCTGTTAAAAAATAAAAAAGATTGTGATGAATTGAACTAGACCAACCGATTTATTCGTATTTATCTAACCAGCACATCGCTCATTATGCGTGGCATTTTGATCCGGGTTCCCCAAAAGTCCTGCAAAATAATCGCTACAAATAATCATGATAACTACTCAGTTGACGTTGACGGTCGTAACGAAACGATCGATAATTACTTTTGAAGACTGGTAAAAATTTTGCCCGGTCACGTTTCTTTTCCACATTCCTATAAGACCCTCAAATATTCATACGATTTGCAAAGTCTTTTCTAGTTAGGACAAAAATGTCAAAGTAATTGACTACTCAGTGTATAGTTGAGCTTTAGCTGATATTTAATCAAAGCTGATAATACAAAACATGTTTCATTTATTTACCATCCAAATGACCCGCCGACGTTGTGAGATTCGGTCCAGAACAAAAGTATACACAACTCTTGAAAATAATTCCCCGCACGCCACCGCTGATATTAAAGTTGATGCTTTAAAATTATCAAGTCCGAGAACTGCAAATGATAAAGTTGTTTAAGACGACTGAGAGTAGATGTAAGATCGGGCCTAAAAATTCCAGCCTGGCCTGACCCAGGCCGGTGGGTATTAAACCCGACCCGACACGAGCCAGACTAATAAACTGGATTTGAAGGCCCGAGCCCGAAGCAAACCCGAAATTTCATATTTTATTTTGTAGTTCGTGGAATTGTCATTGCAAGAGTTTAGTACAGTATGTGTCGTGTTGATGAGGCAACGTAGACAAAACACGACCGAAACGTCTCATTTGAAAAAAAATCAGCAATAGAGAAGCCCGACCCGACCCGAACGTAATGATTGACATTTCAGGCCCGAATTTCGGGTCGGGCTTCAGATCTTAGCTCTAACTGAGAGAGAGGCGTTTAAAATGGCGGATCATTTGAAGATCCTCTCTCCAAACCTACTTGGACGGGATGATCTGACTGGACCAATTACAAAACCTGACCTGACGGCACTATGACCATATTTGTGTTGGTATATGTATAGGCTTATCATACGTCCCGCTTTAGGCGGGATAGTCCCACTTTTCGACGTCTTGTCCCGGCGTCCCGACTGGCCAGCCAAATCACCCGCTTTGGCGTTAAGCCAACACATGGAGGGAGTCTTCAAATGAATTAAAACAGCAACTGGAATAAATGAGGGCCAAATGTACTTACCCTTTTCTCCATACGGTATCATGTATGCCAAAACCGAATAAAACGTTATTGAAAAACCGGTCCATGACATCGTGAATTCGTAGAATATCGGATCAATGAATAAATTAATATTATAAGCTATCAGTTTATCAGCAATCCATCTAATGTATCCACTTCTGTGGTCAGTATTTTGACTCCCGTCTTCAATGTTATTCGAGCTTAAATTTGGACTGGAATGGCCAGTTTCGGCATTGACTGCAATCAATCCAGCTGATTCATTGTCACAATTTTGATCGGTTTTTACAATTTGGTTCGTACCAGAGACATCAATGGGTTTTTTATTATCATTACCGCCCTTTACATCTGTAGATTCTTTTTCAGGAGAAGATCTGAAATTAAGTGAAGAATGTATTATATAGTAAGGTCGGGACGCTTGCAATACAGTAATCTGTAGTTCATCTTTACCGATTTCCATACTGAAAATATTCTCTGTACCAACAATATAATAAAGAAACATAAAAATGGCATTTCGGGGCAAAGGGAGGCCAAAAAAACAATATTATACTGGTAATTGAGCAGCGGTACTCGTGAAAGTCTAACAGCAATTAATACATAAGAGATAAAAAAAGTGAATCATTTCACCTTAAAAATGTTTACGTCAAAACATAACTAACAGTTGAGTAGACGAAAATTATTTTAATTTTAGGACTTCAAGTAATTTAAGTACAATAAGTTACAAATCTGTTCAGCTGAATAATATGTTTCTTTAAAAAAAAGAGTCAGAAACTAAATAACAAACTCTTAATGTCGATGATAAATAAAGCATAATCGGTTTTAGCAAAACGATTCAATTTGCTGACGTTTCGAATTAAACGTCGGCAAATTAAATCGTTTTGCTAACACCGGTTGTGCTTTATTTATCATCGATATGAATTTACAAGGTGGAAATACTGCGCTATTTAAATTCTTAATATGTTCAATGCTTACTTCTCCGATTTCTCGAGCTGAATTCCTAAGTCACTTTCAAGTTTAATTGGTCGCATCAGTGCACTTGCAACTGCTGTGTTCAATAAGATCGCACTTGCTATCTGAAAAATACGAATGATTGTAAAATTTTGATGTGCTATCTTCTAACCACGAGAGTTTAGCATTTGCAATTCCTGAGATTTAATTGTTTTAAGAACGAAATATATATTGCTCCTACTCGATAATAAAATGAACCCAGATGAAAATTTGTTGTTTATGTTAAATCTACATTTTCTGTAATTTGCAGAAATCTCAGTGTTATTTCAAGGCTATTGGAGGTTTCCTAAGAAATTCATCTTCCAAAATGGAATCGCCATCCATTTTCATCACCGAATTTTTGATACTAAAGCGAACAACAACAAGTCTGCGGATATAGTAATAGTATCAATACTTTATTCTAGCTATACTCAATTTATCAGTCATATCGGATGATTAAATAATTCCAGGGATTCAAAATTTGGGCACTCCGTAAGTGCTGTGTATGTATACCAATATGGTGGTAACTAATTTTGTTCGCCTCCTTCACATCAAGTTATGTAAAGGAACTGAAACCTATGGGCAGGGGCTATTCACGTGGGTAACACAGACAGTCTCCGAACTCGAAATAGAACTAAAATAAGGAAAATCCGAATAAAATGATGGCCTAACCATAACCTGGTACACATACTACGGGAGTAACAAAATTTGATCTTAATGATCAGTGGAAAAAAGAGCAAGCAATATGGCATATCTCACGAATATACCTGTGCTGCGCCTCTCCATCCATATGTACTAATCAATTATTGGAATCCTGGGCAGACGATGAAAGGACCGAATGATATCCCCATACACATGATTTGATTTGCTGCATGATGTTTTCTTTTGAAATATCTGGCAACCATGGTGAATTGACTGTTGAGGAGAAAGCCTGTTGCTCCACCTAAAACGACACAAAAATCAGCGATGCATAATTATCTTTCGAGCTTGTTAACAATTCTGGCAGCTATATGCCCGAATGCACAAAAAAAGCCGAATTTACCTAATCAAAATCACGGGCCTTCCTTGTGTGAAAAGCCTACATACAAGTATATGAAACTTTACAGCATTGCAGACGCAATATATATTTGAATACAAAATACAATTTGTCTATTCACGTTAGTAAAGTAGAAGACATGTTAAAACGTACGTCCTACTAATATTCTCCAGGAAATACAAAAGTTCGAGACATGTTTTAACATGGTTTCGCAAGCGATGACAAATTTGTATCGTTTTCATCATAAATCATAAAAAAATGAGGTAGCCACAACTGATCTCAATCCATTTTACTGCACGATGCGCTAGTTACAGGGGTCGGCAACCTTATGTCGCTCGCGGGCCAAAATTAAGAGTTGGAAGTCATTGGCGGGCCGCACATATTTAAAAAAAGTTAAAAACCTAACGGAAGGGCGACGAATTACAATTTTTTTACACAGATCAGAAGTTGAATTTTAAGCAGCGCGCGAAGATTGCGCCAACTCGTGAACTCAACTTGGTCGTCTTACTTGAAGAAGAAGATTTACAAATGCGACACTTACTGTGGCATCACGCTTTTCTAAATGGGACACTAGATGAAGCTAAGACTAAAACATTTCATAAATGGGAATCACTAATCCGAGTTCTCAGCTTGTTCTTCCTAATGTTCATTTTCGAAAATAATTGTTCGCGTGAATAATGCATATTATGTACTTCAAAACATCTATGTGCATTTTTTTCGCATGGTTTGTCAAATTTGGATAGAGTTTTCCACGAAGAAGATACTTTTTATATTAAAAATAAAGCCATTGCATTGCATTGCATCTCAAAAAATTCCATTCGAATATTTTTGCGCCATTGAACCCTTTGCATCAACTTTTCTGCGTTTTGTTGCCATTTGTCTAATTATAATTAAGTTATAGCATTGAACGAGTAATTATGAATTATATACTTGTTAGGTTATAATATAATTTAGTCTACACGTGTCTAACAATAAATTCTGTTACTTAAAGAATATAATCGTCAAAACAGCTTTTTTGTTACTAAAATTCAGTCAAGCGACGCGACCGTAGGTTGCCGACCCCTGCGCTGAAAGGATGATGTGAACGAAATGTCGTATCCTCGGTCTACACCTGATTAAATGCTGACAGGCTCACAATTCTGTTTAAACTAACTCATAGAGCAAGCAACAGCATATGTTTGTTTGAAAAGACAGAGTAAGTCGCAAGTGTGTTTTAATAATGTACTATGTTTACAATCACAACTCTTACCTACAACAAAGCCCATAAACGTCTGTACGACCCATAACTTTGTTGCAAAAGAGGCGACAAAGCAAGATATTCCTGCGATTATGGATGCCGCCATGCAGACTGATCTTGCTTCAAAGTGCTTCAGAGCGAGAGGACAGAGGCTTGCTAAAAATGAAGTATATTTAGATTTAAATTTGTTTCTTGTGTTCGCATTGTATTGGGAAGTCCCAATGTTAAATATTACAGATAAAAAAAAATGATTTCAGACATGCTTTCCAAGGCGCAAAAAGCAGTGGCCAACATAATAACAACACCGCAATAACGCAAGAGTGGAGCATTTGGTTTTATTGAGACGTTCAATAATAAATATCATTTGCAAATTCTCCATTAATGATGAAAGCATAATAATCAATCAAAACCACAATATATGATCTAAGTGAGTCAACGCACGACAAATCAATGACGTCCTGATCCTGATGATTCGCATAAAAGCGGTTGGACGGGAGTGCGAAGTAAAAGAAAAGTTACATTCGACTAAGATCTGAATAAATAATTTCGACTAAAGAATAGAGTCCGACTCCAGCTCTAAAATCCGGTAAAGCTGAAGCTCTTTTAGCTTAAGATGAAGACTTATTCGGTGGTCCTTTGGATTACAGGTTGCCTCCGCGTATATTTGGTATTGCATTGCTAAATCTTCGCACATTTGGGCTTAAAACAGTCATGTTACCGCCACGCAAGTATCGTGTTAATTTTACACTTTAACGTAGAGGTATAATAATAAAGTAAAATTCACTTACTGAAGACGCCATATCCTATTTGAAAAAGTCCAGTGAGTCTCGATACCGCTCCGTATTCAACGTCGAATTCGGTCATAAGAGGATTGAAAAACACGGACAAACATCTCAAGAAACCGGCCCACATTGATAGATCGTACAAACCACCGAGAACAATCATCCATCCCCAACCGCCGTCCGGGCGTTCTTTTAAGTATTCTCCTCTCATAGTGCAATAGCGAGGCAAACTACGTCCTATTCCTACGACTGGTAAGATGGCCAAGAAAATTTAGTAATATATATAGAAATGCCGAAATAGGTAAGTTTGATTCTTGAACGAATTATTCGATGGTATTGGTATAAAAAGTTGCCATAAACAACTAAATAAATCTGTCGACTCGCAGCTAGCATGTGATTGCACATGACTATCCTGGCGTTTCGCGCGCTACTCGTAACTCTGTTTAGACACTAAGTATATGCTACGGATGTCAAAGAAACAGCCTGCACTTCGCGGTGGATACCATGTATACTCTTTATTGAGTGTAAGTTGGAAAAGTAATAATAACAATCAGACGAAAATGGTTGCCGACGTTCGCGGAAGATTCACGATAGACTCTGATGTTATGCATAAAAACAGAGATCTTTTGTACAAAACCCCGCCACTGATGCAGTTCGGGTTAGGGCGAGGAATGATTTGAAAATTTGAATTTCGAAAACAGCAGATATATTTTCCTTGGATGTCAGTTCAATAACAAAGCACAATAAATTGCTCAGCCAAATTCTGGCGGGACGAATTCACACGTTCGCCTAAAAGAGGGCTTTTCAGAAGGAGCTAGTGGAGATTATCGAAATATTTTTTTGCAATAACTTGTATGATAAATAACGGGCCTAATGAGAATGGGAAAAAGTATTTAGGTATTTATTCTCAAAATTTGAGACATACTCTGATATAGCAGACATGTCGGTAATAACGCACGTGAGCATGAGTTAATTTATTCAAATATATCACGTAATCTATTTCATTACAAAGCTATTTCTGGGTTATGGAGCCCTTCCTTCCCAGCAATAATTTTATTGTCTTAGGCATTCGGTGTTATACGATAATGGGGTATGGAAGTCCGTAGCACAATGTCTTAAAAATATCGTGTGCGCTCGTTGTAAGAAACATCCGTCAACTGTTTCGTTGGCTGAAATAAACAATTCTTATTTGATCGTTTGTACAAAGCCTTCGCCACTAATGCAGGAATGTGAGATTGTAAAACAACACCTCCGCCACATTTCAAAAAACAAATTTGTAATTATTCAGTTGGGATTCGGGTTATAGGAATGATTCAAAAATTTCAATTTCCAGTTCAATATGCATTCCTAACTTTGACCGGATAATTACCAATTTTCCTTTTTTTTAACGTTGGCGGGGGTGTTTTTCTGGCAGAGGCTTTGTCCAAAAAACCTCTTCTATCAACTTAAAAATTCGTTTCTATAATATAATGATATAATACTAATTGCTCGCTTCAATAATTCTAACATACAAACGTTAATTTTTTTCTATTATATATGGCAAGTTAGAGCTTATTGATGCGAAACTCTGCATACACAGATACATACATACAAAGCAAATTGACTTAGGAAGACGCAATATTCCGAAAAGTGTCATAGAAATACTAGTCATATCCTCGGAAGGTTCCTGTCAATTTCTAAAATAGGTCACACGATTCTATTGCCAGCGTCTATCATGTATGACGTATGATAATCTTTTCGCAGATCTAAAGGATCACAGGCTTCACAGCTAACGCTTACAAACCAATCTGACTTGCTAATTCATCAAAATTCTCGCACACGCACAGGTCTATGTGATAGTTACGGTTCCATTACATTTGAACCCACGTACATTTGAACCCATGACAATTGCACCTGTATGCGATTGCACCTATGGAATTTTTTTTGTTTCACGGATAGTTAAACCCATACTAACCCTAACCCATTGGTTTTAGCACCCGCATGGCGCATATAGATTGAACCCGTGGATATACGCATGGGTTCAAATGTACGGTCACCGATAGTTACAGTTACGTCCTCGATTATGGTAAGCGGTTAAAAGCACTGTTTGTATGGTGTTAAAAAATCTTAGTATTGAGCTTACCTACTGTGAGCCTTCCGCGAATTATGCCCATCGCATAAAACTTCTAACAATATACTCTTTGAGAGTTTGAGACCCCGGGGCGTAACGGTTGAAAACAGACAATGCCGCAGTTGAAAAAGCATTGGTCTCATTGAATCAGTAGCATATAATTAAAACCTCACCCCTGGGGTGCTATGGTTAACAATAGAAAAGAAATTGGTCTCAATGTTTCGATGTAATTAAAAAATTTTGCATCTCATTTTTAGCTGCCTCTTTAACCAATCACTGTTAATTTAGGAATATTTCAAGCAGGTAACTATAGGTTTTGTAACCAGACCGGACCGTACCTTACCGTATGAAAGACCGTATTCTTTAAAGAATCGCTACATCCCAACTTTCTGTACAATTAGCAACATCAACGAGACCGCAAAGTAATGGGTATTACAAGGTTGACAAAACAATCTACGGCACGCTACGTTCCCGCGCGACATCTCGTACCAATGCAATATGTATGTCAACAAATTTACGAGTTTGCGGCGTTTAATACAGACAATGTAAACGTTGGGAAGAAAATATCAGTAACCAAAATACGTCTGTAAACGTTGATAATGAAATAACAGTAACCAACTTAAGATTGGACGATATAATTGCTTTCTGCAAAGTGAAAACGAATGGTATAGGTGTTGCAAGTTGCGGTTTCATTGACTGGCCGTCATGTTCTTGGGTGGATATTAAATCTTGGGAAATTGTTCGCCGAGGAAGAAAAACCCGTTATTAGTCGAACATCGGAGACGCGACTTTGAAGATGGGAGTGAAATCGCGGCCCAAATTCTCTAACTGCTGAAGGAGAAATGCTCAGAATCAAAAACAGTGTAACAAAGACGTCAATTTGACCCTTCCTCATCTCTTATGTCAAGTGACCGACTTATCCCTGCTCGTAAATTTATGCTTCTAACATAAAATGAATAACAAACAGCTGTTGGATTGGGATTGTCGTGGCAACGAAGAAAAAATGTTGACAGTCAAGCTGCGAAACGATATCATGAACACCAAAATGAAACAAAAAGCATATTACATTAAATTTTGTTTTAGGATTACTCTAACCAAAACCAAAGTGACTAAAACGGGACTAAAACAGGGTTACATTAACTCTATTTTAAATGTGAGCGTGAATCGTGACAATTTCACATTACGCTTAGTTATCGCATTGAATATGAAAACACAATTTCGTGCGCATTGCGCCATTTTCTCCACTGTCGGTTTCATACGAACCTATTTGAAAAATAAAATAAAATACCGCCACAAACACCGCAATGAAGCAATTGGCATGACATTTTAGAACAGTGGTCGGTAAACTGAGAACAAATATTTTGTAGTTCTCGAACCAGAGCCATTATATGGCTCTGCTCGAACGACCTCACTTTTATGCATAAAACAAAAAGTGCTCATAAATTTATTATTATCTGCGCACTGCTGGATGTCGTAACCGCGGCTGTTGTACAACGTCTGTTTTTATATAAATTAGCGTAAGCGAAAGCATATGTCAGATATATATGTTGTTCACTTGCCGAACGTTAGTTGCAATTATGGGATTAGATTTGCATAATTTTCCCGGGGGAGAGGAAAGTGGTTAAGACGACCAAATCATATGGAAAACCACGGCCTTCCGTCCGGTTATCAGTCCATGTCGGGTATGGGATTCGTGAGCCAGTTATTTGTTTCAGATGCATGGACTTGATGGTGGAGGAGGTCGTAGACTACCCTACGGCGCCGGGGAGCATTCTTCTCGCTCTCATAATTATCCCCTACCGAATTCGGTAATCAGTGGTGCGGTGGCGAGCGTATTCCTAACGCTTAGCGCTTAGCACGGTGCATCGCATCGTCGAACCGCACATGAATAAGAAAGAATGCATCATAATTTTAATGTTGCGATTGTTTTAGGCAGAAATTTACGTGGCCCTCGTGCTGTGTATAGTTGTTCAAGTCGAACATAAAAATTCCCGACCACTGTTATAGAAGTTAGATTACCGGCGGTGGATTGTATATTTTCCACATCAAAAAATACATACCAGATGAAAAACTCATCTCCTCTACTGAGTGAATCTTTTCCCCTACATGTCTGCGTTCCTGTGCCGTATATACAATACGAAGTAAATGTGATAAAATCGTTTAATGGTGGATGAAGCTGTACGTGAACCACCCTACGGGGGCGAGGAGTCCAGCAATTCTCTCACCATAACCATCCCCGCATGAGATCGAACCTGCGAACCCACGCAGAGTAATCAGAGGTGCGGTGGCGAGCGTATTCCTATCGCTTAGCACGACGAGCCACACCGCCGCGCCGACACTACATTACCTAACAGTAACTTTAACCCCGGCGGTGTGGCGTATCGTGCTTAGGAATACACTCGCTGCCACATCTCTGATCCCCTATGCATGAATTTAGTATGTTCGAATCCCTTGGATCATAATTAGGTGAGAGAGGATTGCTGGGATCCTCGTTGTCGTAGGGTGGTTCACATACCCGCTTGTCAGTTACGGGTTCTCCAACCATCAAGTCCATTTATCTGAAAAAAAAAAAAAACTGGTTAACTGATCCCATACCGTACCCGACATAGACTGGTAACCGGACGAGATGTGTGGTTCGACCGTAAATATATACTAATACGGGTTGATATACGATTAATCAGTCCAACGACTAACATACCGATCAGTCTTAACACTTTTTCTCTCAGAAATCCTATCCTTTCCTAACCCGCTATTCTTGTCTTTGTTCACCGCAAGGATCTATGACAGCAGGTTCGGGTACAGAAACAATGGCATTACCGATTCTTGCGCAATAAATTGAACATGATAACAATAGAAAAGCTTACTTGATAGAAAAAAATGTGGACAAAGTTAATTTAAACGAGCAGATTTCTCAATTGAGATTCCTTATTTTGAATAGAAGTTCAGCGAGCCTGATGATTAGTCCCTGCGGGCCGGATTTGTCCGGATACTAATAAGCAAGCCAGTTGGCATATGCTGAATCACCGTCGCGGCTCGTCACCAGCCTGGTTTTCTTGCTAAGTTTTGGTTCTCTGCGCGATTGTTTAGCTGGATAATAACTGAATACAGTGTATTGCCTCCTTTTGCTTGGAGTTTGTAACTTTACAATAGTTCTTAGAACAGTAGAATATTCCAGATAATTCATCTTGTCTAGCTAGTGAAATACGATCATAATATCACAATATGGAGGATTTCAATCCTGAAGGTGAGCATCAGGGGATACTGTTATATGGAATTTCTAAACTACCAGACTACCGGTACCGGTACCATATTATACTCAAAACCGATTACTGTAGTAACAGCCTCTTACGGTATCTCATTCAGTGTTTTTTCACTTTTATTTTATGTCATGCAGCCATGAGTGGCTTAGGTCTGTAGGTTTGTATTTTTATATGAAACAACATTTCGAGTTTTGGAAACTTTCATGAATAGGCTATATCTTTGTGCCATGGAAGAGTTTGGAATAAGTTTTATTTTCTAATGTATTTCTGAATGCTGATTGGTTTTCATCCCTCCTCCAATCATCTTTTCTCAACTTTTTTTTTAAACAACAGCTGCTTGTAAAAGACTTCGTGAAATGAGAGATGAACATGTGAGAGATAGCATAACTATTGTTGAGATTGGCGAAAGATTAATCCGAAAATATTCTCATAGATTCGGAGATGAAATGTGGTTGATTTGTGAACAGGTAATACTGTAATAAATTGTTTTTTTATTAACTTTATAATCTTTTAGGGGTCTCGTGTAGTTTCATACCTCAAGTACTTCTAGTGGACGTAGGTAGCATAACGATTTTTACACATGTAAATCCTATCCCCCCCACCTGAATACATCATCCAAAAATACGATGTCATAAACACGTCATAGCGCTTGCCAAAGTATACCTACGATCGCCCGAAATGGCATCTGCATCGACGATGAAGAACTCACTAACGACAACGATCTCTCTTGTATCGGGATTGTTGCAACGAGAAAACGAGAGAAATAGCTCGATTTCGGGTGATCGTCTGCGCGTCTTGGATGACACTTTGCATAGTTTGAAGGACCTTAGTACGTCACTGTGAATTGATGTAATTTTTGGATGACGCACTCAGGTGGGAGTTAGAATTGACATATGCAAAAATATGCTACGCCCACCAGGAGTACTTTAAGAGGTACAAAACTACACCACACCCTTTTTTTGTTAGTTCGTATTTTCTTCTTTTATCAAATATGTGGAATTATATAAAAAAAAGTTGATCAGTAAATGTTATCTATTTTTGTTTACCAAATTTTTGTAATAAATTACAAAATTACAAAAATTGTTCTTGCTCCATGATTTTTCTAGTATTGCATTAAAATAATTTCAAGTTCATGAAAGTTTGAGACCTTTTATAATACAAATTTTTAATATTGCCATAACTTTGAATGCATGCCTGGAGTTGACATTTTTAATTTGTGAATGTTTTGCCTAGAAATATTAAAGCATTGATTTAGTACCAACATTTTTTTTATTTGTTATAAAGGTATCGGCGTAGCCAAGTTGCAACCAATCAAAAAAGCTTATGATAAACTGCTAGAAGATTGGGTCGTTTATTCCTTAGTGCGAGAAACCTTTTTCTATATTCTAGGTCTTCATAGCAGCATTAGACACATGTCGATACGATTTATCAGATATTTGTCTTAAAAAATTAGAAACGAGATTTCCAGATAGTGACAGAGTAAAAAAATTACTTGGAATACAATTTGAAGCTTATGGAGAGTAAGTTTTTCTTGTTTACTTTTGTAATTAGGGTTCAATATTTGGTGCTGATTTATGTGGTGAATTTGATTCAAATGAAATTTTGGAATATATTTATTTCAAAGCACTGATTTCATTTTGAGAAACCATCAGTGAACTGTGTTTGGCATCGCGTGACGTATGATGTCCGGACTCTGGTAAAATCATCAAAGGCTGAGGCCGAATCCAAGTATCAAAATACAAGAGATTGGGCCACAAATCCAGGCACGAGTCTGAATCTTGTCGCATTCCTAATAGCCCATACATCACTGCTTATAGGAATGACTAGTTCATTTGAAAAATGTGATGTTTTTAAGTAATGTCGATCCCAATATAAAATCTACACATGAAATATATTTCTACAGTTATGAAGAAGCATTAACTATATATGAAGAAATAGAAAAAAATGATCCAACAAATGCTGTAAGTTTGAGCTTATTCAATATTTGCTATTGATTTTTTTTAGATTGAAATAAGTCCTGAGAAATCACATCATCCCATCGCTTGGTACACATTAATTCATGTAGTCACTTTACTGCGATAACGATTAAAATTTTTACTATCTGTATTAGTCGACAGCAGTGGTTTTCAATCGATGCTATATGGCGTCCTGGAATTCTAATAATATCGTCCAGGTGTTCCATAAGTTTTTATTCATATCCCAGAGTTAATATTTATATATGTATATTGTTCAAATATGTTCTAATACACAGGTATAATTGCACAGGATTTTCTCAACCCTCTATAATGTTTAAGTTCTGGTTCCATCAGAATGGTTGAAAACCATTGTTTAACAGGCTCGACTTATTTAAAATATAAAGCCTTTTTTATCAAAGTTGTCAATGACTGCAATTCCTGATGTGGATTTGTTGTTAGCAACTGAAATAAGTTTTATTAATATATTATCATGTTTCCTGGTAAATTCCCAGTTAGTATACATTTCAATAATTCTCATTTCAACTTTGTGTATATGCTTTAGATTGGCCAGGCCATCTACAGATTTAAATTAGAAAGATAATGTGGCATATTATTATATTCCTTGTCAATTATTTTTATTTTCAAACCTCTATAGGCCATCAGGAAACGGAGAACCGCAATATTGAAAGCGCAAGGTAAAACATCAGATGCAATAAAGAGTTTAACGGAATACCTCAAAACGTAAGATTCTTTCACGAGCTTATGTTGTATCTTTGTTTTGAATTTCTTTCACTGAATGTGGAAAAGGTATCCAATAATACACGGAGTGCATTGCTCATGCATTCTCAGTGTTTTTTCGCTAGAACAAATTAGTTCCATGTTAGGTTATTTTATTTATCACTTGAGCAATCAAAAAAGTTCCAACATCTTGGGTAATATGGAAATGACAGGAGTTGTGAAGAACGAATTGCTCCGTCATTGTGTCTACATCACCTTTAGATAAAAATTAATAAAGAAACAAATAAATGTATGAGCAGCTTAGAATCTTTTATCCACTTTTTTCTGTACAATGCTCCTTATATTTTTCGCTCTAAACAAGTCTCTGTACAAGTGTACACTTCTAGGTAAAAACCTACTATCTTATGGGGGGACCAGAATTTTTTGAGACTCTGCATTGCCCACTCACTTTATTACGCAATTAGTTAGAAGAGTTTAGAGAATGAAATGCTGAAAAGGATGAGTGATTAGGAATTTCCCGGTCGTTTAGTTACCTCAAGATTGGACGTGAGTCATTTACAGCACTACATTGTAACTCCGACCTATGATGATAATATGATTAAACATTATCAAACCAATGCAATTATAAACAATTCACCAATATTTTTAAAACTCAAGATTATCAGATATATTGAAAAGTAGAATTAACAAATATCAGTGAATAAAAGGTACTTTTGAAGTATGTTAACCAAGATGGCAAACACCGGAACACAGTATGTGTACCAGGTTAGGGTTAGACCATAATTTTATTCCAATTATCCTTATTTTAGTTCTATTACGAGTTCGGATTCTAGCCGTCAAGTGACTCCCATAGTATTTGTACCTGAAATTATGGCCTAACCTGGTACACATACTACGTTCTGGTATCCGCCATTTTGGTTCACATACTTCGGGCGCACCGAATAAAATTAAGGTTACTGCTGTATATAATACTATCAACCATTTTGCAATTGTTCAGCTTATTTTAATGTTATGCCATCACGAAGTCACCGTTGACGAAGCATGTCTTCTATCCTCAAGTTTCAACTCACTTTAATATGAATGATGTACGAATGTAAATTAAAAAAAATATATTTATGTGAATTACATCTGTTTCCCGTTTCAAAAGAAGCCGATACGCGTACATGGCCTCCTATTTTAGAACACCATGGTTGTCAGCAAATTCCGGGACAACCGTAGCCTAGCCCGGGACGCCAGACGTCAATTCAGACGTTGCAAAGTTTTTAAGACTAGTTATATAAAATTGTTGCGAATGGCATCCCAATCACGTAATAGTTCGTTTTCGGTACTTCTCTCTTGTATTCCCTTCCCAATCGCTTATATTTTTTGAAATCAATTTATAGCAGTAAATGTGCCAGGGGTTGCCCACCCCTGATTTAGGCGCTTTTAACATTTTGATTTACATTTAACCCTACTAAATTTTTTGGTTATTCAGATTCATGGCAGATGCTGAAGCTTGGTTGGAATTATCTGAATTATACACAGAAGAACTAGAGTAAGTACTTTAAGTTTTATGCGATCAGTTTTAATATTGACAGTACTCAAATGATTGGAAGCATTTTGCAGTCAGTTCTTAGAGATGTATAAATCCAAAGTACTCCCGAAGTATGTGAAACCAAGATGACGGATACTGAAACATAGTATGTGTACCAGGTTAGGGTTAGGACATAATTTCAGGTACAAATACTACGGGAGTCACTTGGCTAGTCCCTGAACTCGCAATAGAACTAAAATAAGTAAAATTGGAATAAAATTATGGCCTAACCCTAACCTGGTAGACATACTACGTTCCGGTGCCCGCCATCCTGGTTCACATACTTAGGGGAGTACTAAATCCAATATACTATTATGTAAATTAAAAAAGAATGGTTTATCCACCCCTGATTTTTTATCATTTAATTATCATTAAATTTAATATAAAAGGGTAATGTTTTTAGACTTGCTCTAATTATCTTATCTTTTATATCTCACATCATGGCATATCAAATTTCAAATGAAGTAACGGGTGCCCCCCCAAAAAAAACCAAAACCTATAAATTTCTTAATTACTTCTAAGAAACGAGTGAATTTATCTAACACTTGATCTTATGCTTGTGTATGATTGTACCCACAAGTTTCAGTACTCGAGGACATTTTTCGGTTTAGATATGACTTTAAATAGCTTTTCAATTCTGAAACATGGTTTTAAATATTACAGAATATTTGGAAAAATATTTCTTTGTTCAGATATGGAAAAGCTTCATATTGCATGGAAGAAGTCATATTGTCGCAACCTCTCAATCATCTATATCACCAAAGATACGCAGAGGTAGTTTATATTTGTTTAGTCATAAGTCGGATTAGACCAGGGATGGGTAACTTATGGCCAGTAGGCTGCCACATGCAGCCTCTCAAAGCATTCTGTGCGGCCCCTTGCTTTTGGAGAAAATTGTAAAATATCTTAAAACTTCGTACAAAATTTAGATTTATTCCTAAACTTTATTTAAAATATCTAAACTAAACTATGAATTGTTAAAACTTTATTACTGTTTTTTTTTTTTCATCTCTGGCACACAATGGCACTATCATGGTGATCCTTTTTACCAAAGATTTTATGAATGCATTCCTTTAAAAAAATATTTTTTTGCCTCTGTATCACACCGTAGCTTATCGTGTTTTTCTCCTATATTGTATGTCATGAGGTGAGATTGCCCATCAATTTAATGTCTCACTTATGAACCTCATTACTTATCGATCTTAAGATCGGTATTTGTCTGTTTGTTTATTTGTTTGTCTGTTAGATACACGCGATATCTCACGAAAGCGAGGTTGAATCTGCTCCAACTTTTGCATGTGCATTCATCATAGTTCGGAACAGGAGCCTATTGATTTTCGATGAATTATGTCGTATATTTAGCGAGTTATTGATTAATTAGTGAGGGGACACACGGTGTCACTATAGAGTAAGAGCGCTGTTTTGGGAGATCCCCTAACCTCCGATCGATAAGTCTTCGGTCTCCGACCGATATTCTCGTTTGAAGTGTTGGCAACTTTTCTGGATTTCTGTCCTGTGTGTGTGTCTAAAAGTGTAAGTTTAAAAAAATGATCCCATATATCACATTAACTACAAACTCAATGACACACAAAACAAAAATAAAGCATGGTAGTAGTTCAAACAATACACACTTAATCTTACCCATGTCTGTCAATCCATAAACAACAAACTTGGAATATGTTTCACAATCAGGGAACAATGGAACACAGTGGAGTGAATATTACCAATCAAGAAAATAAAAATCTCGTACAGTAGGTTGGAATCATTAATAGTGGACCATTGCGGAGATATGGAGAGTAGTTCCAGTTATTGACAAATAATAATAAAGTTCGAATCGGCTGTAATTTTTAACCGAAATATCAGGGAATAACCACCCTGTATTATTTTCAGATCAAATACACACAGGGTGGAATGGAGAATGTATCATTAGCAAGAGATTACTTTGCAGAAGCAGTTTATTTAAGTCGTAATTCAAATATGAGGGCATTGTATGGATTATTGCTGGTGAGTTGGTCTTACTTTGATATTTTATCACCCTTTTACTCATTCAAAAATGTAGACAAATTTTGTTAAAAATATTTCTAGATTGAGTATTTTACAAATTATGATTTTGATTTGAATAATAAAATCTTATTATTTAAATCTGAAAAAGCGAGGTATTGAATACTTAAGAGTGGCTTTTTAGATCTTTCTCGGTTGAATTTTTTAGGTTTTACTCTGCTTTTATTGTTTCATTCAAATTTTCTTTTCAGGCGTGCAACCAATTATCATCCAGTAAAGCGACAGATAAGGAGAAGAAAAATAATAGCAAATATGCAAGTTGGGCAGCAAAGATGATTCAACTTCAGCATAAAGTATTTATTCTTATAAGTTTAATCATAAGTCATCAATATGACTACCGTATTTACTCGTTTTGTAGCCCGGGCCCATATTTTTTTAACCAAACTCACTAACCGGGCCCTTATTCGAACCGGCCCTTATTCAAGCACGGGCGCTTGTTATTTTTAAATTAAAATTGTACACAAAAATTATGGTTTCGTTGAAGACAAATATTTAATGACATTAATCCTTTTTCCATGTCAATTTATTCACGCCAATTGCACGTTAAAACGACGCACTTGGGTTTGCCTAGTTTGAGAACCACGGTGTTACGTAATCAATGCTATCTGTTATGTAATTGGCCGCCTAAGGCGTGAGTGTTATCTACCTGCGCTTAAAATTCAACAGCGTTGTGACAAAAGCGCTTCTCATTTCCCATTGTACTCTACCACTGAAAAACCAACTTTCACATTGGGCGAGTATTCAAGCACCGGCCCTTATATTTTTATGTTCTGTTCAAATGGGCGGCTGGCTATTCAAACGGGCCCTCAATCAAGATCGGGCGTTAAAACGAGCATATATATTATACATAAATCAAGTCCATGCATTTGAAACAAATAACTGGCTAATTATTGACTGGTATCTGGATAAGAGGTTATCTGATTAAGCTATTTTATGGTCCTTCCTCTCTTCATTCTCTAAATATGAAAATCCTATCCTAATGTATTTGACATCTACATTCGAAAATGTTTTACAACGAATTAGTTTGACATAGATTATCCGGACCTCCTGAATGCGCACCGAGTTGGCGCACAACCTGAACTCAGGCTGTGTACCAGGTTAGGGTTCAGGTTGTGCGACATTTTAGTGTGCATACTTCAGGAGCACAAATTATCCAATGTGAGTTGGTTCGCTGGGAGCAGTGGATTTCGTCCCTTAATAGCAGTGTCTACTCTGAGAAAATTATGAATGCGAAGGTACCTCACGGTTTTCACAAAGAGTGTGCTTATAGTATTGACCATGCAGGCTATGCTGCCAACCATGCTACTGGACCATTCTAGGTGATATTTAATAAACTGGGAAAATCATTTCCGAATGGCTTCTAGATGTAAAAATATCATGAGGGCGATCATGACAAATTGGTATGGGATGTGAGAGATGCGCCGTCTCCGTGGTTGCCCCCCAAGTTAAGAGGGTTGGGGGGGTCGAAACTAGGAAGGGGATAGGATTTTTACATTCTTCCCGGGGGAGAGGAAAGGCAATAACAAGTCCTAATCATATGGTGTGCCAGGGGGCTCTTGACCGGTCACCATTGCATTGTATTTCTAATCCTTGGTACGATGGTAATTGCGACTGTTTGTACACAAGCAGACTATATTTTTTACTAATTATTAACAGAATCATGGCAGTGAAGAACTTGGTGCAACCCGCAGTAAAGAAGACTTTCCAGAATTAACGACTGGTGGAGTTACAGACTTAATGAAGGAAATGCATTTGAATTCAACATGAGAAAAAGTATTCAATTATCTCATCACTGTTTGTGTTTTCCGTCCACCAAAAGAGACTAAAGGATTGTGAACAGAACAGTGGTCTTATTGTTGAAATTTTATTTATTACAAGGTTCCATTCTTTGACCTGGTATTCCAAACAGGACAAAAATCCAACCAACTCCACAACTTCAAAATTCTGGCACATACAGAAATTTTCAGAAAATCAGTGCTGTCATTTTTGTTTTATTACCAGTTTGATGTGATGACTGCTTCTCCTGTATAAAGACATCTTTAACAATATTAAGAAAATTAAACGAATGATGTAGTTGAATAGTCAATCTTGAATGGTGCTTTATGAAATTGAGTTCTAATAATTGTTTCAGAGGAGTAGTCAGCAAACCTTTTGCACTGTTGGGCCAAATTTGCACATTGACGGCAGCAAGTGGGCAATATCAATAAAGACATCTTTAACAATATTAAGAAAATTAAACGAATGATGTAGTTGAATAGTCAATCTTGAATGGTGCTTTATGAAATTGAGTTCTAATAATTGTTTCAGAGGAGTAGTCAGCAGACCTTTTGCACTGTTGGGCCAAATTTGCACATTGACGGCAGCAAGTGGGCAATATCAATTTCCGCCCATAAACAATCGCCACTTGAAACCCTAAATTGTGACACACCCGCAACTATTATTTATGTGCTAATTGCGAATACTAATGATATGAACGTTTGACAAATACACGACTTACAACGGACATGTGCTTTCGCTGCTTACCGGTACTGCATAACAAGCACTGTACAACAGAATGAACAGATATATCACATCTTTGAGCTGGTTTTATGAATTAAGTTGGGCCCTTCGAGGGCTATGAAAATTTGTTCAGGAACCAGTTTGCCCCCAAACTTCACTCCCACTTTTCTTTTTTAATTGCAAGTAATGATACAGAATCGAATTTAAGAATAAGTAAAGAGATGAAGAAAGTATCAACACAACAATTTGACATACTGTTATGTGTTTGAGAACCAAGCACTGAATGTACTACTGCCATTATTAAAGGCAATTCGCTGTGTTCATTTCAATATGTCTTGATTGATATAGGTTAGAACAAATGCTATTTTTCTGATTCTGTGGTTTTAAATGATCTCCTTCAAATCGAGGAAGAATGCAAATTTGTGATGTGTATTAAATTATTTGCGAACTTTATTTATGTTGTAATTAATATTGCACCTCTGAAAAAGGTAATAAAGATCACTGATTCAAAGTTTGTTTGTATTGGAAGGGGTGTCCTGGTAAATGCCAGCCATGCGGTTTTCAAACTGTTTGGTAGGGCAGGACCCCAATGAAATATTCCTCCGGAAGCTTGAGACACTGTACACATAACATTATAGAATCATTATAGATTTGAATGCAAATTCCCAGAAACCCTGGCCTAGACTGTACTCGAATCCTGTTTGGAAACCACTGTTATATAGCAGATTTCATGAGCGAACAGGACTTGAATTTAACTTCCTTACACCAGAGCAGCTCCAACCTGTAACTGCTATTGAAACAACATATACAAATTGTTAAAATCTCAATATGCTTAATAATATTGCACCAATGAAGAAATCAGAAAAATAAATAAAAACACTGCAACAATCAATCACTGAAATCGTCATTTGAAGATAAACTTTGACTCTCGTTATCAGAATCTTCATCAGTTGGAGCTTGTCCACCATCAGGTACAGGGGCATCAGGCGTACTGAAATTAACACAAAGTACTGTTATTGCAAACATAGGTATCAATTTCATGCTCATTAACATGGTTAAAATATTCATCTGAAACCTATCAAATTGCTGACCCTTTTACAAACCAGACTGGTATATATTTAGAATAGCCATGGGAGAGAAAAGCTGTGAAGACAACCCTTTCATATGCACACTACATCCTCGCATCCGATTACCAGTCCATGTCAGCTATAGCATTAGTTGGTGGTTTTTTTGTTTGAAATTTGAAAAAAACATCACCAGATCCAACTTACTCGAGCATATCTGGATCCAAACCTTCAGCCCTCATTTTATTTGCAACTGCCATCTTCGGTACACCTACCATCACCATCTTGAGGTATTTGGCATATCTGGAAGTAAAAAATTGTTAAGACCAAATATACCAGAAGAAGCGATGAGTAAAGACAAATTTTTTAGAAAAATAACAGATAAACTAGGAAATTTTTTTTAGAACAGTACCTGGCATCATTCTTAACTAATACAACATTAGGATCAGGGGCAGGTGGTTCATTATCTTCAGCAGGGGGAGGGGCCTCAACCCCATTAGGGTTAGGGGTACTGACAGGCTCTGTTGAGGCAGGTTGAGTAGGTGACGGTTCCTCTTTCTTGACATCATCAAGGCCAGGAATGGATGAAAGCTAAAAATACAATCGAAATTAAGTTTTGGGCCATCACATCAAACTAAGCCAATATGCATTTTGTAAATCAATAGACAGAACGTATTTAAATCAGTCCTATAATTTTTTTATCTTAATTTACTCTAAAAAAAGAAGAAATAGTTTTATTTGAAGTCACATTCAGTTTACCATAGTTTGCTATTATAAAATAATGATCGATCCAATTTTGTTTTCGTTATCGATATAATATTAATGAATATATATATGAGTGATATTGTCACAATTGTGTATAACATTTGGTGATATTAAAAAAAATAGAAAACTTTCAACTATCAAGCATATACAGATATAAACAACAGCTATTGTATAGTCTGATTGTTGAATGAAAATATTTCTCATTTGTTGGAAAAAATAAAATAAAGTCACCTTAGCTTCTAATATATTCAGAGCTATTTCCATTCTTTGCATCTCTAACGATTGTAATGCCAACTTTTCCTCTGCCATGTTTGAGAATTTATTGAGAAAATTTGCAGTGTGTGTGATAAAGTGGTTCATAAATGTCACAGAACGCCGTTGATTAAGCGGCGCCATCTTGAAATAAAAAATACGCAGGTAAATTATCATTTTATGGAAGAATATTTAATGGTCTAGTTTACAGTAGCGGTACCAGTAGAAAAAAAATTATGAAATATTACGTACTTTTGTAAGATCCACAGTTGGTCCCAAAGCGGGAAGATTAACGTCATCCATTATTTTGAACTGAACTATTTACTGTCCATATATTTTGATAATCGCATATATTAATCTTGTTCCGTTTTTTATTTAGCTGTATTTTATTTTAGTAAAAACAACAACATTTCTTCAAATTACAATGTCCGCTGCCTAATCCCTCTCTATAACAGCGAGCCCAGGATACGATACGGTGAATGACTTTTATAAGAACAAACCAAAAATCAGCAGACGATCGACAGTTGAGAAAAAAGGCAGCAAGGTGCCTTATAAAAATTAAATAAGCGACGTCGCATTAGGATAAACAAAGGTATAAATGGATAACTTTGGAGGTGCGCGCATGTGGACCTGCCAATGGGCCAAACACACCAAAAAACTATTGAAAATTTACCCCAAGCTTCATATTTTTAGCCTGAATCGATGTGGTAAATTTGTCACGTGATCAGCCGCCATTACAACGTTCTTTGCCCAGCGGTCGTTCTATCCGTTGAGCGCAGTCAGCGACGAGGTGACGCATAGACAAAGAAATAGCACACGGCTTATGCGGGACCTTCCTCATGCGTATGTAATGTGGGAGTCGAGCGTTTGGGTTCCAAATCGGCCGTTACTGCATGATTTGTCGAGTATCGAGAGTTGATTAGGCCAAGTCGCGAAAACAAAACGGCGCGCTTCAGATATTTTTGCCTTCCCTTGGTCTAAAAACAAAATGGAGGCCGTTTTTACATTTTAGCCACATTATTACCTCACCAAAGACGTAGATTTTTCGATTTTGTGACGTTGGTAAAACTTGGATTTTAAATCTTTTCTGGCCGAACTTAATTTCGCTTCACTTGTGTCAGTTTTGGAAAAAAGAGCGGAAAATAGTTATCAGTTTACAGGTTTTGGTGTTAGAGCGTCGATGGCAATTACTGAGTTAGGAAAGCCGGCAAATCGTTGTTGGGCAGTATAAGTGCGTTTATGGAATGTTTCTGCTCTGATTTTCGTAGTATTCCCGAGAATAGGATAGACAAATATATATGATATTAATTTATCTAATCCAGCCATACCAAATTCATCAGAACGTCACATCGCCTGATTCAGTAGATATTACCTAAGCGTTTGAATTCACTGCCAGCCAGCTGCCTTGTACACCCGATCGCGGGTATCGCCCGTGGAAAGACGTATCACTTATTTAGATTTCCCGCTTTATATTACGCGACTTGTGCGAGAATACCGGCAAAGGAGAGTTGATAGACTGATTGGCAGCCCGTTTTACAAACGCTTCAAGGAGTACAGGCAATTATATCTGACGTGCAAAGGTAACTCATGCTATGTGTTGCTACAGCTATATATTGATATTATCCAATGTTCCAAGCAATAATTTCTCAATATGGAAAGTAGGAGAGATTCACACAACTCATCTGAGCAAGGACAAAAGGAAGCTTTTTTAAATGAGCTTAGTCAATTTCTTTCGGACAAAGGGTAAGCTAAAGCCATAATACAATTCAGTTAACTTCTTGTACTACTTAGGGCATACACAAGCATAAATCATAACACACTGATTTTTCATCTAAACAATTTTAAGTCAAGTCTTTATTGCATCATATGTATTAAAATTTAAAATCCAAATTTAAAAATTTATTTGATGTTAAATCTTTCACGTTTTGATTTTAGAATTAGTACAGTAGTAGATTGTTTTATTTGATGAAGTGATTTTTTCTAAACCTTTATGTTATTAATATTTTTAGGAGATATGTTTGTCGAACTCCAAATCTTGCTGGCCGAACGATAGATCTTCATGATTTATACAACAAAATTACTCAAGCTGGTGGATATCAGAAGGTATGTTGATATTTATGTTGATGCATTTTCTCTTGTTTCTCTCTCACTGTTTTGTATTAGTGAACCTCACTGTTTCTTCATTTTATATCAGTATTTGTACAATCAGACAATTTATGTAATTTCACTCTTGGTGAAGCATGTATGTGTTTATACCCTTTTTTTAAACCCTTTTTATTTTTACTCATGGCTTTTACAACTTATGGCCATGGCTTGACTTCCATGAATTATATTTTGTTAAGCGACTAAAATTTTTTGATATGTACAGTAATATATATGTGGGTATTGTATCTATGTTTGCAAATTCCTAATAATTTCATTATTTATATGCTGTTTGATTCTGTTTTAATTAATATAGGTAAAATATTTCCACACATATTATGATATTAAACTAAAATCCTCAAACTTATTTCAAGTTGGTTTTAACTTCGATGTTTTCCAAGTTTTCACATATGGTAATTTATCATGAATATAATTTTTTGTGAATTATTCTTGTTGTAACTAAAGGCCATTATCTTGATAATAGCTTTATGCTTGCTTTGGTTATTTTTTTGCCCGATTTTTGCAGTCTTAGCTTAGTGACAAAAACAAATATATCTGCGTAAGGTAATAAACCACAACAATTCACCTGTATGCATAATTTCATTCCAACATGCTTACAATCCGTAACAACTTTTTTTTCTGAGAGTGTTTATGTGACATGCAATTTCATAGTTTTCCAGTCTCCAAGTTTCATTATAATTTTATTTACATAGATACTATGCACAAATAGTATACAGGCTTGTCTCTGCATATATGCTGCAACTTTACTAGTTCTTGGAAATTGTTCTCCATACTGCACGCCAAGTAGCACTGGCTACTGCTACTAACTAACATCATCGAGTGGGAGCTAATTGTGTTTTATGTGTAAATGTAATCTAACCAATGGATTAATTCATTTTAGGTGACTGATAGAGGGTTTTGGGAAGATTTTTTGGAATACTATGGGTTTCCTGGAATATCAGCGACTCTTGCCTTTGGATTGCAGAAGATTTATCAATTGTAAGTCTTTAAGCCTGCCTTGCCTGCTGGCCAAAGCCATAATATTTTGAGATATTAAATGTATTTTGAGGTTTTGAGTTTAATAGAGAAGTAGACGAAACTAATATATATTTTAATCAAACTCAATTTAATAGAAAAATATTCGAAACGAAAGTAGCAGGTACATGCTAGAATCCTTATTTACACCCATCATTTTCATCGTTTTGATGAACCCATGTTTAGTCAGTGATACATGTTCACTTCAAAATGAAGTCAGTTTGAAAGCTTTGAGATGCAGTTTGCTAATGATACCATTGGAATACTCTCTTCTTATTCGTAATGTATAGCAGCTGTGTGTTGTGATTTTGAAAATGTTGAATTGCATTAATAAAATTATTTGCTTTTCTATGTTAATTAAAGCTTTCCACAGTTTGAATTGTTGTTTAGAAAAAGACAGGATTGCCAATTTTTTGTCAGTGTATATGTCAAATTATCAAGTAACCCATTTGTCAATAATAGGAGCTAACAGTCCATAGGTTTTGTGGAATTTAAAACAAGACTTTATAAAACTAATATGAAAATACTGTAGTATTTTGTTAGGAGCTCTTGTAGAAGGTATTTGATTTGTTAAGATTCTGTCTGGCGCAAGTAGAATTACTGTGAAAAGACTTCTAATTATCTTATTTTACACAGGTTTTTAGCCTTGTCTCATTTTTCATATTACCGTATACCTTAACGTTTTTACTTTTACTCATTTGTAGATATTTGGAAGATTATGAACGGGTTCATTTCTTTGGTGACGATGAGCCACAACCTTACTCTCGACTTTATGACGGAAAATTGAGAAGATTCAGATATCCAATATCTGGTTAGTTTTTTTTAATATTTTGATAAATTTATCGAAAAGTGTTTTATCTGTAGGTGAATTTTTTCGTATATATTTCAACGTGAATTCTCATTTCAATGGAAAGTTTGTTATTAGAATTTTTGTGAATTCTTTGCAACTATGGACTTCAACTTTTATGATTGAAGTTACCTCGGCATGAGAAGGTACTAAATATAATTTATAGTAACTAACCATCCTGCCCTCCATACCTTTGAGCTCATGGTAAATGTATAATGTAAATATGCTGTAGCAATAATAAAGATGACTATTCTATCTGATTCGAGAGACTGGCTGCACACCAACACAAATGTATTTCTGTAACTTTCGTTTTTGCAAGATTGTTGAATCACAGAGAACTATTGTAATAATAACCAAGAAAACTTATTCGATATAAAACATTTTTGATCTAATATTTATTAATTCAAGCAAAAATAATGTGGTTGTTCTGTATGTGAGAGATTCATGTGGCACATAATACCAGTATATAAATTTCAGAGATAACTAACTTGTTATTGCCAATGACGTTGTATATGTTAATGCTGGAACATTTTATCCAAAAATGCCATCTGTTGAGCGAAGCATATGATACCCACGAGACAATTGAAACTCGACGAATAGCAGGAAATTATGAAAAACATGTACATTTTCCACAGTGTTATATCTCTTACATTATATTTTGCAAATGTCTACATTAGTGAACCATAATTTAATTTATTATCAATATGCTATAATGAATACAAGAGCATTTAGCTAAATTTGAAATCAAGAAAGTGCTTTGGGCAAATGAAGGATAGTTCAATAGTAATCCTTATACTTTTCAAAAGTATAATAATATGATTTTTATTCTTCAATGAGGCAGTGATGAGCAATGAGAATTAAACAGACAGTATATTTGAGCATTATTAACTTATGCAGTTTCAATGTGTGAAATCCCTACTAATATTGCTAATAAATGCATTGTTAATATTAAAAATTTTGGTAGTGTATGTACCAGGTTAGACAATAATTTTATTTCGATTTTCTTTATTTTAGTTTTATTACGGGTTCAGGGGACTGTCTGTGTTGGCAAACTAAATATACCCCCTGTCCATAGGTTTCAGTCCCTTTACACAACTTGATGCAAAGTAGGTGAACAAAATTAGTTACCTCCATATTGGTACACACACTTCTGGGGCGCCAAATAGTTATCCTTAGTGTTTTATTCATGTTGTTATTGCTTAATACTGTGTGCTATTATTTTCTAATTTTGTTCAGTTTGATGCTAATGCTAATTTTGCATCATGAGAATTTCTATAAGCCAGGTTTATTGCGTGGGGCCGACACACATGAATTTCCAGAAAAAAATAGCATTATCAGAATTTTCTGTTTTATGATGTTTTTTAAATTACATTGAGTTTTATCATTACTATTCAATGTACAATGCTCATAATTTCCTAAATATTTTTTAGAGTCTCAAAGATTTCAGTACAATCTCAACACTGATAAACCATCAGTGAGTGACTACGATAGAGTTGTGTTATCCCTTGAGTCATGCTTACCAAATGAGATTGATTTTGCAGTCAATGCATGTACACTTCTGTCTGGGGAATCTAGACATGTGTTGAAGCTTCCACAATGCAGAAGAATTGTGGATGCTTTACTGTTGCATGCTGGGATAGTTTCTGATGGTGAGTACCGTACTTAAGACTCGATTGTGTGTGCAAATTGCAAGTAGATATACAACTTTCAGATTCAATCATCTAACATTGAGAAAAAGTATCAATATGTGTATGCCAGGCTGAGTGCTTTCATTAAAATTATTGATAACAATTTCGCATGCTCTGAGGAAGTTGTTAATTTTCTAAAAAGTCAAATATACCATTTCAAACCGTAGAAAACCAATAAAAACTATTTGAATTCAAAAAGTTTCCTATTTCACATTTCAAAATATTTTAAAAGAGTATTTAGTTATTTTTTGTATATCCCATGATAAGGCACATTGTACGGCACAATGTATTATCTTTGTAGTTAGTTTTAACTATAGTACGGTTTTAACTTTCTGTATATACTGGTACATATTTTAGTTTTCTATTTTGTTTTAATTCCCTTCACTGTATTTTTTGTGCTATAAGGTGCACCATATTATAAGTTATCAAGTTGCAATGTCAATAAATTTCTCAGATTTGGTACTTGGCGGTTTTTAATGCAATACTGTACTGATTTTGAGTGTGGGTAATACATACTATTTGGCGCACAATCAAATTTTGAGAAAAATGATTCAGAGTGTGCCTTATGGTCATCTTATTACTTATCGATCTTAAGATAGGTAAGTATGTTGATAGGTATCTGTCTGTTTGTTTGTTTGTTTGTCTGTTAGATACACGCGATATCTCACGAAAGCGAGGTTGAATCTGCTCCAAATTTTGCATGTGCATTCATCATAGTTTGGAACAGAAGCCTATTGAGTTTCGATAAATTATGTCGTATAATTAACGAGTTATTGATTAATTAGTGATGGGACACACGGTGTCACTAGGGAGTAAGAGCGTGGGAGATCCCCTAACCTCCGATCGATAAGTCTTCGGTCTCTGACCGATATTCTCGTTCAATATTTATTAATATTGTTCTCAGGTCATGACTCTTATTGCGGAGTTTTAAATGAATTACAACGAAAGACAAAACATAATTATCGGAGATTCTGGAATAATTCAGTTGCAAAAAAATCAGTATTACCTGTGCTTCTGCCTGAACAAAACCCAAACACATTGCCTAAAAAGGAAAACATGAATTCGGAGAATGTTGAAAAAAGAAATGAATTACTTGATAAAACCGTTAATCAAGGTGAAGAAGGCTTCATGGACGCTTTGCAGAAACGTTTATTGGATATAAAGACGAAAAATACAAGTACAAGGAATAATAATTCAGGTATTATATTTTTTAATTGCCAACTTACAGTAACATATCAAAACCTCTCTTGTGGATGTTTCGACAGAATTCCCAAGGATTCCCAAAAATGTACTTTTTTATCGATTCCTATTCACGCCTTTCGCTTGGAACAAGGCCCTTAACGGCATCAACTCATATCTGACGATATGTATTGATATACGATATGTATGTAAAGTGGTTGCTTGTATGGCCTTGTTTGAAGCGAGGATGAAATTTGTAATGTGGTGATAAAACTTTTTGCCTTGCTCATCTTTGCCAGCAAAGCTGACATAGATTCATGAAGTTTTGTTTTGTTTAAAACCAATACTGTTTGGATTCTGTTACAAAGTCATGTTATCTCTCCTGCTAGAAATACCTACTGCAATATTCATATCATGTTTGTAGACCTTCTTACACAAACTTACCATATTTTGAATAACTACCTTTCACTACTTTTTCAGAAATTGAAATTGAGACGAAATCCACATCAAAATGGGCAGAACTGTTCCATGGTTATCGATCTCTAGGAGTAGAAGATTATGAAGGACAACGTGTTTTGCAGGTATTATGCTTTTTATCAATGCAATTTATAAATAACTTTGATATGTGAAATCTTTTTTATGTCTTCAAAAGTGTGCACATATGAACATAAAGCACATAATCTTGTCATTTGTTTCTGTTTGCTATCATTTTCATTGTATATTGCTGTATTTGTTTATACTGCATTGATTTTGACATGAACGACGTATTATACAGTTTTAAACAGACTGTAATCTAAATTGAACTTGTAACAACTGAAATGATCTGCACAAACCAAATGAGTCAACTGTGTCTGGGAAGCGAAGAGACATAATGTAATCTATTGTAATTCACTGCCATGTATCAGTTTTGATAGGGTATTCACAGATGTTTCAATGCATGATATGTGCTAGCTTGTTTATAAGGAACTACAACATTCCATCATATTAGAGGCAAATGAACATTTACTATATAACATTTACTATAAAAGTGGTGTTTACTGGTTTTCGGAGCCAGAGTCGGACTGTATTTTCAAATTTGAGTCAGGAGACAAAAGTTTTACATATTGAAATATTTAATTGAAAAGGGTACAAAACTTTTTGTAGTTAAAAGTTTTTGTTTTCCCAGCGATAGTTGTAAATTTTGGTATTTTCTTCCCCAATTTAAATTCCAAATTTTTTGTGTCTCTCATTTTCAGAGTCAAAAGAACCTATGTCGTCCATAAGAGCCCAGCAGCTACCATTTCTAAGTCAAATACTGAAAAATATTATTCTTTTTTATTGATGCAGATTGCACTGGTGCTTCTTAACCTGTCATTTGAAGACTTCAATGTATCGTTACTTGCCCGACATCCATCTCTCATTAGATTCGTATTTTTATGTATTCATTCCGAATATTCGTGTTTACGACAAACAGGGCTAGATATACTCAGTAATATATCTTCTCGAGTAAGTGTTTTGATATTTTTTTCAGAATGCTATATCATATCTTGTGTTACGTTACACCAATTACATCGAAACAACATATTATTGGGTTGGAATGTTTCTCTAAATTGTCGTTCGTGAGACAGAAAATTGGTTTATATATTAAACATGGCAAGCTGAATTTTGTCACTCCTATCACCTACAAAATGATGCAACTTTTATAAAGATTGAATATCTCTATATTATATCAATGGAGGAACTGTTTCCATAGTGTAGGGGTTCGCTTTACACACGCAAGATTTCCAGTTCAAGCTCGGGTGGAAACAAGATCTTCATTAATCTATTTATATTGCGTTTTGGGGATCTTTGTATTGCAATTCAAATTTTTTTTAATATATTTAATTATTCACCTATTCGGTTCGATTTGGACATCACTGGCCATTAACATGTTGATTATGCAAGCTTCCCTCCCATGTTTTTTGTTGATAGATTTTGTTGAGCAAGTGCTTAATATGTGGCAAGATGTTATTAAATGTAATTAGGTATTTACTCACGCATTACTCTCCTGTATATTTCTGTGGTCTGATTCTTGTACAACCAAATAATGTAGAACGACAAAATGTGGAATGGATAAACCACAAGCCAAATTTATTATGCGCACTGTGACTGTAAATAGCCCTTTGAAGAATATAAACTATTGAATTATCAAATGGGAAATTTCGATTCTAAAATTGGTAACAGCTATGGAAATACCAATTTGAATGTAATTTTGGTGATTTTTAAAATTTTCTGTTTTAATATTTTCCTTATTTTCAGATTGAACTTCTTCATTTACATTTCAACATGACAGCTATGATCTTCGATGCTATAGATTCAGCAGTATTATCTGATGATAAATTCGAAAGAATAAGAGGTAAGTGCAAAATATAGCAGGTACAGCCTAGTGTTTACAGCGTTGGAATTAGGTATGTTTGCGTTTTAGAATAAAAATAGGGATAGGATGATATGGAAAATCTCCTTCTGCAATTCAATATGATTATCAATATTTTTTAATTTCCTAGTATAATTATGCGAATGCTTTTTTAAAAATGAATTTTACTAAATTTCTTGGCAATATCGCAATGCCGGCAAACTATACTGATTGACATTTTAAAACCTCATTATTGCAAATGTCAATTATATAATTTCGATTACATGAAGTGAATTTTTAACACACTTAACGGATCGTTTTAAAATATTCGTGAGAACAAAACCGATTCTGAACATGGATTCTAGATTAAATTAATAACTCGTTAAATTTAGGCCTGCTCAAAAATAAGATTGAAAAAATGTTTGAAACCGTTATCACAGGTTTTGAAATTCTTGCAAATATTTGTCGACCACGTCCCAATGTTGATTACGTCTGTGTGTCTGTCAGTGAAGAAGTTTACAATGCAGCTGTACAAAATTTGATGATAAATGATGTTGAACTATTACTTGCGGCAATTGAAGCTTTATATCGTTTATCAAAACTAGGAGAATCACCGTGCACGAAGATTATTTTTATTAAAGGTTGCATAGGTGAGTACGATTGGTTATAAAGTTGTTCTGGAAGAATTCAAATCAGAGTACTCTCATAGTGTATGTACCAGGTTAGGGCTAGGCTATAATTTTATTCAGATTTTCCTTATTTGAGTTCTATTACGAGTTCGGGCACTGTCTGTGTTAGCCAAGTGAATATACCCCCTGCCCATAGGTTTCAGTCCCTTCACACAACTTGAAGTAGGCGAACAAAATTAGTTACCCTCGTATTGGTACACACGCTTCTGGAGCGCCCAAAATAATACAGCTAGAGAATAGAATAAATATGTAATATTTCATGTTTATCTTATAGGAGATGAAATCTTTTATCAAAAAGCTTGATCATATTAGGGGTGCGGAGTCTAATTTTTGCATATTTTTGCTTTTATCGGAGCCGGAGACATACTTTTGAAATCTTCTGAATATTTTGAATTCATTTTTTTCATGAGCCGAGTCAAACTTTACTAGAGATATTCTTGATTTAAATTTCCCTTAGTAACTCATTGAGCAAGTATTTGGTTGACTAAAGAAGGCTTGTATAGTTTTGAGCTATTGTGATTGTGATCATAATTTGGTTTTCTCAGATAGAAATTTTTGTCCACCAATAGACGTTTTTGAAATGACTCATGAGTGGGATATGAATTTTTTCTTAGTCCACTGCCCTGATTCATATTGCAAACCACATCCTTTCAAGTTTTGTCAAAATGTTCCGATACTTCTTAGTTATGCGGGACAATATCACATACTGCTTCTAGTATTGCACAGAAATAAATAGACATAACAGTATTCAGTGTGGTGATTGGTAATACGGCCTCACTCTGATTTTGTCCAAATTAGTCCAATAACAAATATGAACCTTGGGGTCAGGTTCACCAAAATTGAAGGAACAAAATTAATATGCCGGCAATTAAGAAGAGTGTTGTCTCTTGACTAATATGTATAATCCTATATTAATCACCAATACTGAGTTGTTAATATTTCCAGATATTCTGATATGTCTTGTTACACTGAATGTTCGAACGTTTGGACCAGAAAAACTTTCTGAAATTCGACTCGCTCGCAGAATAACACCCGGTCAGCAACAGGCTCAGCAACCGCCACCACCTACATACCAAGCACCGGTTCAACATCATTCCCATATGCAGAGACAAATGCAGTTACAGCAAAAACTAGGTAAAACAGCCTGTTTTTTTATGATTCAGTGATGCTGTAGCAAGAATATAGATGACTATTCTATCTGATTCAAGAGTCTTGCTGCACGCTAATACAGAATATGTTTCTGTGAAGTTGTACATTACAGAAATACATTTGTGTTAGTGTGCAGCAAAACTTTCGAATCACTTGGAATAGTCACCTTTTTCTTGCTGCAGAATCCTTACATCATACGCATGCATTTACACTTGTGCAAAGGCACAAAGCAAGGAAAATTGTTAGTCTCCCATAACCACAACTGATACTTGTGTACTAGTTAATGTAGTTATAGATATCAAGATTCAGTATAATTCAGTTTTTCTCATTTTGGTTGGTACAATGGGGTGTCGATGTACACCAGTCGTTTCAACTGGGTGCCACAAGTTTATATTTTATAAGTTGATATCTATTATTAAACTTGCTGCACTTTAAAAATATCGTTCTGTTTTGCCAGTATTAGGTTTGTTTTTATACATATTTATTGTTGATACAATTCCGATAGAAAAGACAATTGAACATGTCTTCGTGTATTAAAAGAAGTTTGATTTGGAAATGGAAAAAAGCTAAAATAAAAATTTGGTTTTCTATATTTTAATATTGAATATTTATTGCATGCTTTTTTCATCACGCTTTGCTCAATTCAACTCAAATTAATAATTTTTTAATTCCTAAAATCCAGAAATTTAAATTCTGAATGTGATTAATTTCACATAGATTCGAAAATTCGTTTTGAATATCCCAGGCTGTACCAGAAGACTAATAAGTGTAATTTCACAAAGTTCCATAAAGTAATTCCCACTTACAATATTTGCAGGTTCTGTTCATCAAGCGCAACCATTCTTCGCCACAGCTGCTCCGACTAATCCCGTCACAAGTCCTATTCCATCAACAGCGCAGTCAAGGCCCCCATTACCCCCACCAAAACCTGTCATTCCACAATCAAAACCCCAACCCAAAGTTGACCCAACACCGCCATCTATCCCACCTACACTAATCTCAAATCCAGTACAATCACCCCCTGTGCAACAAACCCTTGTTCAACAGCCCCCGCCTGTGATCAAAACCCCGCCACCAGCCCCACAAGTGGTTGTTCCAAAATCATCACCACCTGGGGTTGGTCCCACGTATACACACTCTGAAGCTGGCACTGTTCCCCCAGTGTTTCACTACATGCCTGCTCCACCTACAGAAATAACACAGGATAACTCACCGGAATCTTTTACAAAGTTATGGTGAGTTTGGAAATCCAGTTTGGCTTTTGTTGGTCCTTTACTTTTGATGCTTTCTACTTATCGATCTTGATCGGTAAGTATGTTAATAGGTATTTGTCTGTTTGTTCGTTTGTTTGCAATTTCGTATGTCACGAGATATCTCACGAAAGCGAGATTGAACCTGCTCCAAATTTTGTATGTGCATTCATCATATCTCGGATCAGGAGCCTATTGATTTTGATAGAATTATGTTGTATAATTAGCGAGTTATTAATTAATTAGTGATGGGACACACAGTGTTGCTATTGAATCAGAGCGAAGGAATCGGCAGTCGGCGGTCTCCGATCGCTGTCTAGTTTATACAATTATTCAGATACCATTGAATAAGTTTAATCAGTTATATTTGAAAAAGCTCATAAACAGTCTCTCAATTTTTAACCCAACACATATTCTTTGGTTCAATCATGCTTACTTAGTTAATCTCTTTTTTTTTGCCAGTGGTGAAGTGTGTATTTTATTGGCCTCAACTTTAGTTTACTACCTTGGTCTATTTTCGGATTTCGGATACTGGCCCACTTTTCTATTTTTTCGATAAACTGCCAAGCCATGAATTAATGCAAAAAATATAACTATATACTAACATCAGTGATAAAATTGATATTGAAACCGGCTTTAATTCAATCAATTCAAGATTCAAGACAGTCTTCTTTTGTACGATAACAAAATAATTTTTTACCCATTCATTAGAAAGGGTTCACCATCCCTGGTATAATTTTCTACTATCATTACTACTGAATACAAGTTGAAGACGTGATAAAAAGGAAGCACAAAATTGTTTTTCAGGATCTGGGCAACATATGAGTTTGAATCCGAAAGTTACATTCCTCGTGTTGATGTTTATTGTGAATATCTCGCTTCATCGAATAGATACGGAAGACAAGGAAAGACTGAAGTTCTGTCAGCAACCGATTTTGGAAAATGCCTGAAGGAGATTTTTCCGCAAGCATCTTCAAGGTTGGTAGACCGATATTCTCGTTTTATTATTGTTATAGTTACAAACGAAAAATTTCTACAGCCAAGCTTTTATGCTATGATTCTTGCCACATATTCAATTATTTTTAAGCAAGACTTTAACCCTTTCCATGCGATTTTTATTTTTTATTAAATAATCGTATTTGCTACTACCGAAAAACTAATGATCTCTGCTACCCACTGGTTGCAATTTATTTATTAAAGAGCTTGCAATTGGCGATTAAAAAAAAAAGTTTTTTTAAAAGTGGTGGTCTGAGTCACAAACCGATAGAAAATAGGCATTTTTTTCTTCTTGGGAGTTGAAACTTCAAACCGTGATAAAAAATAGAAATATTCGCTAAATCCTTTACTGTTACCGCTTCGTGGTTGGCAAACAATAGCATAATGTTGCTGTAGCAATTTCGTGATCTAACTCAAAATACTTTAGTAGATGGAAGGGATAATATGTCTTCTATCACCACCCAAAAAACACCGAAATTTGCATAAATTTCAAAAACACCCCCTCGTTCCGCCGCATATAAAGTTCCCGTCGTAAACGAAAGCGAGATTTACCGACGCTTATGTTAATCTCGAAGAAGACTTCTTATCAATAAACTAAAACCCGGTAAAACTAGACCAACAGTTTGCGACCGATTGCTAAATAGAACAATGGGTAATTTAAAGTACCTGCCGCGATCTAGCGAGTTTTGTCGTTGGTACGTATACGTGCCCACCGCACGGTAAGGGTTAATATCATGAAAATACCTTATAAAATTTACTACAAAATTTTATGTTTTTATTTAAATAAGAGGATTTTCAGATTACGCAACTACGGATATCGGCCCGCATGTTGGAAACACTGTTTCAAGTGTAATTGAAATTCTGTATGTTTTTGCTAGAAATTATTTTCTTCATTTTCCAGGTTATTCAACCAAGGAAGGGGTCAACCACAATATCATATAGCTGGAATAAAGAAACGTGCAACACCATTGCCTGTTCCCGGGTATCAATTGAAAGATCCTACGTCTGTTTTTTCATCCGAATATGAGAAAATACCAACAACAAAGTATGTTTATTTTATCATTTTCATCTACAACAGGGGAGCGCATTTTTTAGTGCAGGAGGACCAAATACAAATACCTTAGTGAAACTGCAGGCTGCATCTTTATTTAACATAGAATTTCTAGTAGTTACAGGCACAAAAAGTTTGGTTATTGATCTTGGACATATGTTGTTCGTATCACACAAGTTAGCTGTTAGGGCATCGAAATATCATATGCATAGATAATAAATATGACTCATTTGGTGGGCATTCAAAATTGACACTTCTTCGTGGGTTCATAATATTTCCTTGCTGGTTGCACACCCCCGAACTACAACATCCAAAAGTATTCAGTTGGAATTGATTTTGATGGAGATGCCCAATTTTGTGAATCATATACAGAATTTTTGATATTCTAGTAAAATTTGTCATTGTTCTAACACAGCTGATGATGATGCTAACACAGATGAAATTGATGCTCAAATGTGTGGAACATCATTGTTGTAGGGTGGTTCACATAATAACTGACCAGTTACGCTTTCCTTTACCTTTAATCCATGCCGAATCCACCCATCCACCTAAAACAAATAACGGGTTAACTCATCTCACACCCGACGTGAATTGGTAACCGAACGAGCGGCTGTGGCTTGTCATATTGATTTAGACATTAAGCAGCCTTATCAGGTTTTCTTGAATAATTGACGATCGTATCTTTTTCTAGGGCACAACCACCGATCATAGTATCAGCGAACAACCAAACTATTGCATCATCACCGTCTCAAGCTGCCAAGCCTCCTTCAATGCCAATACCTGGAATAACTACTGCAGTACCTATTCAACAGTTACAGTTCCAACCTATATTTATTATGTCAACAATACCTGGAAGCAATGGTGTGACGCTTTTACCTGGTCAAACGCTTGGCTTATCTGGCCAAACTGTGGCAGCAACTGGTCAAGTTGTGACACCAGTGATTCAGGCTGTGGCACTTACTGGCCAGGTTATGGCATCTGGTGGTCAAGTTCTGGTCCAAGGTGCCCAAAATATATCAGTAGTAGGCCAAAATGTTGTTACAACTGAGCAAACGCTGACACCAACTGATCAGATTGTGGCACCGTCCGGTCAAAATGTGGCACCTAGTGACCAAGGCGCAGTGTCCAATGGTCAAAATAACAATTTGAATGATGGTCATAATGTGACCGATGCAAATTCAAATTCTGTCAATGACGGTGTGTTATCTACCCATTCTGCGGAATCCATGAGTCAAAATGATGCCACGTCTGTTAGTGAGACACTGGCAGGAACTGTACAATCTGTGGCATCCACGGAATTAAATGTGACTTCTGAAACTCCAGTGCCATGTCAGAATGAGCCTCCTGCACCAACTATAAACAAAACCCAACCTATAAAAACAGAAATTGTGCCACCAACATCTCAACTTGATGGCATGACACCAATGCCACAAAAACCTTCCAATATTACCACAACTGATTCTTCAAATACACAAAGTTCACAGGTCTCTGACTGTTCCCAAACAAACTCGAAACTTTTACCGAATGAAACTGAATACGGTAAAGATACCATTTTGAATGAAAATTCTACATCAGACTTGACCAAAAGGGTCTCCCCTATTCCTAATACTAATTCAGTAAATAATCATGATAGTTCAAAATTGGGTGGATGTCATCAAGATGCTCATCTGAACAATGATAAAGAAGAAAAATCATCGAATAATGGTCCAGCGTCTTCTCTTCCTGTGTTGAATGGCTTTCCTGAGCCAATGGATACCAGGTATGGTATGCTAGTATTGTATTTACAAAATTGAAATTAGTTTTGACAGGTTTTTATTTTTTTTTAATTAAGTCTATTAAACAGAATAACTTTGTGATAGCATAACTGCAATAAGTATTTCAGTAATCTCAATAGGCTTTTATCTCGGAGAATAACATTCTTTTCAATAATTCGTATCATGAATGGATCCATCGCATGAATGGATAAGTTCCCATCAGGGATGGGTTGTATTATAAAATTTTTTGAATTTTCAGAGCTAGGTATTTCAGACTTTACATGGTGATGATATATCTGAATTATTAGGTTGACTGGGAGATCCTAACAGTCTGTTAAAGAATGCTTTCATAAGTCAAAAGGTTTATTATCAAAAAAAATTTTTGTTTAAGATTTTAGAGCGGATTCAACTCTTTGAGTAGTAGGTTGGATTTTTTTAAACTTGTGGTCATTTGTCTATTTTCCCCAACTTCATAGTCATAATCTACACCAGTGGTTCCCAAACCTTTTATGTTCCTCCTAAATCGAAAAGCTCACTTACCCGTTTCATAAACATACAGTAGTCGTATCGTTATCACGTTTTCTTTGACCAAAAATGCAGATAATAACACCTATTGCATTTTTCGATCCGACTTTGAGATGCTAAACTTGCACTAGCTCAGCATTTTAGCTCACAATCTATACGACAAAGTATTGGTATTATGCCCGTATGAATCATTTGACTAGGTGACAAGGCTCACTGACTAGATGAGAGCAATGAATGTACAGCTTTTCCGCAGAATAGTTAAAAGTACAGAATTAAAAAAATAAACTGTTAAACGGTGAATGTCTGGATTAACCCTTAAAAATTGCCAAATCACCCCTTTGAGGATAATTACCCCCAGTATGGGAACCACTAGTCTACGCTCATTAGGTGCCTTACTGTACACACACACAGAATTTTTGAATAGTCCATTTTGTCATAACTTTATCAGGTTCGGCATAGTATGTGATCATAGTACTGTGAAAATAATTTGTTTTTGAATTTTCAGTGGGACACATGAAAATGTGGTCACATCTCAAGAGATGAATACAAATGAGACATCTATGGAGGTAGACAATGCAAACGAGAACATTTCAAAGCAACTCAAATCACAGAAAAAATCAAAAGAATTGTCATCAGAGACTGTACATATGGTTAATGGATATGATGAGAATTCTCAACTCATGAACGGTGAAACACCGATTCTGAACGGTAGTTCAATAAAACAAGAAAATGACAAACTCTTTGAAAAATGTGGAAATAGCTTAAACTGTGATACTAACAACACTAAACCTGCTACAAATGAGGGTTCAAAAGTGAACACTGAGGAATCAATATTAGGGAACACTGTTGTCAACTCAACAAATGCAATCTCAGTTTCAGCGAGTTTGTCACATCCTGACAATACTATAACAGAATCCAGTACGCCAAAGCATTTTATGAGTGAACAAAATTGTACTTCAATAAACACTGAGGCTGTGGCTAGTATCTTTAAGATGGATTCAGCGCCACGGCCAACCGGTGACATTTCTGTGACACCGTCTATTATGCCTTCCGTTTCCACAACCCCATCAACAGAAACTCTTACTTTGGGGTCAAATGCCATGACCCCGTCGACCCCCACAAACCCAATACCTCACAGTACTCTCAATCAACGATTAAAAGACACAATAACTCGTAGAAAAAATTCACAAACGACAACTTCTCCAGCGATTCAATCAGCCCCGGTAAACTCCCACACGACTCCAGCTCCATCAGTCGTAAAGCAGTATTCATACAAAGGCATTCAATCAAATCGTGAATCTGTGTCGAACCTTGCTCAACACATCATTCCAATCACACCTGAACAATTACATCAACAATATCAGCAACACAGAATACCGACTGCTTCTAGTACTGTTGCTGCAATATATCAAGGGACGTCTCAATCACAAGTAAGGATTTTTTTCAATCTTCACATTACACTAAAAGACGTCGGTATTCGAACATATTGCCTTCTACCACATAGGTTCTCAAAGTGCGCCATACGTAGCGCTGGGGCATTAGAGAAACCTAGGGGCTCCACGAGCTATTCGTTTACTAATTAAAATACTGACTCGGCTAATTTTGTTTTCTAAATAAGCAGTAACGTCATTAATAAAATAGGACAACGGTATATAGGGTAACAATGTATTTTTTTTTTCTAAATTTTTGTAGGGCTCCGTAAATAATAGAAGACCTTTTGCGGGTGCTTCAAAATGCAAAAAGTCTAGAACTCCCGGACTACCGTATGTAGTTGCATAATTTCGTATACTGTCTGTGAATGTCCGAAAGCATTTTCTTATACTGTATTTAAAATAACCAAATGTATTCTAGGAATTGAGATAGTTGAAATTACTGTATTTTATGATAGCATCCACTCCTTTTCGAAATGAAGTCTTTGATATTCTCCTTTTTGAAGTCTTCAATATGAAATTTCTTAAAAAATTTCAAGATACCCTTCACATTCCCCATTTTTATGGACAAATAGAAGAATATAGAACGGTATAATACTGTATTCTGTGGTATTGTATCCAATCTTTTTTTCATGTATTTCATTCATTTTGGTGAGAATTACTTTAATGAATTCTAGGTCGGAATCAAACGTCCGCATCCTCAAGCAACAGTGAGTCTGGGTGCTGGACCACCAGCGAAGATTCTGTGTTCCAACACACAACCCCCTCCTGTGTATGTTCCTACCCCCCAACAGACCCACCTACCCCAACAACAAAGACAATTTCATTCTTCCCAAGTTGGTACACCCAGGCCCCTAGGGGCTGTTTATCGGCCTCCTGTGCCCCAGCAACAACACACTGGGGTGAGGCCAAATACCCCGGTGCCGAATTCTCAACAACCCCAGGGAGCGCAACAAAAGCCTAAACCACCTACGATTGATTTAATGGCACCGAATGCATCATTACTTGTTTTATATCGAAATGTCGGCAAGATTCCTTTTGCTAATCATTTGGTGAGCTTATTTGTTTTCTATATTTCTAGTTCCCTTTTTTTTCTAAGCGGGGATGACTGTAGCATACTATTCCAATTACATTGTGAAATAATATTTTTAAATATAGAATGTATTGAATATATATTCTGAATTGGGTCACGGTTAACAGAAAAAGTTTGGCACGATCATGGTGATTGATTTTTATAATGTTGCAGAATCTTTCTGAATGAAATTATTTATATTTTTCCTTAAATCAAAATTTTGCTAAATTGAATAGAACTAATTTTGAGTGTATTGGATTTGAATTTGTTTTATATACAAATTGACCTAAACACAAAATTGGTTATTTCAGCATTATACCATCCTGTTTGGAATTAAAAACCTAAATCTATGAATACATACAACAGTTACTTTCAATTAATTTCTTTGTTGTCATTTTTGGTACTAATCTAATTTTCTATCGGCAGGATGAAAAAGAAGACGCTATCAGCAAAAGTGTGCGATTAACTGCTACTCTTATATTAACAAATATTGCAAGATATTCTGATCTCGGAAGAGCGTAAGTTGATTTTTACTTTTATACAGAACGCTGTGAGCGATGCACTACCCATTAAGTGTAATGGAAACCTCATATATTAAAATATCATGTTATGATTTATATTCATCTTTGGTTACAGTTTAATACAGAAACATGAAGATCACTTGGCAAATGTTGCAATGAGTCAAATGGACTGTTCCCCAATCGTAGCAAGACTTCTCAGTGAAATTGACCTTTGATCTTGGTAACCGCTGCATGGATTCCAAACACCGTTGCCATGGAGCAAAAAGAAGAGGGAATCAAGGATATTAGGCCCAAACTTCTCAAGTGTTATTGCTTGTTAAAGTCTGATTTTAGTGAAATCAGTATAAGATAGAAGTAACTGTATTGTCAAAATATGATAAGGACAAAATAGAGGGCACTGCTCAAGATCAAGTCTAACAAACCCTTCTTCATCTATTTTTTACCTATTTATAATTGGCTGCTAAAAGCAGAGAATCGTATTGTCATATTACTAAGTTGATACTTCCCTGACTCAAATTTTTGTTGCGAAGTTTATTCCAACTCTCCGCTGAAGCATTGTCACATTGATGCTACTGCTGTAACTTACGAAACTTTAGTATGTAGTATCAGAGTACTCGTATTATGTTTAATCTTTTTCACTGCCTTAGACTTTTTACACAAAATTCTGATTCGCTGTAGTCATTTACTCGGGGGTTTTCCAAAATTGATTTCAGAACATGTTCATTCGTAATACATTTTTTTGCTTGTGGAGCTTGAGAACTGATGGTTATACAGCTGAATTACGCAATACTTTGTTTAGATGTTATTAATTCACTTGGGAAAATATCCATTCAATCGGTGGTTGAGTCAAACTCACACACCCATGTTTCAGAAAAATAAGTGAGATTTCTCAAAAATGGTTGTCAACAGTATAATATAGTGTTCCTGAGTAATAATTTTCATTTAATTCCCAACTTTTTTTCATTTTAACATAAGAGCCCTCATTTGCCCTATATTATATATTAATCTGAATGGGAGCACTCTGGTTTTACGCAGTGATTAGGTTTGTATCTCAAATGACATGCTGGATGATTACGTCAGAAGCATTAGTTTTAAATTATCCAGAAATCCAACTTATTCTATTACGAAACAAATTATTGTCTCAGAAATGTGGAAATAATGATACCTTTCCAAGATGGATTCATTATCTTTTCCGAGGGTACAGTAGAGTTTATATTTCCAATTTGTGTCATTTGCTGAAGAGGTTTTGTAAAGCAACTCATTTGGCGTTTACTATTTATATCTCGCTCAATGTTCAATTTTTTTGACAAACATTTTTATTGTTTGTGAAGACACCAATGCCGGAGGTGTAGATATTTTCTGTTAAAACATTTACTTTTTCAAGTTTAGTATGAAATTTTTCTATTTGTTACGTTTTCTTTTCTATGGTACTTTGATTGGAGGTCGTGTTTGCGGTGTACGCTTGCTTATTAGTACCACCCCTTGTATGAACACACATTTTTGAATAAGAAGTAATATTAATAATAACAATTTCAGTAGTCTTTGCAATATGTCCTTGTGGAGGGAGGTCAACTTTGTGGAAAGTTATTTTAACACAATAAGAGTCCCAAAGGTCAAAAGTGGTTGACACCTGCCATAGTGCGTTCGCCAGCTTTTTGTTGTAGGGGGAGGGGTGTTGCAAAATTTCCAAGATTAGGGGTGGTAGAAATTTTGCAACTTTGAGCGTTTTTGATTTTACCAGCTCGGAAATTTCTGACAAAATAAGAATTGGACCGTAAATTTGAATAAGCCTGTGATATTTAGGTCTCACCAAAAAGGTGCAAAATGATTTTTCAAAGCGACGACAAAAGTATACAAACAACGAATTTTATATGGCAATAATCTTGAGACAGAAAAAAAAATTGAATACACATTCCAGGCACATCTTTCGCTCAAACCGATAAGCATGGCTGTAAACATTGCATCGTTTTCGTGGTTTTACATGTCAGTTTTCAACAATTGGTTGTAAATCAAATACCTTACTTGTCATCATGCAGAGGCGTGCCAAACTCGTCTGCTGCCCGGGACGAGTTTCTGATAATGCTGTCCCTTATACCTAACTTCTAAAATAATTTGGGTGATAAACAGATTATAGATGCCGTTATAGAGGACTTGCACGGGTCACGTGACTTTGTTTACTGGACGGCAAAAAACAAAAACGTCCATTTGGCTCCTGTCAGTTGCAAGTCGGATTATACGTTTCCGTTTTGTTTGGCTGTTGAAAATGGTTATTTCGTGTTGTTCCGTTGGCTGTACGTATAGTATAGACAACGAAATGGATCTTCAGTCATATTCCACTGTTTTCGAAAGATCCGGAACGTCGCACAATGTGGATATCATCTATTAGCAGGACTGCTTGGTGTCAGGTCCAGAAGTCATCTCGCTTGTGTTTCACTGTTTGCGGACAGCACTTCGTTGATGGTGAGTGATAATCAATTTTTTCAAATATTCATAAGCCTCCTCATTTCAATGGAAAGCAGATGACAAACTACTGTTATTGGTAGGCATAGGCGTAGCGCAGGCCTACTTGCAGACTTGACTTGTGTAGGGAATTAATCATCAATTGCCGTAAGGTATTGTTTCCCTAGTTAGCAGGTAATCTATTAGTAAGTGTGAAAAGTTGAATAGATAACTAATTTTTGCTTATAAATGCATATTACGTGTCTCACATGAATCCATCGTGCTCAGATTCGACTGTTTTCAAGGTCTGAGGGCTCCAACTGCTTAATTTTATCGGTACACAAGAGAATTTTCAGTGTGGCATGCATGGGTCAGTTGGAGTCACTAACATCAAGATATCTATAAGCAAGGATAAGATAACCTGGAAGTAACATTCCATAATTTAGAGTGAAAAAGGGATCTGCTTCCACAGCCCTTTCAAATGAAAGATATGATGCCTTGGGGGTAATTTCTATCAAATATTTTACAGTGTTATGATTCTAGTGAAAATGGGTATAGGCGGATTCTTTAAAAGTGTGTTAGGTCTAGTCGAAAAAAACATTAAATGTTTATGCTAACAACCCCAAAGTGATATTGCAACGCATACAAGTTTCCAGAATTTGTTGAAATGGTGCAGCCTTTTCTTTAAAATCCCTCTTTTTGTAACTATTCTTTTTCTCACTGAGGATGGCAAAAATTCAAATATTGATGGCTTTTATACGCAGCTGATAATCGGTTATCTTTCCTTTTTCCTGAAAAGAAATTAAACACTAATCATCATTTGACAGTGCCAAGTTTGTGTATCAGATCAGTAATAGATTACCTGCTAACTAACGAAACAATCAGACAACACCTTCTGACCATTAATGAAGATTTAATTTCTTTATCTTTCTTTCAATTTAAAATGCAAATGTGCCTACCAATGTCGGTAGTTTTTAGGATAGGATTTATCTGGGGGGAGGTCTGCAAGGTGCTTGTTTTCAGAAGCATGGACTTGATGATGGGGGATGTCATAATCGGCCAGCGGTCGTGTGAACCACCCTCAGTGGGAGTAGAACTGCAATCCTCTCGCACATAACTATCCCCGCATGAGATTGGAACCTGTGTCACGGATTTTACTATCCGTGTGTTTTAATTTAGTTTGTCTTTTTGTATTTGCCTATATGCTTTTTGAGGACCCTTGGTTTGGATATACTTCATCCGGGTCCGGTTGCTGTGGGACTCCGATCACCATCGAGTCGTGAGAAAAAAAGAGCTTCCCGCCTCTTTTCCGGCTGCCGCGATGGCGGGCGGACGTGTTTTCCTGTGTTCTCTGTTTTGTGCTGTTTTAACTGTGAAGTTGCCTCATAATAAACCACAAATTCGGAATCTGAGTCTTCTGATTCAATACACACGGTAGCAACAACACGAACAGTGATAATGGAGAGCACGCCAGAATAAAAAACACGAACTGTGATAATGGCGAGCACTGCGGCGGATTTGACGGAATAACTGACGGCAACTTCGAAGGTTCGGACGATCGGGAAAATGAAACAAATTCCAGCATGGACGAAGAGTTTACCGGAAACATTATAAACTTGGCGACTTCGGGAACGGTGTCTCAGGCAAAACATACATTTTTGGTGGGCTGAGTGAGCCTTGGTGTAACGATGGAGGTCCCGGCATGTGTGCGGTGGTTGAAGCTGGCTGTGATTTTTTTGACCGGTTTTGGACTTGGGGATTGGTGTGTTGCCTGCAGTGATGGACTCCTGGGCCGTTGTAATCCCAATGTGTGTGGTCAACGTGAGCCAGAAACCGGTGCATGTCGAGGCGGGTACTTTAGTGGGAATAGTTTGCCCAAGGGGGGAAGTTTATCAAATTGCTGAAATGTCTAACTCTGATCCTGAAGTGGGGGAAAGTTTGCCTGAGCACCTCGAGCCGTTGTTGTCCGAAGTGGAACATTTGAATGAAGATGAGAAAAACCAGTTTCGGTCATTGCTAATCAATTACCAAGAAATCTTTGCCAAGCGGAATCCATATCGAATAGGATTTGAAGAGCAATTTCGTTCATGACTATTTTTTATTGTATCATCTTGTTTAAACCATTTGGTTATGTGAAAGATATTTTGAAAATGGTAGGGGGTACATAATCTTTAAAAAAATTGGTTGTTTTGTGTTTGTTTTAATTCGATTTTGAGAATGAAACTTGTGGAGTTTCATCCTGAACAAGGGAGGGATTCTGTCACGGATTTTATTATCCGTGTGTTTTAATTTAGTCTGTCTTTTTGTATTTGCCTATATGCTTTTTGAGGACCCTTGGTTTGGATATACTTCATCCGGGTCCGGTTGCTGTGGGACTCCGATCACCATCGAGTCGTGAGAAAAAAGAGCTTCCCGCCTCTTTTCCGGCTGCCGCGCTGGCAGGCGGACGTGTTTTCCTGTGTTCTCTGTTTTAGCTGTGAAGTTGCTTCATAATAAACCACGAATCCGGAATCTGAGTCTTCTGATTCAATACACACGGTAGCAACATCACGAACCGTGATACCTGTGAAACTACCAGGGTGATCAGAGATGCGGTGGCGAGCGTATTCCTAGATGGCGAATTCAATTGAATCCTGGTTATTTTTTTGCATGACCACTGGCGTTAAACTTTAGTTATCTATTCAACCTTTCACACATTAGTAATAGATTACCTGCTAACTAGGGAAACAATACCTTATGGCAATTGATGACTAGACTATTTCCTTACACAAGTCAAGTCTGCAAGTAGCCTAGGCCTACCAATAACAGTAGTTTGTCATCTGCTTTTCATTGAAATGAGGGAGCTTATGAATATTTAAAGAAATTGATAATGCCACATTATCACTCACCAACCACGAAATGCTGTCCGAAAACAGTGAAACACAAGCGAGATGACTTCTTTACTTGACACCAACAGTCCTGCCAATAGATGATATCCACATTGCGCGACGTTCCGGATCTTTTGAAAACAGTAGAATATGACTGAATATCCATTTCGTTGTCTATACCAGGGCTACTAAACTATTTTTATCGAAGGTCCGCAAACAAAACTTTAAAATTATTTGGGTCCGGTCTTTCCAGAAATTATATTTCGGCATCCTTAAACGAGCACTTCCTCGACCGACTAATGATTAGTAGCAAATTAAAATTGTTCAATATGGTGTTGTGGCGAACCACTTAACTAATAATAGCCGTTATGAGTCACAATTGTTTTGTTTATGTTTTTGTCACGCATGATTACTTACGTGCTTTTCTTACGATAACTTGTCATTCTGTTTTCTGTTCGCTTGTCGTTAACATTGCTTTGTTATGGATTAAACATCAACATAATTGAAAGTCTTTTTCTTGTTAGAAAGAAGTTAGTTCGCTTCAAATGGTGACCCCGACCTCAAAAGCATACTTTTGAGAAAAGAATACGCACATAACGAAGAATATGAGTGAAGACAACAAAGTAGGCCTAACAGCTGTATCATTAAAGCTGCCGATGTTCTGGACTAAAAATCCTGCCGTTTGGTTCCACCAAGTCGAAGCGCAGTTCGCTGTTCGAAATATCACAACAGATGAAACAAAATACCACTACGTGGTTGCCGCTCTGGATGACAATACCGCTGCCAGCATTCTTAATGTTCTCAATAACCCGCCGGAAACGAACAAGTACCAAGATCTCAAAGAGAAGCTCACTACTAAATGTTCGCTAACGGATCCTGAACGAGCTGCGCGCCTTTGTTCAATGCCTGGACTAGGGGATGGAACGGCAACGGAACTTATGGACAACATGCTTGCATTGTATCCAGTAGGTAAGACACCTGATTTCTTATTTCGCCATTTGTTCGTCAGTCATCTGCCACCAGACGTCCGGTCTCAACTTACAGACATTTTAACAACCACGGGCGACGATTTTCGGAAGCTGGCAAGGAAAGCAGATGATATTTTTACTGCAAAAGGCTATGAGGTGACAAACGCTGTACAAAAAACCAGTTCGTTCAAACCATCTCATGTTTTGTCTGAAATGTGTTTTTATCACAGGAAATTCGGCAAGAAAGCCAAAAAATGTCGCCCGCCATGTT